CTGAATAATATTAAATAAGAAACTTTGACTTTGCGCCGGCTGTTCTTGTTATGGCCTTTCAATTCATTCGGTGTGAAGATGTCTTTTTTTTTCTTCATAGTTATATTTATTATATTATTTTTACCGGCTTATATACGTCTTCGTGAATTAAATATGATTTTTTCCGGACATGAAAAGATCAATTCAATATTACGAAATTAATGGGAAAGTCTTTAACTGTTAAAACGCGAAATATATTAGTTTCTCATTTTCTGACCTTTGGGTCTAGAGATTTTATCAATTTCAAAGAGGCTTGCCTACTAAATACATAAAACCCTAATCTAAAAAACAACATAATATAATTTATGTGACGATTATGTATATAAATTAAAGGTTTAGACTATAAAATAAGATATAAAATATACGAAAGTAATCCTAAACGCTTAATTTAAAAACAATAATATGAAAGGACAATGTTATTGACATTTTTTAAACTTGGCTTGTAAATTTATGAAATTTAGAGTTGTCAAACACCTGGGATCCCCTATTGAAAAACACTCACCCACACCTCACACAACAACTCACTCAACCCACAAAACAGCACACCGGTAAAAGAGAGGACACCATGAGTCAGTTGTCTAAGGACCCATTCAAATCACCAAATACCAACTATGACGAAACAGATGGCGCTAGCGTAGCAATTTTGCCAATTAGATTAGGGATACTCTTCATTTTCAGTTCCCCCATGACAGCTGCTGCAAACGTTGCCCGGAAGTTAAATTAAATTAAAATTAGTTAAATAATATTTTGGTTATAAAATGTTAAAAGTGCTTTCTTTAAATGTACGTATAATACAAACGATAGGTACTTATTACGAAATTTTAACATTCTTACGCCTATATGACTAGTCTTTCAAATTCATTACTATTTTAATTCATAATTATTTCTATTTAAACTTGTTTTATTAAGTAAGGTAACCATAACAAGCAAGATTTCGCAACATAATCGTCTATAAAAAAATATTACAATCCGAACGACTAAGTTTTACTTGTTTTTAGAAGAACACTAAATTATTGTTTTATAATTATATTATAAGTTATTACCTAAAAAATATGTATGATAAAGTTTCATTTGAAATCAAGGAACTCTCGCATAAGAATTCAAGACTAAATCCTTTAAGATGTTTCGTTTCGCGAAACGTTAGTCCCGTAGAGTACACAAGATATAAGCAATATTTATCGCTAACAAATGTATCCTTTATTTTTTGTTCGCAAATATTGGCGGAATCTTAGCTACGGGGGAAATAAATAGGGATTATGCTTTTAGAATCCCGACATTTTTCTTAGTAAATTTCTTGGTTTTGTTTATATTAGTATAACACATAAACATCGTAGCTTAATGGTTGCCTTATAGTACGAAAGGTACTGAGTTGGAAGCCCGGGGGACAATTTACATGTTTACGTCCTATGTTGTTGGGTAACAGGCGGAAATCTTTTTTTTTTAATTTGACCATTATTATTAAAAAATAATAATCATTTAAATAAAACACTTTAACGGTTTAAAACGCGATTTATTAGTTAAACTTATTTGAAAATGATTTTCAACTTCGGCCCGACGTTTCGGATGCTTTGCAGCAGCCGCGGTCACAGGGAGACTGTCTCCCCTTTACAAATAAGTTTAACTAATATATATCGCGTTTTAAACCGTTAAAGTGTTTTATTTAAATGTGTACTACTCGCGTAAACTATAGACAGTATTTAACCAGTGACCTTTAAGCAAATGGTCCCAGCAGTGGGTACTATAAAAGGGCTAATGACGATGACGAACGGGCACGGTGTATCCAAATAAAGGTAACTGAATAAATTTTTCATTTTGACACAAAAGGTTGTGTAAAACCCATTGGACCCAACAATAAAAAAGCCAAAGCTATAAAAATTGATTCAATCACGAAACGATTAAGTTGGATTGGGTATCTGTGCGAGGCCCTTCTCTGTTTCGAATATTAATTTTTACAAAGCAAAAACAGTCCAGACAATGAAATAAATTCTGTTAGCTTTTACATTCGTTCGTTAAGACAAATAATACGCTTGTAGTGCTTTTGCGCATATATAAGAAAGACAAGTATACATTTAAATAAAACGCTTTAACGGTTTAAAACACGATATATTAGTTCAACTTATTTGAAAATGATCTTTATGTGACCATGGCTGCTGCAAAGCGTCCGAAACGTCGGGCCGAAGTTAAAAATCATTTTCAAATAAGTTTAACTAATATATCGCGTTTTAAACCGTTAAAGGGTTTTATTTAAATGTGTACAACTCGCGTTAACTATACACAGTATTTAAGACAAGTGTATGATAGTTTTATTTTGTGAATTTAAAATTAATTAAATGAGATAGAAAACGAATAATTCTGTGTATATGTTTAGCGTTACATATACATCTTATAGTTTGACGTTGTTCGTTGGTTTAATGGCGGCAATGTAGAATCAACGGGTCGTGGATTCGATTCCTATCGAGTCCAACATTTTTCAAGTCATTTTTGATTTTTTCTGAAACATTTGACTTATCTGGATATTAATTGGGTGGTTGGAATATCAAAATTCTCCCGTCTACAGGTGATAAAACCCGATTCGGTTTTAGTGTGTGGATTTCCAAAATATAGCCGAATGTGGTCGACAGTGCATCTTCTTTAGGTGTTATATGGCTTTTCCTCTATCATAAAAAATGTAAATAGGCCGACAGCGCATCGTACAAGTACGCTTGCATTTTAATTTTGACGTGAACCGTATGCTTGTTATAAATAATCGATCAGTTAAACAGACACAAGAAATAAACCTTCTGTCCCATATATGAATAATTTTACTTGAGTTTGCCTATAGCAGACATTATAATGGACTGACATTTGTACAGCCAGTTAGCAAAACAAAAGCAAAACGCAGTTATCTCGGAACAGAAAATGGCGGCGTATTTCCGCCGTGCTGTTTCAATGACGCTATTGGGAATAGATCGAAATGAACGCTGAAAGTTTCTTCTCGAATAGTCCATTATGCAGTACACATCTTACATATTAAACGCGATTTATAAACTAAATAATTCGATACCGTAATCGGGATTGTTTTTCCCATTTTCTGAAAAAAAAATCTGTTAAATAAATATTTTTTTCCGAAAATGGAAAACATTTGAAAACATAATATTTTCTACATATGCACATGATAAATTTAAAATTGACAAAATTTACGACTCGGATAGCATTCCGTACTGTTGCTCTAAAGATTGAGCTACCGAGTCCTGCACGCAATCGTCGAATTTTTTCAACCTATGGATACATACTTGCACCTCTCGCGCAATGTAATTTCTTTGCTTAAATGATATATGGCTGTGGTATTTTACCTGTCAAGGGAATCCATGGTTGTCCTCTATCAAAATTCCCCGGTAACTATCATACGTAACCGTCCACGAATACGTTAGACAGCTACATTTATAACATTTTGTGGGTTTTCCGGATTGAAACAATAATTTCCAATTTCTGTTCATTTGCATCTCATGATTAGGGTGGCTTTAGGCCCCAGGTGGAGCTATTCATGCATTTGTATTACAAAGGTCATTATTGTCATTTTCCTAATTTCGAATATATGAGTGAATGTACATAACCTATTTTTAAGTGTAATTGTTTATGCATAGTTTATAGCTGTTTTAATTGTTTTATAATAAACTAGCTGTGCCAGCGACTTCGTCCGCGGCATCTCAAACAGAATTAAAGAACACGTCGCGGATATAAACGTCTCTCCAAATCTGCGGTATGCCAACACTCATCGGAAGGGCCCAATCATTACATTCGCTTTGACCAGCCAAAAATCCTCGCAAAGGAGAGTCGATTTTTTCCAAGATTGGTAGGCGAAGCAATTGAAATCAAAAAACACCGAATGGAGGACGGCCTCAAATTATCAAACACCTGGTATCCCATATTAAAAACTCTGGATCCCAATAAACAACATACCGGCAAACGCGAAGACACCGTTAGTCAATTCTGTAAGGACCCGGCCAGTTTCACCAGATACCAACTTCGACGGAACAGATGGCGCTAGCGTAGCAATTTTTTACTTCAACGTGAGAGACAACCTCCATCTTTAGTCTCCCCGTGACCACGGCTGCTGCGAAGCATCCGAAACGTCGGGCCGAAGTTAAAAATCATTTTCAAATAAGTTTAACTAGTATATGGCGTTTTAAACCGTTAAAGTATTTTATTTAAATGTCTTTTACACACATTTTTAAGGTATCTTGAACCGTTTTCGTAGCGTACGCATCTGAAACCCACAGAGATGAAAAATTTCCCCCGTTTTGTTCACATTTCCCCGTGTTTCTTCGCTTCTATTAGTTAAAGCGCGATGTTTTATAGCCTTTATTTTTTTATAGCCTTCCTCGATAAATGCTTAATAAATAATATTTTTTCAATTCGAACCCCTAGTTCATGAGATTAGCGCGTTCAAACAAACAAACTCTTCTGCTCTATGTTTTAGTAGGTATAGATAAATAAACGTAAAATACCCTATCCTCAACGACACGGTAGCTCAATTGGCTAGAGCAAAAACATGGAACGCCGTGAATGCCGGTTCAAGTCGTGCCCTAAATTTTTCAACTTATAATCGATTTTTATTATCCCCACCATATAGCTACCAGCCATATTTTTTTAACCTTGAACTTTCAGAAATCTACAGACAGAAACGAGAATTCGGATTTACAGTTATTGGCTCTTCGCCTGTGGACGGCGGTTCGTGACCCGGACAGAATTTCCCACGATATCCCCACCATCACTTTAATATGCAGATGTTTCGAAGGAAGTTACGATTTCAAAGAAAATATACTTTTTTCTGCGAAACATTAGTTCTGGTGGAAATCGAATTCACGACCGGTTGATAGTTAGCCATACTTTTGCCTGTATCTTTCTATTTTGCGATACGACACATAAATTCAGATCTACGAGATATAAACGTATTTTACAACTAATCGTAACAATAAACAATGGTCAAGTTGTATTTGGAAACTGGAAAAGTTGCATTTATTGGTCACCCCGGAGTCACAACTTCGCTGAGGTGGAAACTGCAGTAACCTTTTAAAAAGAAGCATTCAATTCTTGACTCTGAATCTTTTGTGCACGGAAAAACTGCCTGGAAAATGATTTTTCTTTGGTCAATAGCTTTTTAAAAGGTAGATATAAAATTGGGACTTGATGGAAACTAAATAAACCTAACTTAAATTAATAACAAGTAATGTAAAATAACAGTATACATAATTAAGAATAAGTAGACCAGGCCCCTTTCAGGTGAAGGAGGGGAGACCCACGTCGTCCTTAGGTAACTAGGGACAATATAAAAATAAAGCTACAAAAATATAATAATATTGAATTAAAAATGCCTTTCTTTGGCAGTCATAATAAAATAATTAATTTAAAAAAATGTGAAATTAAAATTGAAGAAAATTTATTGCGCCAGCTTAAGTTACATCAAAGTATCATTCAATTATAATTTAAGTTATATTAAACAAATAATTATCAAATTTAGCTAAAGAAAATTAAACAAAAAAAAGGTTTTTCATATTATATGAAAACAAGACATGGAAGTAAACAACATCTGGTTAAAATATGATGTCGTCCTATTCCTATCCGAAATTCACAGACTGAAAGCGAATTTACAGCTAACTAGTGCACAGCTGTCCTATGTGAAGGCGATCTTATTTTGTGAAGTATAATAGAAAAATATTACCAATAGAACCGAAATAGGGCGCATCTTAATCATATGTTCTGTTACTATTATTTATGTAAATCAATTATTTTTATTCTATTTTGCTACTTTTAAATATATATAATTCATACTTTCGTAAACTTTATAAATTGTTGCCCCAAGCAACAGCACGGAAAGCCGAGAATGCTGGTTCAAGTCGTAACTTTTTAAATGTTATAATTTAACTAAAACACTTTAACGGTTTAATACGTATATATTCGTTCTTAACTTCGGCCCGACTTTTCGGAGGCTTTGCAGCAGGGGGGAGATCTGCCGTAAATGTGTAAACTACGGACAGTATTTAAACTTATAAATGATTTTTTCTTTAATCAGTGTATAATTTGATGGACTTAAAACATCGTTTCATTAACGAGCCTTTATGTACTGTAATTATTAACGTGAACAATACGATACAACGAATTTTAAAATAAGGTTTAACTCAGCCCGCAACAAGAACACGAACTTAATTGATTTTAATTGCTCCAGTGAAATCGATTTCCCCTTTACATAACAAAGGCTCAATCAATGAAAACAATTATCTCTTCATTTTCCGTTAATCGGGAATCAACTCGACCCAACTACGTGATCATCACGAAAAGTTTATAAGAAATTAACAATACTCCTAAACTTTTTTCCATACATTTTTGTTTAAATTATAAATCGGTTTCGATTAAAACTCAGTGTGAGTGAACATCAAATACGAAAAAAATTTACATTACAAAATAAAATAAAAAACAGTAAAAACTGGTCTTATTGGTTTCAAAGTAATTTTGGATCTAGGAATGTATGAAACTCATCGAGCAATTTTGTCATTAGGGAATATTTTTTGCATTGAAATCTATGTTATAAACATTCTATGTTCCAAAATATGTAAAAATTTGCAGCCGTTGTCTCCCTGTGACCACGGCTGCTGCAAAGTATTCGAAACGTCAGATCATAGTTAAAATGATTTTCGAATAAGTCTAACCAATATATATCGCGTTTTAAACCGTTAAAGTGTTTAAATTATAGGTTAACTACTCGCTTAAACTACAGTATTTCTGTGTACATATTCTAGTCTAGAGCATTCATGGGTACCTCAAATAAACCATTACCCTTCACTTCGGCAGTCGAGTTAATATCAGATGATACCTCTTCGCGGTAATTTTTAATTAATATTCGCATCAAATTAAATCACGGTGTTTTCGAATATTGACATTCGGAACGGAAGAATTGAATTAATTTCGTTCGACTTACGTCACCCGTTAATTTTCGAAATTGACTCGCTGTTTCTGTGTTATTAGTTTAAAAGCAATAGATTTTGAAAACTTGAATAGTTATCACATGATGGCACTATATAAATCAAAAATAATTCGGCTTGGGTAATACTTGAACCGGCATTCATAGCGTCCTGTTGCTCTACGCAATTGAGGTACTGAGTCCTACGCGACATCGTCAAATTTTTTGTAATAGCTTTTTATTATAGAGATATTTTTATTATAAAACGGGGCAGCCGCGCCATAGTTACATTAAGGAAGTCAGCAATATACTGTCTGTAGTTTACGCGAGTAGTACACATTTAAATAAGACACTTTAACTGAACTTGTTTGAAAATTATTTTTAAAGTTCGTAGCACTTCGCAGCATCCTCCATCTTTAGTCTCCACGTGACCACGGCTGCTGCGAAGCATCCGAAACGTCGGGCCGTAACTAAAAATACTTTTTAAACAAGTTTAACTAAAATGTATTGCATTTTAAGCCGTTTAAGAATTTTATTTAAAAGTCAGTAATATATTTCGAGTGTTAAACAAAATGTATTTTTTAATCCTTTTGTTTTACTATACAAGTTCACACACTTTACAAGTTCCACATATATCAGCGATTCTTATACAGGCCTATAATCTAACGAGATAGAAGTCATGTAGTTTCCATTAAGATTAATGACGTTTATTTGTTTCAGATGTCTTAACGATGTAGTAATGTACGCGCCCGCTACCGCGGCCATATTTTTTGCCGCGCTAACCACCCTGCCTTGCAAAGGTAAATATAATTAGTTACAGTATACTATTATATACAAAAGCCATTAAGGTATACAGTTTACCCGAATAGTACACTAGCCGTTATCCACGGCGTCTTAACTTTAAAAGATGGACTGTCGCGGATATTTTTTACATAAGTTTTGTTTTTTTTAGCCGTTATGCTGCGCGCGCAAATGCTGCGAGGGCTTCCCTCATAGATTTCTCCGTTTTTTCCACATTTTTCACGGTTTCTTCGCTGCAAATAGTCTCACTCAGTAAATAGTCTACCCAACACAAAAATATTTGTTCAACTCGAAGCAGTCGTTCCTGAGATTAGCGCGTTTAAACAAACAAACTCTTCACCTATATAATATTAGTATAATTTAAAGTAACTATTTCTACCAGGTACCGACGCAGATACATCGACAGTACCCGATAAGCCAGAAGTATTCCAGCCAAGTGTCAACATGTTTTACCAAATGCTCCACGGCTCGATCAATGAGACGAAACCGGACTCCATGCCTAGCTTCGCGTATATAAATCCTATAGACAAATTCGTATGCTGTCGTGATGTTCCAGAAGATGCAAACGAGACAGATAGGTTTAATGGTGCTATTCCAAGTGTTAAGAAGCATAGAAAGAGACGGGTAGATATTATACGGCAAAATGAAAATGCTACCTACGCGCGTAGGGTGGAACTGACGACGATGGTCTCTTTTGAAAGGAGGAGAAAACCGGGGGAAACCGGATCTAGTGCCCCGTTGCTGAATTATATCTTCGATACATATACTAACACGCATCAACATAGAAATGAAAGGTTGGTTAATTTAAACGTAATAGTCAAGTTGAAGTGTTGTGTGCATACGCAATAGTAGAGTCGATAAAATTAATTCATTTGAATGTGTACTTACATTGAAATATAATAATTTTAACGGTTTAAAACGCGAAATGATCGCCTCTATAACAAAATGGTTAAACGCGTTTTTTAGCATTGCGTTATGCGCGAGAGGTCCTGGGTTCGAATCTTGGGGAAACAGTAAAATGTTTCGTTCGGACACGGCACTGTAGTCTGATTAATTACTTGTCTGTAAATAAATACAATGAGTGAAACGGACACACAAATATGTTCGCCCCCATGTCTCACGAGGGTAGGTAAATGGGATTACACTTGTTTTTTAAACACGAAATACGTAAATTTATTAAAAATGACCGGAAACTATCGTATACCACGGTCGTGGGGGATTAAACTGCTGGCGAATTCGAAACGTCGGGGCGTACGTAAATATTAGCATAAGTTGCAATTCCAAACATTTATGTGTCTGTTTCTCTAGTAATTTAGAGACGTTATATTAGTCTTAGATCTTTCTCCTTGATTAAAATCGGCTTATGATGTTTCCCTTGAAACCAAATCTAGGTCATTGAGAGAAGGACTTGGTCAAAAGAAGGACATCTAAATTTATATTTTTTTGGGAAATATAAAGGCGCCAAAACTCTCTTGTAGTAATATAAATAAAAAACTTTCCACTTAAAATATTGCCGACTACATACCACGAACTTTTGAAGTATGCCGCGTTTCAAGTAAAATTAAACTCGGAAATAGTTAAGAACTCGAAAGTACCCGTCTTAATTCGATGACGTTAATTGTTTTGGGTAACCGCTATTTACTATAAGTTCTTGTATTGTAATTGAATAGGTTTCCTAAGGCTGTGGTCATATATAAACGCCGCTGACTGAATAGAGATGCTATACAATATTTTGACCGGCTCGGTGGTCCAATGGTAGCAATGTTTGGCTAATTAACGGATTGTGGGTCCCACCGGGTCCAACATATTTATTTATTTTTTTTTTCTAAAACAGGTTGACTTTGTCTAGAAATCTGGATCTGTATGAATAGAAGAATGTTTGAAAAGAAAATAACAGATGCTAAACTAAAAATAATTTAATTCACATCTCAAAAAGCAATACTCATTTTGATTTAGAAATATCTATTTCTAAATATGAATTCAGTTCCATTTTTTTTTGAAGACATTTTTCCAATTTCTACTATTTTATATGTTATGTCTGTACTACATTGTATGTACCTTTAGTTTAAACAGTACAATGTGATAGTCAAAAAACATTTTGCGTTGTGCATAAATGGTATTCTTAAGTGACTTTTAAGTTAGTGTAAGTGCAATATCGTGTCTTTCAAAGTGCTAACGTCTGATGTCACTGCTTCGTTACGTAACGCGTTACAGCCCTATTCCGTCTTGTTTCCAATTAGAAGCATGAATTTTTCTTCTTACTATACATTGACACACTTATGTATTTTTCTTTGGGAGTTAACCATGAAGTTTAAAAAATTATGATGATTATTATTAAATACCTAGCTGTTCCTGCGACTTCGTCCGCAAAAATCGTTATTTTGGGCATTGAAATTAGTTTTTGCCATTCCCGTCATCTTTATAAACTTAAGCTGTCACCCACGACATCGGTCGCGTCCCTTTCCGTCGTTCTTGCAAGTTAATCTTAAAAGATAGCCATATAGCGTCGCAGACTTTTTTTAGGTCGTTTAAAGAGGAATCATTCTTTCATACACATTTTTTAGATATTTTGAATCGTTTTTGCAGCGTACGCATCTGAAAACCACAGAGATAAAAATTTTCCCCCGTTTTGTTCACATTTCCCGCTGTATCTTCTCTTCTATTAGGTCACAACGCGATGTTTTATAGCCTATAACCTTCCTCGATATATGCTCTAACCAACACAAAAAGAATTTTGTGTTGATTTTATTATGTTTATTTGAGTTGTATTAGCGCGTTCAAACAAACAAACAAACTCTTCAGCTTTATATATTAGTATAGATATAGATGTGAAATTGAGCACAATAAGTGTGGACATTGTCGCGAGGTTTGACATAAATGCGTTCGCAATCAGAAGATACGAGTATAGCAACAAAATAATATAGTTTCTACCTTAATAAAAAAAACAATGTTTCTATGTTTTATACCCCCGTGACCACGACTGCTGCAAAGCGTCCGTAAGATCGGGCTGTAGTTGAAGTAAGTTAAGTAATATATTTCGCTTTTAATTCGTTAAACGTGTTATATGTTAATGTGTATTACTTGCGTCAATTACAGTTAATACTGATATTTTGAGATTATGATTACACAAATCATTTTTTACTTTGGCCCGACGTTTCGGATGCTTTGCAGCATCTTTATTGACTCGGACGGAGACATCCCCCATCTTTAGTCTTCCCGTGACTTATGGTCACGGGGTCCGACATTAAAGTAAAAATACTACGCTAGCGCCATCTGTTCCGTCGAAGTCGGAATTTGGCGAAAGTGGTCGGGTCCCTACAGAATTGACTAACGGTGTCTTCGCGTTGGCCGGTATGCTGTTTATTGGGATCTGGAGAAAAATAATTTTCAAATAAGTTTAACTATTATATATTGCGTTTTAAACCGTTAAAGTGTTTTACTTAAATACAATATTCATCATTGAACTCAATGAGTTACTTTTATTTTATATCCTGTCTGAATATCCTCACAGACCAGGCAATGGAAACAGTATCTACGTAGCTGCAGCACCAGAGATCGAGGCTCTGGTCGGCTCAACAGCATACATGGACTGCAAAGTGGACGCCCTTCATGATAAACTGGTAATAAGTATGTTAATACTTTTAACTACGAAATTTCAACCTTGCAAGATTTTACGACTCCCTCTAACGATTATATATCTTCTATTGCGTTACTAAGATCTAGTAGTGGGGAGGCGTATACTGAAATTTTCCTGCTCAAATTCGAAATAAAATTCGTTCTATACTGTTTATTTTTTTATACTATTGCAAATAATATATACTTATTTTTCACTAGCTGATCCGGCAAACGTTGTTTCGCTATTTGTAAGATTAATATTATTGTGTTAAAACAAATTATTTTTATTAATGCATTATTTTTGACCAAATCTGATTGCTACAAACACGGTACTTGTGTTTTAACTTAAAAGGTATACAGGAATCATTCTCACAAATCTAACTTTTGGTTTCTTAAACCGTTTTCGTAGCGCATGAAATTTTATCCGTTTTTCACTATAATTTCCACTAATTCTTCGCGCCTATTGGTCACAAGTTTTATATAACCTTCGTCGATAAATGGTCTGTCCAACACCACAATAATTTTTCATTTTGAACCAGTAGTTCTTTAGACATGAACGTTCAAACAAACAAACTCTTAAATTTTGTTATATTAGTATAGATTGCCATACAATTCAGAAAATCGTCTCATAATATAAATTCAATAAGAATACAATTTCTTCCCCACTATCGTGTTTGCAAAAGGCATTAATTATTTTTTATTACTTCCAATTAATTAAAACCCTCTTGAACGAAATATCTTTATAATTAAATCTCACGATTTGTAGGTGTCTTGGGTTCGTCGGAAAAGTGATGAAACGCCTATGGAGTTGTTGACGACCGGAACTCAACTTTATACAGCTGATAATAGGTATGAATTTTGAATGACCTTAAAACTCTTTTTAATATTTAAAACTAAGGTAGATTGTAATCATTTGGTAATTAAAGAAGTAATAACTCTTAACTAGTTCATAGTCATTGGTGAATACTTTGTAGGAAAAATGATTACACATAAGAAAAAAAGCCCAAGAAAATTATGATTTTTCTAACAAATACCTTAGTCAAAAATCTTTTTTATTTATTTTATAATAATTCTTAAATAGAAAGTAATAACTTGTTATAAAGTTATTTTAAATACTTCAAAAAATATTACTCTAAGTACTAGATATTACTTAAACTCTATTAAACTAAAACCGATTTTTGATTGAAAAAAATTACGACAGGGGCAGGACTCGAACCGGTAGCTCAATTGGTAAGAGCCACTGTACGCCGTGGATGCCGGTTCGAGACTGTCCGTGTCGTAAATCATTTTTAAACTAAACTCGATCGATGGCATGTGAAAAATATTAAAGTTTTCAAATCTATGAAGCTTTTATATACTTAGCTCGGCAAAAGTATTATTGATTTTATATACCTATAATGATATATATAAACAAACATTCTACTTATATATTGCGGTTGCTTGGGAGAGATAGCTATTTAGCAATAAAGTCGCCGTTAAGTGACAATAAAGAACATTTTTATTGTATTCTACTTTTATCACTAATCCCAATATACTAAGAAACAAATACATTATGTTAATGAAGATCCTGTGTATTTTTGTTTTAGGTATTCGGCCCGCTTTATCCCACCAGACATCTGGAGATTAGAAGTCAAGTCGGTCCGGCCTACGGACGCGGCCTTTTACGATTGTCAGTTATCAGCACATCCACCTAGAACCGCAAGGGTCACACTTCGAGTCCCAGGTAAATTGATAAAACAAACGTAGACCTCGAAATATTGGCAGATGTTTAATTTTATTAACAGTTGAGAATTTAAATAAATTTAATCATTTAGTTCAATAGTACAACAACTCCTCAGTTTGATTTCCCGATCGTGCCCGTTTGTAAATATTTTTCTTTATACATTAAAATCGATTAAAAATTACGACTCGGGCAGAACATGAACGTGCATCGTCAGCGTTTCGTTCTGTTGCTCTAACCAATTGAGGTACTGAATCCTACACGTCATCGTCGATTTTTTTCAACTTGTTGATACATGCCAGTCGCGCGCAATGTAGTCTCTTTCTAATTAGTCAACTTTATCAACTCAAATTTTGAAAATGTTGAATTCTTGGGTTGAAATTCACAATTTCGGATCATGTATCACAGTCTACAAACAACTACAAGCTCTATTATCGGATTATCGAATATCCTAAAATATCCCTATATTATACGATTGACACATTTCCAACACCAAGTTCCTCTTTAGCCTACTTTCTTCATTCCACAAAAACCCTTCCAAAATATTGAAGTCACTATTCCAATTTGATTCCTTACAAGCTCTCAAACTGCCTTGATGCTTTACATCCCGCTGTACCTTGTTAACCCATTTTAACATCGATGCAAAAGACAGAAACACAGAATCTGCATAGACATATATGAATGACGGTTCGTTACCTCAAACAAAATTTCGAGAGACGCGCACAACAAAACTATGGCTTCTAGCATATATCATACAATATTTGAATAGAGTAAGACTTTTTCTACTTTTGGAGTTTACTTGCACAGAATACAAGTTCTGTGTCTGTTGTAAACAAAGAATGACACTTTTGACGTTTGAAACCGGTTCGTTGATTTATACTACGGCCCGACGTTGAGATATCTTATCTTATCTATACACCACGATCTGAAGTTAGTTTTTGTAGATTTGTCAGCTGTTTTAACTAAAAAGATGACATCATATTCTTATACTCAGACGAAGCAAGTTATATACTTTTAAATAAAACACTTTAACGGTTTAAAACGCGATATATTAGTTAAACTTATTTGAAAATGATTTTTAACTTCGGCCCGACGTTTTGGATGCTTTGCAGCAGCCGTGGTCACGGGGAGACACGTTTTCAAATAAGTTTAACTAATATATCGCATTTTAAACCGTTAAAGTGTTTTATTTAAATGTGTACTACTCGCGTAAACTATAAACTCAAACTCAAACTCAAACAGACAGTATTTAAGTTATATACTGTCTGTAGTTTACCCGAGTAGCACACATTTAAATAAAACACTAACAGTTTTACGCTGGTTCAATTCAAAAAAGTTTAACTAATATATATATGGCGTCTTAAACCGTTAAAGGGTTTTATTTAAATGTCATATTATTTAAGACTTTAACGGCTTAAAACGTGAAATAACTAATTAATAAATTAATTAAACTTATTTCGGCCTGACGTTTCGGATGGTTTGCAGTGGTCACGGGGAGACTGAATTATATATTTCGCGTTTAAACCGTCTAAGTATTTTATTTAAATGAGCTCGACTCGCGTAAACTACGGAAAGTATTTAGGCTATATTATGTCATTTCTTGTGATATAAAAATCAATTTTAGAAGTGTCTGTGCGCATCGTTGATGGCGCCGGAGCGCTAGTCTCCGAGCAAGTGTGTGAAGTTGGCAGCACCGTGGCACTTCGCTGTGAAGTGAGAGGGCTGAAGATGGAAGGTGGGCCCTCACTGCTGTGGCATAGGAGGGAGTTCCTACTCAATGACGATACGACTCGTGGCGGTATCAGGTAATTGTATTTTACACAATTACAGATTTTTCATGTGAATTTTAACTTCTTTTTACAAAACTACAAAATATAAACAGAGTACTTCAAGTTAAGTTCGTAAACTACGGTTTTGTGGTGCGTTGGGATTCAGACTCAACTGAATACTACACGACTTAACGGACTTAACACAGATAGGTAGACGAACAGTGAATTCATTCAACTTCCGAACATTGTACTCGTAAAATAAAATTAAAGTGTGTCCTCTAATACTCTACATTTTTTAAATCCTCCTTCAAGTATTTATTACAATAGTTATTAACTATTTTTTCTTTGTTTCTTTAAATACTAAAATAACTTTTTTCTAATTTCCGTTGATTTTTAGCCCGAGACACAATGGAGAGTGGCCATTTCCCTATATTACAAGCTCAATGTCCTAGTTATAATGTTCTTAAAATTAATTAAGTATGCTTAATAGTAAACTAAGTTTTAAATCATTTATTTGTATTTAAAATGTTACACTTGTATAACCATTTTTTCATTACAGTGTTCGCACGGAGTTTGGTGCGAATGGCGCGAATTCCGTTCTACGCGTTGCACGTGTGCGAGGCGCTGACGCTGGGCGGTATTCGTGCAGCGTCGCGCGCGCACCTCCGCCCGCCCCACCGCCAGCGCACGTTATGTTACACGTGATCAAAGGCAAGTTGTTTTGTTTTTCTAGAAACCTAAGATATGGAGTATTTGTAACTATTTTCACTTAATAAATAAATAAAATGAATTCATCGGCGCAATGCGATTATTTCGATTTCGTATCAAAGATTCTTGCAAAACAGCATCACATTTTATATAGGTGCTGGAGATTGGAAAAATACTACTACATACGGTTGTAATTGTACAAAATGTATATGTAACTAACTGATTATTTCCGGAAAACGTTGTTTGGAAGTTTAATATTATTATGTTTCTGCAATTTTAAGAATTAATAATGCATTAATTTCAACCTAATTTGATAACCATAAAATCTCTTGTGCGTAATCTTAAAAGATTGACATATACTAATAATACGATTAAAGATAAATAAGTCTTTCACACATAGTTTTCGCAGAGAAAGCATCGGAAGCTCTCGAAGATTAATAAATTTCCCTGATTTTTGCACATCTTCCACTTCTTCTTCGTTTATACTGTGATTTTATATATAGTCTAAAGCTTTCCCCGATAAATGATCTATTAAATCCGAAGGAATAGCTCCTGAGCTTAGCAAGTTTATACAAACAAACTCTTCAGCTTCATACTATTAGTATAGCTGAGCTACGCAATATGCATTTGTTCGTGTGCAATTTGCCAAACAGATCACTCCACCTCATTCTGAATGGTGCTTTACCTCGCTACTTGGAACTCGTTAGGTAATATACGGTACATCTACTTCATACAAGCATACCAGAATAGTGTGTTAACACGCTAGTATCTCTATTAAGATTTATTTAGAATAGCTTCCAAGCGTAGTCATTAAATTTTACATCCAAACACTGAATTACAGCATTCAAAATAATATATTGTAACTAAAATATACTATTAACTACAATAAGTGCTAAACATAATTAAGAAAAATTACACTTTTATAGAAGGTGCTTTATGACTCTAGAGAATTTAAAAAGACGAATGCCGAAGTCATGTTTCAGATAAGCGAAGCGCTTATAACCTTTCTCAATAATTGTTCCAACTAAAACAAAAGAAAAATCAATGCAACCGAGTAGTTCCTGAGATTAGCGCGTTCAAACAAACAAACTCTTCAGCTTCATATATTAGTTTTGATTTCTAGCAAATGAAAAATAAAACAAAATTTAATAATGTTCTTAACACCGGTATATGACCGCACAATTATCAGTAAATTATTCTTCGTAAAGAAACTGATTTCTCGCGGGAGAAAGGGAATGGAAAAATGGAATAACGTTCCTTTGCTGAGACAATAAGTACCTAACTTGTATCAATTTTAGGTTTTATTTTGTTTGCTGAAATCAGAATTAGTTTGGTCTTTTTATTAGTTCCAGTGGTCATGTAATTAGGTTTAATTTGAAAACTTAAAATTAAAACAATTGAAATTACGGTAGTATTTTCTTTGTAAATAACTATAGGAATTTTAAGAAAAATTACGTTAATTAATTTATCCATATTTAATACAAAACTGTCTAATACTTTTGGTGAACTTATATTGTTGTTATGTACTAGGGTTTTCCTATAAATATCTTTCTTGAATAATAATAATCTGAAAGTACAGATTGGCTGTCTATCTATATCGAATATGGAGCTAAAGGTTGTTCGAATTCCAAAAGACACACACATTTACACAACTTTATTTAAAGATATTATAAGTTCAGTAACTATGATAGCACAAATATATATTATACAATAGTGAATGTTTCAAACGAGTATTCCCGTGACCACGGCTGCTGCAAAGCATCCAAAAATAATTGTTAAACAAGTTTAAGTAATATATATCGCGTTTTAAAGGGTTTTATTTAAATAAGTGTGGTTTTCGTACCCCAATTTTTCTAGTTATTTAATTAAATTTTTGTTGACAGGTGAGAGTCTAGCTGAACTGCATCAAGGCGTCAATTCTACTAAAGTCAACTACACCATCGTAATAATATTGACGCTGTGCGTCATTTTACAAGCTATCTACATTATTTAATAATTAAATCTAAATTATTATTCTTAATTTTATTTTAATCTCCCACTTCCTACGCGAGTATTAAATGACCCTAATATATTAATAAATTAAGTTATTGAGTCGTGTTAGTTTTCCACCTTGAAGGAATTCTCTTAGTAGTCCACGTTCTTAAACTTAAACCAGTTTAGCTCGCTCGAATCAGAGAATCCGACGAATGCGTCTGCCCCATGCCCCACATAGGAATACACATAGTAAAGTCTCGTCTCCCAATTGGAAAATGGTGTGAACATATTTCTGTGTCCGTTGCATGGATCGGTCTTATTTATAAGCAAGTAGATGCTCAGAGTTCTGTTAATAACGTTACTTCACTGTGTATAGAAATAATTTCCTAGACTGCTATAAAGTATGACTTTGTGTTCACAAAAGGTGATAAAAATATTTCACAAGAGGATAATATCGAGAAAGTTTTGAAGAGTCATAATGAAAGTTGTCAGAGTTCTTAAGATTCTTCTTCAGTTCATGAAAACAATAACTAAATGAAGTCATTAAAAATTCTTATAATTATACCACACCAAAGCGCGTATACAAAATTCTACGACAATATCAACAAATAAAAAAAAACACAAATATTTGCTGCACATCACTGAGCTATTGCTGCTGATTTGCTGCGGTGCTGATTTTCAGCGATAACCCTTGGGTGACACATTACGAATCTTGCACCTATAAGTTATGAATAGTGAAAAAAATAATAAACACGTTTCGTAGCCGAGAACATTGCAACTGCTACGTATACGCTACGAATGTGCTACGAAAGGAACAACGAGATATTTTTATATTATTTACATCGTCAATTATTAAATCATTTGTACTGCCGGAAATCTAAATTCCTATAAACTTAATTTCATACAATTAGCATATATTAGTTTTTACGAGTCTAGTCATGAAGTTTTCACGAGTCAGAATATACACAAAAGCCTAATTATTGAGCACGACGGAAGATCAAACTCTACTCCGAGGTACTTCAAACATTGAAAATTTTACGTATTACACTGCATGCTAAATTTAAGAATATTATATAACATAATATATCGTATTACACATATCTAGTTTTGTGAAACTCACATAAAACATATAAACAATTTAGGTAAGTTTAGGTAAGAAATACTGCAATAAATAAAACTTTATCACGTTATTCTTCACAAACGGCATCATTCTTCTCGCTTATTGTAGAAACTTAATAAAACCGAGCTCAAAAAACAGTCGGCAACCGTTTTGCGTAATAACAAAAATACGTCGACCTTCAATCTATGCGAAAAAGTTGCTTCAATTTCGCGAATTATACACTAGAACGTCGGCGGAATAATAGAAGGTGAAATTTACATATTTATGAGGCGGCAACCCAATGGTGAACGTTATTGTTTAAGGTTCATCAAGGATCTTCGCTGTTTAACAAATTAGAAGTTTGCTTTTGATTTGGAAATCGTCTGAGAAGAATGAGCGCTGCTATATTTCTGCTGGAGCACGCTAAGAAAGAGATTTAGGCTATTAAATATATTGAGTTAAAGTTGTGCATACCTTTAAGTTAGATCGTCGATCGACAGTCGTAGGTTCGAACCACACAGGGTCCAAGGTTTTCTAATATTTCTGAAATATGTTGATGACTTCGTCTAGAAATGTAGATATTAATTTGATGACCATCCAGTGATAAAAAAGCCGTGAAGTTTGATCGTGTTTCTGTATCAGTCGTTAGCACATCTCGTTGAGATACCATATTACAAACATTGATAGTTGATAGTTAAAATAAATTAAGTTTTATTTAAGTAAAACAAATAATTTATCTTAAATAAAACACTTTAAAAGTTGTTAAAGTGTTTTATTTAAATGTGTACTACTCGCGTAAACTATTGACAGTATTTAATTAATTACTAACATATCGAGTTTGAAACCGTTAAAGTGTTTTATTTAAACGTGTAGTACTCGCGTAAACTATAGACAGTATTTAATTTATCTTAACAACTATCTATGTTGAGCCATGCTTTTGAAAAGCTAGGACAATACTTATAAAACAAGATCAATAAAATTAACATTTTAATTTTAGTTGACAAAAACACATACACATAACGCCGAATTCCAGCCAGTACTGGAAGACCGGAAGTCTCGCGCAATGTATTTTTTAAATATAATTAAGGTACTTTTCCTTCTAAGTTTTTAATTTATATTAGCTTATCCGTATAGTAGAATAGCCGAACATGTCACAAACACCAATAAATTATAATACATAATATAAGTTCATATTTATTTTTATAACAAAATATTAACGTTTCCTACATAATCGTTTTGCACCTACACTACACGTCCTTACTGGGAGCGTTCAAAATGAAATATTGTATAAAAATAGGTCGGGGCCAAAAAGCACGTAGTCACATCGCCGGATGACGATCGCAGAGCATTCAATTCTTGTAACAAGCACCGGCTTTTGAATACTCAAACGGGGAAGTACTTCGTTTAACGTCGTATGAACATTTTAACGTAAATCCCGCTTCGTCGAGCCCGATTTCGAAAGGATTCATACGAAATGATACTTCTTGCGAGGAAAAAAATAGTTGTAAATTTTGAATTGAGAATTTCAGGTTTCAACGTTTTCCGGTTCCATATTTAAATTTGTAACATTAGAATGATATTTAAATTTGGTTTATGTTATAATAATTACCTTTATTCTAGGTAAAACTCAAATAAGAACTAACCCCTAATGTTAAAATACACATGAGCACAGAGGAGTATCATTCATAGCACTTATTAGCGAAATAATATCTTGTTTAAATAAAACACTTTAACGGTTTAAAACGCGATATATTAGTTACACTTATTTCAAAATGATTTTTAACTTCGGTCCGGCCTTTAATATTTCTATTAAAGTTTTTCATATTTATATCTCTGTCTGAAAATAATGTTGATATAGGAAACTAATGATGAAACTTAAGAATATATCCTACAATAAATTTTGTAATTGCTTTTTTAGCGAAACAGATATTTACTATATTATAAAAGGTAGTATAAAATGTTGGTAAATAAACATGGCGCCTGAAAACTAAACTGTATTTCCATCAAAATATACTGTGAGGGAATATTTTTTACTCGTCTCACGAAACACATCCAAAACGTATATCCCTTAGAGAAATACGTCATATCTCTTCCACAAATAGACATTTCGCCCAAATGTCAACGATATAGATTACTATAAAATATGTAAAGATATTGAGGGACAATTTGAATTGGTAGGGTTTCTTCCAAGTCTAATATAACTTTAATATATTTTGACGAAGCTTTCAACATATAAGCGAGACAATCATTCTGTTTACGCAGTGACAGAATTCATGGTCAAATCTCCGTGATAACCTACGCCTTATAAAATACGCTGTCGACTTATTATGGCTTTGGATATTCGGAAATACACGGACGGAAACTGAATCGCGGCTTTTTCATCTGTGAGCAGTGTTTCTGACCCGGACGAAATCCCATAAAAAATAATTTATTATAAATAGTTAAAGTTATTTGAATGAAATTGACATTTCGGATGCTTTGAAGCAGCCGTGATCACTGTGAGACTAATATATGTCGCGTTTTAAACTGTTAAAGAGTTTTATTTAAATGTGTACTACTCGCGTAAACTACATACAGTATTTTTATTGGAAACAATCATGTTAGACCCTGTTGACTATTACAATAGACCTACAAGCCAATATGCATGTCAATGTAGTCTCGTAAGACCGCTATTCTAAATTACTTCGACCCTTGGTTTTTATTTCCTTCTCTATCATACAATTTGAAAGCTGAGCAACGCCGCGGCTCGCGGCTAGTGATCATCAAAACTCGTAGAATGAAATACCATGTCCAAGCACTACTTCAATTTGTCGCGGTCGCAGCAGGCAAAGTATGTAAACTAATTTAACTTGGTGTCGCCGATGTTGCGTTCGAGCGAATTCAATTAAATGTTCAACGAATAAATAGAGTTGACTTGTTAATTAGTAGGTTTTTATTGCACAGACAAGTATGAGATTCTGAATTCCACGGTCTGAACTGAAACGTAACTGAAATTTTACGGCTTTTCCATCTATATTTATATTTTCATAATCTAAAAATGTTAGTCTATAAGAGAAAGGTTTTAATATAATTTGTACACAAATAATAGTACAAATTCGTTTTCGCTCGAGTTAATTGCGCATTTTTATTTTCCTCCTTATTGGAAATTAGGTTTTTTTATCAGGCCATTCTGGCTCTAGCAGCCTCATATCATGAATCTGGGTGAAATTAAGCTATTCCCTACCTTATGTTTAAAGGTAAAATTTTCCAGTCAAAGTTTACCACGTGCCAAAAAACCAGAAGTTATAGTTAGATTTCTTACAAATTATTTAAACTACGCCTCTGTAGCCAAATGGTTAAACGTATTGCCTAGCATTGCACAAAGCGCCAGTGGTCCGGGGTTCGAATCCCAGTCAAACAAAAAATTGTTTCGGTCAGACTTCTGTGCCCTTCTTCCTCCTTCTACTGATCGAAACGGATCAGTGAAACGGACTCAGAAATGTGTTCGCCCCATGCCCCCCACGAGGGGGAAACGGGATTACACACACAAAAAAAAACTACGACCTGTTTCGGATCATTTTCAGCCGCCGTGCTAACGGGGGGTTATCCGAAACGTTGGGTTTATTACAATACATTTCGGGTTTTAAACCGTTCATAGTGCTATATTTAAACTCGCGTAAACTACAGACAGATTTAACACAATAATTTTTTGTGCCGCCTGAGAACAAGGGAAATTGTATGGTCATACTGTATGTGTCTATCTATACTATAAGATCTAGGTACACCTTAATTCTTTACCAACATTACTTTATAACATATTTATATGCTTAAACAAATCGAAATTATCCCACGAACTGTAGTTACTAATAAATAACGTATGTAAATATTGTTTCAAGGTAAATATTCAATCCGACAACAATTCTATGAATTTAAAATAGGCCTTTTGCAAGTAGAGTAATGAATAAGTTTCTGGTACAAAATCAAATAAAAACGCAGTTATATTTTTCAGCAATCAAGTTTTAATAAAAAATATTGAAACCTATCGAAATTTCATAACGATTCCGACAACTGTGGATAAATATTGAACTATTTCTTCCACAAACCGTTGTTTAGTAACAATTGTGTTTACTTAGATCTGGCAAACATTGTATCGCCGTATATACGTTACATTTTCACCAAACTTGATTACCACAAAGACGCTTTTTGTGTGTTTAACAATAAACCTATATAAAAGAAGAATAATGTTTTCATACATATTGTTTTCTGTATCGTGAACCGTTTTCGCGGCGCACGCGACGAAAATTCTCAAAGATGTATCATTTTCTTTGTATGGTCGACATTTCCCACTGTTTCTCCGCTTCTATTAGTCGCAGAATGTTTTAGCCTAGGCCTCCCTCGATAAATGCTCTCACCAACACAAAAATAATTTCAATTCGAAACCGTAGTTCCTTAGATTTGCGCGTTAAAAAAAACTTTTGAGTTTTATTGAATTGGTATAGATTGCTTTATTAATAATGGTCACCTCTGTAGCCAGATGGTTAAAGATATTTCCGAGCATATCGTTAAACGTCAGAGGTCCTGGGTTCGAATCCCAGGGAAACAATAAATTCCTTTGGTCAGAGCAAAGAAGTATAGTCAACTACTTGCATGTAAAAGAATCAATCAGTGAAACGGACACAGAATTGTGTTCGCCCCATGGCCCATACTAAAAAGTACGAGACGAATTTCAATAGACCTAAGCGTTATATTTCTTAGGTTACGAAACGGAGTATATATCATGAAAATGGTACCCCAAAATGTTGGCTGCCTTAAAATTAAACATTTAACGGTTTAAAACGTGAGATATATTAATTAACTTATTTTTAATTCAAATTTTACTACGACCCGACCTTTCGGATGATTTGAAATAAGTTAACTAATATATTTCACGTTTTAAAACGTTGAAAGCTTATTTTATATAAACTTGGCTAGCGAGTAAAGGAATAAAAGACTAAGTCCATTTTTACAATTAACAAGCGCAATATTTCACTGATATGAACTTCGTCCTTATTTTTGCAACTTTATATTTCCCATCCGAGACGTGGCAAATAAATTGTGGCCAAGTGAAATTAATTTTAACTTCATAATCTCGCTGAAAACTTTCGAAGTTTACACATTAATTGTTAAACAAGAGTTATTAAAAACAAAAGGTGAATATAGTTGGAACATAACTCAAAAGGCAAGCTTATGTTTTATTCAAATTCTTTTAGTAAGTTTTTTTTTTTTATCGAAAAAAATTTTCGACTCGGGCAGGACACGAACCGGCATCGTCAGCGGTCCGTGGTGATGCTGTTTATTTTCGATTTTTAAATTATATAGTGCCTTTATGTGCATGTAAAAAATACTAAAGTATTGTTTTGTAATGCTTTGTTTCAAACGAATATTTCACTCATGTTTTTGCACATGATGGCACTATATGTATTAAAAATCAGTTATAATTTGAAAGAATGTGGTTAGAGTAACAGTATAGAACACTGTGGATGCCGGTAGAAGTACTGCCCGAGTCGATTTGAAAAAAAAAATCGATTTTTAATTCATATAATGCTTCGTTGTTTAACTGTAAACGCTCTGGGAGAACATGAAAAATTATGTAACTTAAAAACAAAATAGATACAGTCTATAGTTTACGCGAGTAGTACACATTCTACGCGGACGAAGTCGCTAAACACAGCTAGTGTTTCCATCATGTGCGTTTCAGATTCGTACGCTGCGAAAAAGGTTCAAGATACTAAAAAACTATGTATAAAATAATGATTCCTGTTTAAATGATCTCCAAAATTTTCTTTTGAGATTAAATTGCATGAACGACGGGACCCGATTTTTGTTTTTGCTAACCTACATAACTTCTTAATTCTTATCTATATTACTATATAAAGTTGAAGAGTTTGTTTGTTTGAAAGCGCTAAACTCATGGACTACTGGTGAGAAGTGAACAATTCTTGTTGTGTTGGTTAGAGCATGTATGTATATATAAAAGTGCTAAATGTGCACTTACTAACTAAACACTAAACTATTAACTAAATACTAAAAAACTAAACTATTTTTTTTAATTATGTCTTTTCTAATGATCTAAAAAAAAATTCGCAACACTATATGTCTATCTCTTAGATTAACTTGCAAGAACGACGAGACCCGAACGGCGGGCTGAAATTTAAAAAGATGGAAAGGTTTGCAACAACAAATTTGGGTGCCCAAATTAACTATTCTACGCGGACGAAGTCGCGAAACACAGCTAGTGTTTCTATGTTTCATTTGAAACGTTAATTAAGACGCAACGAAGCAATTTCTCTACAGTTTATACACTTCCATTCATTAATTTCCTCTATAACATTGTTGTTTAACCACGCTTCTTAGGGAACTTTTAATAAGCGTTAGATCTATCTAGTTTATTATGTTATTAAGAACTTCCTTCAGTTTTTCATTTTGACGTTTTAAAACTTTACGGTTATAAGGTTAGGTACAATGTTAACGACACTATTCTTACTTAAATGTAACTAAAAAATATGAAATAAAACACTTTAACGGTTTAAAACGCGATATATTAGTTAAACTTATTTGAATTAATTATTTCGAATAAGTTTACCTAATATATCGCGTTTTAAACCGTTAAAGTGTTTTATTTAAATGTGTACTACTCGCGTAAACTATAGACAGTATTTAAAAAATATTTATTTAAATTAAACGTGTTTAACGATTTAAAACGCGGAATAAATTAATTTATTTGCAATTTATTTTAACTACCGACGATTCACTGCAAAATAAACTGCTGGGTTGTAGCTAAAATAAGTTTTAAATAAGTGGGCTAATATATTTCGCGTTTTAAAATGTTAAGTGTATCATTTAAATGTTTTCTACTCCTGTAACCTACAAACAATACTCATAAAACATATTATTTCTAATTTCACTACATATAAATAAGTTATGTTTGTTTGTCTTCCTTCACAAGTGTTTGGTGGTCTTCTGCGTTTTTCGGGGCGTTTGCGCTCTGACGCATTGACATGCGGTACTGAAACGGGAAATTATTAGATTGTAAAACGTGTGAAAAACCCTTTTCCCCATGTAGGAGATAAAGGAAATAGCAAAAACAATGGTTTCCGGAATTTGAACCCGAGACGTTAAATGATTAAGCCACGAAGGTAGTTAGAATTTATTTACGTACAACACTCTGTCTGTAGACGCTCTGCCGTAGGCCTTCCAACTTCTCTCGATTTGCTCGTCGGAAAAATCCGCACTGCGAAAATAAATATTTATAATTATTAACACCTCGTGATATAAAGCAAGAAGTAGAATGTATTCTGAAAACAGACTAGAACCATTCACAAAATGTACACTTAGAAAATAAATTGTGTAAGGCTTTCACGGCCATCGTTCAGCATATTATTGTTTTTCAGGCTGTTTGGCCGACGTGAGCGAGAGAGGTTCTCGACGTTTCGCCATCACGAGAGGAAGCATCATCAGGAGATGTTCGCTCCTCGATTGCTCGAAGAATTAATTATGATGATGTAAATTTAGAGTCTAATTTTTTAACTGGTGTGACGTTTATTGGTGTGCCTACATGAATAAATGATTTTTAACTTTTACTATACCATATAATACAAATACAGAATATTTTAAGCTATGAATTCTGTTTGTATCAATTTTGTAAAACTTTTAAATGCTTACTATTTTGCAAAAAAACTAACTTGATCGCCTCGATACTGGCCATATTTAATTTTGTTTTATTTATTCGGGAATTTTTAAATATAGAATCAAATCATAGATGATAAGAACTGCACGATACTGCAACTTTTACCTACCTCAGACATATTAAATGAAAAACTTTTAATGGTTTAAAACGTGCAATATATTATTTTAACTAAGATTCGACATTTGGGATGCTTCAGCGGTCGTCACGGGACGGGTCGTTTTAAACCGTTAAACGTGTTTTATTTATTGTGTAATGCTCACATAGGCTAGTCACTCACCTTATACAGACCAAATGCTACTAAAAGTAGAAGAAGAAGACCAAGTAAGGATGATGCAACGATGATCCAAGTTGCTACAGATGTAGTTTGTATGTGTAGTTCCGTGCTTATACTGAAAAGAAAAAATACTTAAACATTTTAGACGGAAAGAATTAGATACGAGGTTGAGTATATATCAAGCGAGCATACAAGGGTAACTATATATATATATATATAGGGTATACATAGGAATACAATCGAGATTTAAAAATTTCGCCACAGTCGAGAATCAAACCTAAGACTAGCAGTAGCATTTACGTGAAATACCCCAGTCACATAACATATACACTAGATCTACTGTCGACTTATTTTGGCTTTAGATATTCGTATGTTGGTCTTACGTTCGAGGCCCACTTGTGTAAAATTTTTGAATTGATTTATTCTTTAATCTTGTAATAGCAGTAGTGAAAAGTATAAAATTACTTTTTAACGGTTCAAAACTCAAAATAACTAGCATATTTCGCCTTATAAACCGTTAAAACTGTTTTATTTCATTGTTTGATTATTTCAAATACAATCAAACCGCAGTCTGAATAAAAGCAGATACTTACATCCTATTGTACTTATTTCCTGACAAATGATGTTTTCACTTACCTTAAGAATACAGTAGCGTCGTTAATTAATTTAAGTTCTGACGTTATAAGAACTTCATAATCTTCGCTCTTCACTTCTACAATGTATAATTAAATTGTATACGTATTATTAAAATAAAACACTTTAACAGTTTAAAACGCGATGTCTATTAGTTAAACTTAATTGAAAATTATTTGCATGTTTCGAGTTTTACTAATATACATCGCATTTTAAACCGTTTTATTTAAATGTGTACTGTTCGCGTCAACGACAAACAGGTATTGACATTTGTTAGGTACTTGAATAGGCAAATATTTTAACGTACGTAACATACGGAGACAGAAAAATTAAAACATTTTCTTGATAAGTGTAATAATTGGAGAACAATATATATTTGAATCATAATAATTTTCACATGTGCATACGAAGTGAGAATACTCCGGTTTTCACCTGTGAGGCACATACGGACACATTTTTGTGTCCTCATCACTACTCGATTTATTTACGGCCAAGTAGTTCAACAGACTTCGGTGCCCTACTCGACCGAAACGATTTTTTGACAAAGACAGTCAATGCAAACACAAACCTTTAAAAATTTAAATCACTTTTAACGGTTTAAAACGTGAAGTATATTACTTATTACTAAAAATGTATGACTCACGGCAGTTAAATTGAGAGGACAACGCCACTGAACGTTGTTGGTCTTAGGTTCGAGTCCCGGTCTTATCAATAATGTATAGACAATGATGGGATAACTTACCAAAACTCTGTGGTATCAATTCTATAGTGACATGCACTTGTGCTTTTTGTTTTCTATTCAATGGAAAATCACAGGTGAAGACACCGCTAGCGACATCTGTTAAGCATTGTATTGCACCTGTTTCGGGGTACACCTGAAACATTTTTAGTGTATACTCACAACAACGACAAGCCTGTAACATCTAGACAAGATGCCCTGCCGAACTATTTTGGCTTTGGACATTCGGAATGTACGTCAATACAGAAGAAAAATATGATATTAAGAATACTTTAAATAAGAATCCAAAGGCAATTTACACTGTAAACAACATGTAAGCAATAAGTTTCGTTAAATATTATAATACACTAGCTGACCCACCAAACGTTTTGTTGTTTGCAAGATTATTATGTTGATACAATTCGAATATTCGGAATTTGATTTCTATAAACAGTAACCGTTGAAGTAAGAATTACTCGAGCTTTCACGCGAGCTAATACTGTAAAAAAATATATCGTGGACATATTTTAATTATTTAAAGAGAATTTCTTTCTGACACTTTTCATTGCCAAAATCTTACAGTTGATATTGTTCAACATAATACAGTAACTTACAGTATGTATATATAACTTACCAATGCTGAACTGTTCATTGTACTAATGTGACTTGTATCGTTGAATTGTATGTGGCATTCTAGTCTCTCCCAGTTTGTAATACCATCGTTTGTTATCTGTGGAATTGGAGAAAAAATGTACATCAATTACAGAGATTACATTGCGTGAGAGGTGCATGTAAGACTAAATTGAAAGAATTCGACGGTGACGGATACGGTAGCTCAATTGGTTAGAACAACAGCACGGAACACTGTGGACGCCGGTTCAAATCCTGCCCGTGTCGTAATTATTTTTTTTTAATTTATAAATGATTTACATAGATCTTATGATAGTAGGCTTTGTTTGATTTAGTGAATGTTTGTATTGAAATATTTTGAGATTTTAAACAGTTAAAATATGTCATAAATATCTTGTTTTGCTTTATAGTTTGCATACACAGATAAATATGAATGTCCATTCTCCATACTGATTGAGGCCAGAAATAAACATTGGTAATTAAATAATGCATATCCAATTTTCCCAAAAACAGATGTCATTTTTTATTTATTTACTAACATATTGAAAACTTACAGGTAGCAAGCCTTTTAAATCCAGAAAAATACAAAATGTAATAAAGTAATAATAATAAATATCTATAAGAACATATATTTAAATAATGGTCCTAAATTTTTATCGAATGTTGTATGGTTTAATTTCCTAGCCTTTGGCATTTATCCTAGATTTAGCAATTAATACTTACAGTGTATACGTGAGTAATTGTCTTTTGAAATTCCAGTATTTCTGGCACTGTGGTGTCTATTATGTCGCTGGGGTTTGATCGTCTGTAAGAGAAAAAAAACTATTACTTTATATATAAAAACACGCTTTACAAGAATTACGATCATTCAAAAGAATGTTTTTTTATCAAAAAAGTTTTCATTCAAATCTTGAAATAATACTTAAATAATCTTGGTACATGGATTATAATCAGTCATTAGTTAAATGAAACACTTTAATGGTTTAAAACACGTTATATAATAGTTAAACTACGCCTCGCAGTTTCGGATGCTTTGCAGCGGCCGCGGTCACGGGGAGACTATATAAGTTCAACTGATATATATCACGTTTTAAACCGTTGAAGTGTTTTTTTTTATGTGTACTACTCTTATAAGCTACTAACAGCATAATTCATTTATCGTACGTACCCTATTATATCGAAATTGTACTCCGGATATAATTTCGTGGAACTTGTATAGCTTTCCCATTTTTCCGTCTCATCGTTGCAATGATTTTGTAGGTCAAAGGAAATTAGTATTTCCTCGTCTTTACTCTTGAGAGTGTTCATTTCCAATTCTATGTTATTTATGTCCTGTTAACGATTTAAATTTTAATAATAACTAGAGGCCCGTTCCGGCTTCGCACGGGTAGACATATGCATGCTAATTAAAACGACCATGAATCACTATATTAGAAAAACAATTGTGTGGCGCGTCCTAGCTGTTAACGACCGTTTTTCTTATTTCCTTCAAGTCGCTGCGAGCGCTCGGCCCTTGACTATCGTTCGTATAGCTGCGACGATCTTGCATTTTGTTCTGCAAGACGAACTGAACGTTCGACGATAGATTCTCTGGCTCGCGATTGAGTCGCGTACATACTAACTGTACTTTTCAGACGACCATTTTTAGAAGAAGACGACGAACTCTTGCTAATCTCGCTTGGGAACTATTCTTAGATAGCTGCCTTTTTCTTCTAGGCATATTGCTATGTAGGATATTTATTTTAAATCAGAGAAATTAGGAATAAACTAATAATAATACAAAAGAAAATATTCAAGTTCAAAAGGATAAGTTCTGAAAAGAACTTTGACAAATATTAAAAAATCAAAGTTTGATTCATGAAGCATAAAAATGTTAAAAAAAACTCGAAATATTCAATGTCGCTGGTGTCCACTGCGTAAGGAGCCCACTGCCCCTCTCTCGTCGAGTTAGTTACATGATGCGCGGCGTGGCAGCCGCGCCCGGCATGTATTTTTATTATTTATAAATATACATTTTTCCCCCGTTTTGTTCACATTTCTCGCTGTATCTTCACTCCAATTTGTCACATCGCAATGTGTTATAGCCTATAACCTTCCTCGATAGTTGCTCTAACCAACACAAAAAGATTTTTTTTATTCGAACTCGTAGTTCCTGAGATTAGCACGTTCAAACAAACAAACTCTTCAGCTTTATATATTAGTATAGATTTAAGTTAAAACAGAGCGAGAAAAATTATGAAACATGGTTAGTGGCTGCTGTTTTTCTATTACAAGTGCTTTTTTTTGTCACTGAGTAGGACGGACAGACAAGACTCCAGCCATTAAATACTATCTGTAGTTTATGCGACGTATACACGTTTAAATTAAGACATTTTTGTCGGTTTAAAAAGCGAAATGTCTAAGTTTAACTTTACAAAATTATTTCAACTACGGACCGACGTATTGCATACTGGTAAATGCTAGTAAGAAATAAAGATTGCATACCCATTTTTTTCCAGTGAGTACAGGCACAGCGGGGCTACATATGAACTCGTAAATCGAGTTTTGAATACAATTTTTGGGTGGCTGCAAAATTCGGACTCCATCAATTTTTATTCTCGCGCACGGATTGTATGCTATGTCGCCGGAATTGCTTATTGATACATTGAACTGTTCCCGCTCTGTCGATCCTATTATGTAGTTATCCCTGGAAGATTGAAAAAGGCGTATATATTGAATAAAACCATTTTAAACTGCTTTAAACGTGCACGTATTGTTCATTTGCAATCTTGCGTTCGAATCAAACTTGCGTTCGAAATATTAAATGTAAAGTAAATGTATCCTATTCTACCTATAAACGCGACTGATACTTTGGGCGACGTAGTAAAAGTTCAACTTTATCACGATTAAATGGCTTTATCGATTTTGATCAAATTTAAATGAAAAAGCGGGCAACACATAGATAACTTATTTAAATAAAACACTTTAACGGTTTAAAACGTGATAAACGTATACGATGAACGTCTCCCCGTGACAACGGCTGCTGCAAAGCATCCGAAACGTCGGGCAGAAGTTAAAAATCATTTTTCCAATAAGTTTAACTAATATATCGCGTTTTAAACCGTTAAAGTGTTTTATTTAAATGTGTACAACTCGCGTAAACTATAGACAGTAAAATGAAAAAATACATATGTAACTTTTGCACGATGAAAATTGACGGTTCAATACGGCTTAAAATATGTACCGAATAGATGTCTTCACTTCTGGTCTCAGCTTTGGCATACACCTGGCTTTCCCTGCACCGCAACTCGAACTCACTTTGCTCTCTTGTACTAACAATACACTTCTCTTACTTAAAAGTACTCGATGCGGGTCAAAAGGTAACTTCTTCGGATCTTCTCTTAATTTTGCTGTAACCTTATAGGACAGGACTTCGAATACATCGCTTTTCTGCAATAGATGTTTTTATGAACGTATCGACACGAACTTCGGTATAGTCATCGTGAGAAAATGCCTATGACGGACTCGTTGGTTTAATGGGAGCCATATTTGTCTAATAATCATAGGGTCTATTCCCGTCGGGTCCAACATTTTTCTAATCAATTTATAATTCTTCTGCAACATATAGGAATTTGAAATCTAGATATAAAACGGGTGGCAGAAATATCGAAATTCCGTCCGGGTCACCAACCATCCAAAGAAGAAAAAATTTAATCGAGTCACGGTTCCGCCTGTGGATATTCGAATACCAAGGTCATGCACGCAACTTGTTTAGATGTTATAGGCTGGAGTAAATCACCTACCATCTAGTGCTGATCAGACTTCCTCTACCATACAAAACTAAATTCGCATATAGGCTACCAGCCAACTCACTCCTCCCAACTGTGGGAATGAGTTGATGAAAATACTCACAGGAATAACAACTCGTACGCCGATGCTTTGCGTGTAGCGTGGTTGTTTATCGTTTAAAGAAAAAACAAAGGAATGTTCTCCGTTTTTTACATCCAAGGTCTCATCTACGTTACTGACCCTTGTTCTGCCGTCAGTTATTTCTAAGGTAATAACGATCTCTGAAAATATTTAATCCTGATTGTCCACAGAATACTTAATAAAACAGAAGGATTGCTCGGTCACAATAGAACGCAGTATAGTCTAATCACATTCACAAACAAACATTTCTAACGGTTACAATACGAAATATATGGTTTCTTTACAATCTATTTGAACTTTTGGAGCAGCCGTGGTTACGGTGGATACGACAAATTATTAAATTCTAAAGTATCAGCAGTTTCATTTGAATGGATTACAAAAATGGCTATCGGCTAAGGAACTCCAATTTGTATTAGTCACGACTGCCTTAAAGAATTACTGACATTTTGTTTAAAGCCAAATAATACTTCGAGCTACACAGCAGCGAGAAAAACGCGTACAGTTAATGACTCACCAGCTTTTATATCGTTTGGCTTTTCTGGATAAAGAACATCTAAAACCACGTTAAACGATATATCTTCTTCTGTTTTATCACCTGCAAACTAGAATTAATTGTGTACACTCTCTACACATTAATAAAATCATGAACAAATGGCTTATGTCAGGAAATATTTAGTTATGCGGCCAAACATGCCACTGCATCATAATATCTTTCCTAATGTCTGATTTGCAGTTCGAGGCATATGTTATCGGCTGGATGCCTCTTAGCCGGTGTTCTAGCTTGTAGTCCCAATGTACTTTAGTCTTAAGCAAACCAAACAAGTATATATTTAATACAACCCGATGTAAGTCCCCCCGTGACGACGGCCTCTACGAAGCATCCGAAACGTCAGGCCGGTGTTTTAAAGGATATTTCCACTTTCAAAATTTCGCGTTTTAAACAGTGTTTTATTTAAACATCTAAAGAATTGAATCTTATAACTAATTCATTATCAATTAAAACAAAGATATGTCTGATGAATACTATTTAAAAAGTAATTTTATATTTTTATAATAATTGTAAGTAGCGTACCATACCTGTAACCTAGGAAATTCTGTTTTTAGGTAGACTGTAATAGATGCCAATGATCGAAATATGACGACCTTGTTACTCTCTGGCGCACCGATTGATAACTCTGAAAGAAAAACTCTTATTTATTATTTAATTAACTGGCCTGGCAATCGTTCGTTTGCTTAAAATGCGATATATTAATTAAACTAATTTGAAAATTATTTTTTACTTCGGCCTGACCAGTCTCTCCCAGTCACCACGGCTGGTGCAAAGCATCCGAAACGTCGGGCAGAAGTTAAAAATAATTTTCAAATACATTTAACTAATATATATCGCGTTTTAAACCGTTAAAGTGTTTTATTTAAATGTGTACTACTCGCGTAAACTACGCGTATTTACCATAAAATCAACGTTTGAAGTTTATTTTAAAAGATATAGGTATAATGTATATTGCCGCGGATTTTTTTTTAGATTAATTAAAAGAAAAACAATTCTCTTGTATATAAGTATTTTTGTAGTTAAAATATGTAAATAAATTAATTTTTCACATTTCAAACCGTTAACAGTGTTATTTAAATGTTTTATCTCTTAGCAAGCACTGTAAGTTATCTTCGAATTTTAAATACCAACCGTTTGATCCATTATCATCATAGTCCCATAATGTTGCCAGACTTAGTCCAAAGGCATGAAATCCTTCTGCTTTTATTCTTAATGGTATGCTGTAGAAGTCTCCACCAGTGAAGATGTAGACAGCACCAACACCTTCATCCTCATATGGCGCAGCGATTGCCACTTCTAGAAGATAACATTCGGAAGATACAAAAATGAATCATCTATACTAAAATATAAAGCTGAAGAGTTTGTTTGTTTGAATGCACTAATCTAAGAAACTACTGGCTCGAATTGAAAAAGAAACGTGTTAGAGCACTTATCGAGGAAGATTATAGACTATAAAACAGGGCGCTACGACTTATAGGAGCGAAGTAACAAATTCCTCATTTATTTTTATCCCTATAAGTGTATATTATGTTTAAAAAATATGTATTTCGTTTAACACTTTATTTATTCAAAATAATAATTATACCTTGCAGAATAAACTAAACACATTACCATATTGCAATTATTTAAGCATGTTCTATAGTTTACGCGAGTAAGTAATACACCTTTAACGGTTCAAAACACGAAATATATAAGTTAATTATTATTTCGCGCTTTAAACGGTTAAAAGTGTTTTATTTAAATACAAATTCTTCACTTACATATTTGAACAAAGCTAAGAAATAATGCTACATAATCGTAAGTATTTGTATCGATCGAAAATGGTATGGTATGGTAATTTACAACACGTATTTAGCCAGATTTAAAGAAAAAGTAATGTTGATGTACAGTTTAAAGCTAATATATAATTAAAGGGAAAACAACGTACCATCTATCTTGTCTCCATCCATATCACCGAGGTTTGTCATCGTCACCCCAAAATACCCACCGGGTTTTTTACCTGTTATCACTTTTTTAAGAGTTAACATCTGTAACAATATTTATGTATACATAAATAAATCTACTTTACAAGTTGTAAAGTAGATTTATTTATGTATCAATCATTATCATAAGAAAGATATTAATTAATTCTAAGCTATTTAGCTTTAAGGAAATCTTCACGCTTTTGTTTAAAGAAAACCAGGAGGTTAAGTACTCTATATTATCTTAAATTTAACTATTGTCTGTAGTTCCTGCGGGTAGTACACATTTAAATAAATCGCTTTTCAAACTACCCGCGTGACGACATTGTAATGTCGGGTCGCACTAAAAATAATGTAAACATAAGTTAATATATTTCGCTTTTTAAACCATTCAATATTGAAATATAAATAAATCGCTTTTCACGGGGGGTCCGTGACCACGGCTGCTGCAATGCAAGCAAAATGTCGATCCATAGTTAAAATAATTTAAAAATAAGTAATTTTTTCGTGTTTAATACTTACAGTCGGTGATGTATCCGAATTAGGTACATAGATATATACAGCGCCCGTATCACTAGAAGAGGTCTCTTGCGCATACGTCGGCGCTCCAATTAACAAAGAATCAAAATTACCCTGCAACCGAACTGCGCAGAGGCAGGCTCCAAACATGGTTCCTAATTGCTCATGTATAATTGTGTCCACATAAGCATAGTCCTTGGTGAAGAAATATACCTGAAGCATTTTTAATGTAAGTTATAATCTAAACCGGATTAACGTTTTTTATTTATTATTATGAAATAAATTCTACAGGCTTTAGGTCCGTGCCTTTTTTGAGTTTATGCTACTATGAAATTTGTATAATTTTACATGTCGTGTTATCTCCATTATGTTTTGAAGTTTATATTTTTATGTTTACTGTATAGTGTATTTTTTATTTATTTTTTAACATAATACCGTTTATTTTTATAATTGGGGCTAGGTCTCTATTCTACAAAGCCATTTTTATATATTAGACAATTGTGCTCTCAGGGGCATTAATAACATTGTAGATAAACGGTTCTAGCAAGAGAGGGTCTGGGTTTAAATCGCGACACAATAAATTATTTCGATCGGACTGGGCACAGAAGTTTAAACAACTACTTGCCTGTAAATAATTATCAGTGTAATGATCATTGAAACGGACACAAACATGTGTTTCCCATTAAAACAGGATTTAGTAAAATGAATTAAGATAAGCCATCATGCCCAGGTTGCCTCATGATTGGTTGTACGCACCTTGAATACAAACCTAAGACTAAACACATTATACCTTAAATAAAACACTTTAACGGTTTTAAACGCGATATATTAGTTAAATTTATACTTGCAGCAGCCGAAACGTCAGGCCGAAGTTAAAAATCATTTTCAAATAAGTTTAACTAATATATCGCGTTTTAAACCGTTAAAATGTTTTATTTAAATGTGTACTACTCGCGTAAACTATAGACAGTACATATATACGTTACCTTAGGAAATCCTAAGTCACCGAACGTCGTACTGATTGCATATAGTGGCTTTGCTGAGAAGAAGTTGCCATAAGCGATACTGTAACCTAAAAAGAACATAACTTTCGTTGATGTAATAGTAGCAATGTATGGCTATTTAATCAACGGGTCGTGGGTACGATCCCCATCAGGTTTAACATTTTCTAAACATTTTATAACTTTTCTAAAACAAGGTGGACTTCGTCTGGAATTCTGGTTAACAAATGGGTGGTAGCAATATCGGAATTCCGTGCGTGTAACATCCACCGTCCACAGATGAGAAATCGTGTAATTTAATCACGTTACGGTTTCTGTGAATTTTCTAATATCAAAAGCGAATAAGTCGACAGTGCATCTTGCTTAGATGCTATAGCCTGGGTTATACACCTACCATCAAGTGATTTGTCTGTCCTTCTCTATCATAAAAACGTATCATGGATAACAAAGTTATTTATTTATATTTTTTAGCGACAATTAAATTTCAAATGAAAAATAGAGCATCGTAGGTAGCACTGCAAAAACCCAGCCTTCTACAGTTACATTGCAAAGCAACAGATGGCGTCATCGCAGCAGAATCAACTTTGTCATTAGTGCCCCCACTACCGGTCCAATTAAAGTATTAAAGAACTTACCAAAGTTTAAGCGCACGGGGTCATTGGAAAGAATCTTTCTATTAATTAATATTGGTTCTTTTCTTTTTTTCATGTCTTCATATACGATAACGCGTCCTGCAAATATTCATTTAACATATCTGGTGTAGATGTAAAACCATTTTAAAATTTATAGTAATATATAAAGCTGAAGAGTTTGTTTTAACGCGCTAATCTCAGGAACTACTGGTTCGCTGTGACTAAAAAAACAAGGGGGGAAGTTATTCGTCTCTCTGGGTTTCCGATGCGTACGCTACGAAAACGGTTCAAGACTCTAAAAAACTATGTACGAATCACCGTACACAGTTGAAAAGTCGCTGTCTTACTCTGTCATAAAACGAATTATCTGGCATAAAAAATTCGTTCAAAACTGGTATAAGAAATATATTATTTATTAGATCTTTTCTATTTATACGTATTATATATTTATTACGTATTAACTTATTTATTAGTGTATATATCTAGTTATGCACACATATATTGTAGTAGAGTAATGCAATAATTTTTTGGATTGATTGTTCATATGAATAAAAATGCTTTACTTTTTGCGAAGTAATTAGCCTTCAAGTACCATCTTACCAGTATGCTGAGCTGGTCCTCCAATGGCAACCGCCTCATCTGGTTTTGTGATCAATATGCTCCAACCAAATGTGTCCATTTTCTTTTCTAGAATACAAATGTATAATATAAATAAATTGACAGTGCAAATTAAACCTCTTTTATATTTGTGTAAGAGAATATTTAAATAAAACATTTTTAACGATTTAAAATAATATATAAATGTTTTAAAACATATGAATAGGCAAGTAACTATAGTTGTTTACAATATTTAAGTAATATTTCGCGTTAGAAACCATTTAAGTGTTTGATTTAATTCGTATACTCGTGTATAGTGATTTTTTTTACTTGGCAAAAAACCATAACAAAGATGGCCGATTCAAAGCATAGCGATGATAATGATTAATGAATTTCAGTATAAATCAATGTAAGCCTTGTGAGAAAATCACGGATCATGTAAATCGTGAGTTCGTTTACAAGAAATGCCAAGTAAGAAAAATACACTATAAACGCATACTACTCGCGTACAGACGATACTGTAAGAAAGGAGTTGATTTTTTAAATCTACATATATATCACGTTTCGACTTGTTTAAAGTAAACCTTTTTGCAAGTTTTAATTAGCGCATTTTTTTTAATTTGCAAATTTTAATTCGAGCAATGGTTAATTCCTCGACTAAGAACGCCGAGGAACATCCACTTGTGATGGTGAAATGTTACGCTTATGTGTCGTTTCACCATTTCACTGTATCACGTTTTACGTCTCACCACCATTAAAAACCCAAGCCGCTCTTAAAAATATGCACGAAAGCGTTTAACAATTTGATAGTTAAAAGAAGTGTTATTTTTATATACAACTCGTGAATACAGGTCAAACTTACCAAAACTGGTAGCGTTCAACCATCGATCATGCTTGGTGATGGGTTGTAGAAGCTCCATATATTTTAAATCTCCCAGGTGTACAAAACAGACACCCACGTTGGCTAATTTTTCAATACGACTCCCTAGATCGAAGAGAAAATTCCTTTCTTATATGTATTATCATAATTTCCATCAGAGAGTGTTACTTCTGATTTTAGCCATATTTTATTCTAATTATATCCTCTATAACCGCCTCTGTAGCCAAATATGCAAATAGCCTAGCATTGCGTTAAGCGCGAGAGGTCTTGGGTTCGCATCCCTGGGAAACACTGTTTCGGTCGGACAGGGTACAAAAGTCTGATCAACTACTTGCCTGATAAAACGGATCACTGAAACGGAGATAGAAATGTGTTCGCCCCATGCCCCGCGAAGGGGAAACGGGATTTGACTTAACACTTTTTACATCCTCTATAAACGAATACTAGTTACAAATAACTAGTCGCCAAACTCATGTGACCTAACTTTTAGTTATATTTAATCCTTTTAAATAAAACACTTTAACGGTTTAAAACGCGATATATTAGTTAAACTCATTTGAAATAGAATTTTTAACTTCGGCCCGACGTTTCGGATAAGTTTAACTAATATATCGCGTTTTAAACCGTTAAAGTGTTTTATTTAAATGTGTACTACTCGCGTAAACTATAGACAGTATATATTTAATACTGATTTTAAAGCTACATAATAAATTAAACTTGTTTTTCATAATTTTGGGTTAAGTTGAATAAATAACTTTTTTTTTTATACTAACATGACTATCTATCTATCTTAACAAAATATATTTGAATGTTGGTTGGGTGTTATGATAACTTTTTTACGTTTACTAATTCTAATTAACTACACACCTTTTTTGAATGGTTTCAGTTCGTTAAACCGTGGTGCGCATGCCTGTAAATGGAAGTAAATATTGCATCAGTTAAATATAGGTATAAAGTTATAATAATATAATATAATATTACTTAGAGTATAAAATATAATAATAAGGATAAATATAAGAAAAATTTTACCAACTTTGATTAGAAAAAACATAAACGTCGAATTCGTGCGCAAAGAAAAAAAAACTACTAATGCAGTTAAAAAAACAACATTCGTTTGAACACGTTTGGTGAAAAGTGCCATTTGACTAGAAAATAACTATTAGACATAAATTAAACAAAAATCTATAAATACTACTTTCGTTTATGTTTGTCATGATACCTTAATTCCTTCAGGTTACCTTATTTGAAAGTAAATCTATGTGTATATAATTATTTTTGTGTATTGTTAAGCTTCGCATGACCTGCACGCTCCCATGATGTCTTTTATGAACTCGATGCACTGTATAACTTGTAAGAATTTGATCTTTTAAATTTGTATTATTAAGAATACTTTTAAGTAATTGTATGTATATATAATTTGTGTTTGTGTGTTGCAATAAAGAATTATTAAATAAATTTACCACAAAGAAGTCATGCCCCGCTCTGACGGAAGCCCCAAACCACCATTCAGTGACGATATCACTCGCATTTTTTGTTCTAGCTTGAGCTGAAATCGAAATCAAACGTTCTATTTAACACAAGGATTATATATAAGTACTATAATCAAATCAATAAAACATATATATGTGGGTATATTTTTAATTAAAAGTATCAATATTATTCATTCTTATAGCAATAGTACTCAAAAACAATAACAGCAGTAGGGAGACACTTATAACAAATCCGATTTAAGCATTATTGCTCGATATCTATCTATACTGATATATATAGCTGAAGAGATTTATTTATTTTATTTATTTTATCTAACTTGAAGAGGAGATTTGCAAAAACAAATTTGGATGGTCAAAATAACTTCTCTACGCGAATGAAGTCGCTGACTCAGCTAGTCAATCATATAAAAGGGGGTTACTTGAAAAATTTCTATTTTGTATATCGAATCAAACTCGCCTGTTATTTAATTTATCGTACACAAAAATATTTAATAACTAAGTAACCGTCCAGTGTTGTTTTATGGGCTTTTTACGCACCTTGCATTAAATGTTGACTGTGAACATTTCTTATGGTATAATCTTGTAAATCTATGAGAAACACTTGACCGAACACATCAGATCGCGGTGCACTTACGATTAAGCTGGGGAAAAAAATAGACATATTGTTTAAACTTTCGGCGATAGAAGTAGCGGCGTTAGATGTATTTTTAATGATTGATCACACGGGCTTGTTGGTGTAATGTGGCATTAATAATTTTTCTGAACACGTTAGACTTTAATGTAAGGCTTTCGCGGACATCGTTCAGCATATCATTATTTTTTGGGCTGTTCTCTGATTGCTCTAAGAATTATCATAATTCTTCGAGCAGTCGAGGAGTTAACATCTCCTGATGATGCCGTCCGCACGTGATGGCGAAACGTCGAAAACCTCTTCTCGCTCACCTCGGCCGAACAGCTCGAAGAACAATGATATGTTGGACTTTAACTGCAAATCGGTGATAGGAATATTGCTATAAGCTAGAGTAATTCATCTGCCATCGAGTTCTATGCCCTTCTCTCAGCACCGATCAACAAAAAATTCAAACATGAAACTTCATACCTTTTCTTCGACGATAGATATGTCACACCATAACCAAACAGACCAGTGCCTGTGACAGAGTTTGGGGCATCGATGATTTTCATAGATGGCTCGTGAAAAAATGCATTCGATTTCAGTATTTCTAAATAAAGCAAGATTAATATTCTATCTGGAATAAAACAAATAACATGGGTTAGCATAAATCTGTGTCCGTTTGAATGATCGATTTTTATGTACAGGCAAGCAGTTGATCAGACTTCTATCCGCTGCTCGACCGAAATAAATTACCGCTTCCCCGGGATTCGAACCACCTTTCGCGCTTTACTTGGCAATACGCTTAAGCATTTAGCTACAAAGTCAGAACCGTGACATTAGGTCAGTAGTTCGTAATATGTTTACGCGAGTAGTACACATTTAAATAAAACACTTTAAACGGTAAAAAACGCGACACTTGGGTCTCCGGCGACCACGTTCTAAATATCCGAATATATATCGCGTTTTAAACCGTTTAAGATCTTTCTTTTTTATTATACACGAATCGCGTAAACTACAGAGAATACTTAAGTTACGGTTTTTTTGTATTATTATGTATAATAAAAAAGATACATGAAATAACAAACATAATACTTACATAACATATTGTGAGATATTAAATTTAATAATAAACATATAATATAGCACAGGTCGTTTGAAGTAGAGAATTCAATATGACGACCGCTTAGTATATTTTCCTGGTGATAATAGCACTTATTATCGTGTGGATGTTTTGAATATTACCGCTATGGTTTATATTTGAAGTACCTTATCCTAATTTTATTAAACTATGTTATAAGCCCCTGATTCTTATTTAACCCTTGATTTCTTAAATTATTACTAAATATGATGATATGTAGGTATGTACGTCTTTTTGCCAAAACCGCTGAAGTAATTTTGATAATAGATACTTCCAAATATTAGATAAGATTAGACCATAAGCATCAAACAGACCATGAAATCGTGGTGGTTTCATTCGAACACATAGTGTTAAAATGGAACCTTTTTTTTGTTTTTTTTTATTCAGATAAAAAAAAAAACAAAAAAAAGGTTCCATTTTACCATCAGTGGTGTGAATGCTTAAGGCTCACTCACGTCGGTCAATGGTGACATGGGGAGTGCGGTAAATCGTATAGCCGACCAGAACCACTAAACACACCACCAGCCCTCTACAGTGCTTAGAGGGAGCCCTGGGAATAAAATGGAACCCTAACAACTGAATCTGGAAATCGACAGATAAACTGACAGCCGTTTGTCAGTTATGGGTACTCAAAAACCGTCGAGATATCTGTCGCCATTATAAAAGAAATAATAAAATCACAATGAATCGCCTTCTTTTCATTTTTTATATGTTGCAAAACGAAATAATGATACCAGTCTATATTACAAACAGTTGATTATACTTTCTAGACAAGGGATTCGAGCCCACGGTCCTGGTGCTTATCGCATTGAATAGTTTTCAATAATCTAATTAAACAGAGAGTTATATATCAAACATTAATTGATCGTATACGAATGACCTGATGATTCATACTACTAAACATACTAATAAAATCGTTCTTTTTAAAAGGTACAACATATATGCACGTTACGCATATGCCCTATTTATATCTACGTCATATTAAAATTTAATTCACTTTAAATAAATTAAGTTACAATGAATCACACATTTCAAACAATAATTGTTTCCTTAAATAGTATAAAATTAGTATTTGAGTAAACGACTCCGTTATAGTGAGTTTATAGTACCGTTCTCTTGTATTTTTCCTCATATTCATGTACTTCAAATATGTGTAAGTTATTTTACACCTCACTGCTATGTCCGCCATGTTTTATTCTTTTATAATACTTTTACTCGCGAAGAAAATATATTGCTTGAAGTATTTACGCGATAGAATGTCTGTGTCTAGATTTTTATTAAGTGTTATTCTGATGTAAAACATATGGTCGGAAATTCAAGCGAGTACTACACGATACTTTAAACATATTTAACCGTTTAAAACGCAAACGATTCAAGTAATAAGTATATTTCAAATCTCACATTGTAAAAAGTTCTTTACATTAAATCTTTGACTTAAATAGTAACATTCATGTTAGATTAAAACTTGTATGCGTTTTGTATGTAATTTTAATAATTCATTTGTTCTCTTAACGGTATTCTGTAGATATTTTCCTATCTCTTTGTCTGATACTGAAAGTACAATCGGTATGGTCTGCCTTCTTCCACGAACCATCTTATATTGAAGTATCGCCAAGTGATGAACACGCAAAAGACTTCGGATCTACAATAACTTATTTGAACCGTACTTTATGTAAGTATGTTTTAAAGCTTGTAAATGCCTGCCTTCCCCGGCATGGGTCGACCACAATTCTGTGTTTGTTTAATTTTTACTAACTAATTGATTTTATATACAAGCAAGTAATTGATCGGGTTTCTACACCTACTTGACCAAAACAATCTATTCGAGTTTCATATCCTGTACCTCTTATGCTTAAGACGACATAGGCGGAATTTGAACCAATTGAGCTACCGCGTCCTATACGTCATCGTCGAATTTATTAAAGGATTTACATACACCTATGGTGTATTGTATTGTCGTCAAAATTCATATTTAAAAATCAAAATATTAAAGTCATTTTACATACTTTTAATAAAAATTGCCTTGAATATAGTTATTGTATGTCAAAGGTATTGTTTTATACTGTCAATGGCGTGTTACAGAACTGCAAATCGTATGTTTCTGTATAAGGATGTGTGTTATAAATATCGATACATTTAAGTTATTACCCAAAACTTTGATATTTATATTTGTTATTGAATTATTATTTTTTAGTTGTCGGTGCACCACATGCAAGTTTAAATGGAGCTGTTTACAAATGTCCTATAAACGAAATTACAAATAATTCACTCGTATGTACGGATAGTGGGATAAACATCGATAAATACTTTGATGATTATAATAGGAGTAAGTATACTTGTTAGTCTAATTTATTTTTTTCTAAAACGTGTTGGCAACCTTGATATTAGATGGGTGGCAGAAATATCGAATACCGTCAGCGTCACGAACTACCGTCAACAGACGGTAAAGCCGTGAAGTGTAATTTGGTAATTTGGTCAATTCGATCCGTGACGCATGTTATTTAGGTGTTATTTGGCTAGGGTACCACTTCCATCAGCTGTATGCTTGTCTATCCTCTTTAAAATAAACTTGATTTCACGAACAGTATGTAATAAGACTTAGATTATGTTTGAACACGGGATATGATAAGGATATTGTGATAATTCTATGACCGTTTTACACTTCATTACTAGGCAATTGAATCATCGAAATAATATTATTTCTTGGTCGGGATTCGAACCTGTAGCAATACTTTAGCAATTGACCAATCAAATAGAGTTCGTCTGCACAACGCTCAAAGAGGACTAAAAGACATTAATGTGACTTCTGTTTTTTTTTTATTCTATTCTTTATCTACCTCCGATTTCAGCGTTATATCCAAGCCAACCATTTTGCCTCGGCGGATCTGTAACGGCAACCAAAACTGATATTATTGTAAGTTTCTATTACTAAGTTTAAAATTAATGTACCACTACGGGTGGGTTTTATTATAAAATGTTAAACCCCTGCTGGTCTAGTGAGGATTGGCAAAGCTTGATGACTTCTTCTTGTTTAGTGAAAATAGCTAGGACCGACAGCATAACATACTGTCCAAGGGTCATGACAGTTGCTACTTTCAACCTTCAAGCGGATATGGAAAATATGTTTTCTCCGAATACTAAAATTACATTTCTGCCGAACCTACATTATGAACCCTGGACCTCCTGAATTATAATCCAATGTATTATTTAAATAAATCAACAAAGTATTGCTTAGGTATAAATATCACTCAATTGTAATTAAAACTAAATTTTAAAAATATAAATATTTCAAACGTTAAAAATAGTGTTGGTCAAAAGAAAACTCTCGGTGGGACCACACATGGGTTAAGCTTGTACTATACAATTTATTTTAACTACGGCCCGACATTTCCGACGCTTTGCAGTAGCCGTGGTCACGGGGGAAAAATTAAAAAGATAATATAATGTCGAAAAATTATTAATGCAAGATATTTGTAACTACGAAATTCAAGATTCAAACGTTGAACTACTTGAAATTTTGAAACCGTTAAGTAAGTAAGTCAGCGTTGCCAGCATTTTTTCAGACCTGTGCACCGTTATGGGCGAAGTCTATCACAGCTAAAAATGACGTTATCCTGGGTGCGTTTGGTACCTGCTTTAGAATGACCGGTGATAGCACTCAGAAGTACAATGGGCTTCTAGAATATTACACGCAGACTAGACAGTTAGATGTGAAACCGAAGGACACGCCTACCTTAGGTAAGATGTAAAAATTATTTGATGACTTTTTGTATCTGTGAATAAAGTAAAGTCTGTTTAGAATGTGGGGTATAATTCTCTACTATGCGCCTACAGTGCGAAACAGAATTTTTGACATAGAAACGAAATTGGTAAAATTAATACAGAATGCATTTTGGTCTATGGTTTACCAGTTGGTACAATTTAAATGCTATTTATTCAAAGTGAACCAGCCAATAGTGGGTTCGATTTTCGGTGGCGTCATTAAAATATATTTCCTTTTAGTTTTACGTATTATATAGGATGATTAATCATTTTAATATCTCATAAAACAATATCCCAAATTGTCAATTCACCTGTAATTAAAGCTTGATTCTAAAACAGTGGAATATCGACAGCACATCTTAATTATATATTTTCTGGACTTCATGCTTGTGGGTGTCCTTATCTGTTAATTATTTTTTATTTAGATGACATCTATGGTACATTCGGATGGACAACCCTGGTGGACGAAGTGAACGAAATAATTATTTTCGCAAAGCCATCAGACAACGCTATCAGTAGGATTACGTATTTGAAATTGTCGGAGCCCAATGCGTTCCCGAAGATTGTCCAGCTGGATGAACCAGGATTATTGTCTTTTAAATATAAAGGTATATATTAACTCTTATTACTTTAATACATAAGAAACCAAGAAAAGTGACCCCGTACAAAAAATACTTAAGTTACATTTTTGATTAATAAATTGGTGTTATAAATATAATAATTTATTTAAAAATATATAATACATTATATTATCATTTACTTATATCTGTATTGCATTCAAGTGATTCACATTAAATAAAACAATTTTTACGATTTTCAATACAAACTGTAATAATTTGTCAAAAGTTAATAAAACCCGGTGTTTGGATACTTAAAAGGAGCCACCGGGTCGCTTCGGGTAAACAATAAAAAGCAACCAACTATATTGCAAATTTAAAACCGTTGTAATTATTAAACCAATTGTTCTGAATACAATGTTGTATAGACAATATAAATTTAAAATTCCTTACACGTTGTTTCAAATTATATACTTTTTCAGGTCGTGCTTTAGCTCCGGGCGATTTTTTTCAAAACTATGAAAAATTAATTGCGTTTAGTATGGAAAACGATAAAAGAGTAGGAGCTGTAAGTTTGAAAAAAGTCCAATATGCTAATTGTTGATTATTATCAGCCATACATTGCTACCATTGGTCCAATTAGATCCTTGGTTTAATTCAGTTGAAGCTTCTTTATATCCTTACATTTAATTTGCAGATAGGTTTTCTCTCTTACAATTCAGCAACTAACACTTTATCAGTGGTGAAAAATAGTGGACGTTCTGTCCTCATCAAAGAAGGAACAGTGGGCTCTATGTTTGGCTCTGCATTACACAGTACAAACATTAATGGGGATCATCACACTGATTTGATTGTTGGTGCGCCGGCGCAGGCTTGTCGCGATGGCAGCTATGAAATTGGAGCTGTTCACATTTATATCGGAGGCGGACCGGTAAGATATTTAGTTCTGTACCTAATTTGTAAACTACTACATCCAACAAATTCGTACAATGTTTTGGACTCTGTCTAGAAAACCAGTGTCTGTGGATTTTGAATGTCGAAAAAAAGTAGTATAGATGCTCAGATGTAGAATAGTTAAGTATTTCACTTTCCACGAAGTACCCCATGTTAGTTTTTCGTCCTTGACCGTAAAAAAAACGTCTGCTTTGTTGTCTTTTGTTTTGGTCTAAAGAACTCAGAACCTTGTTCATGGAATAGACTAGAAATGTTTTAGTTCCTCAATAGATAAAGGATTTTCTCGTTAGCAAACAATAACTTTCAATTCTTAATTGATGTGTTTAATTAAATGAAAAAAACTGAATAACTTTTGCTTTTAGGCTAAGGACAAGTCGTTCTCGAACCTTTGTATTTGTGGAAAAGAAGATGGTTCTAGATTCGGCACAGCTATCGCGTCTGCTGACTTGGACGATGACCAAATACCTGGTGAGTACGTTGTTGCATTTTGATTATAGAACTTTTGTAATTTCTTCTTGTATTATTGTCTTACAATAAAACGGTAGAACATTAAATCGTAGTGTTAAGTTTGAATTGTATTTGCGCGAAGCACGTTTAAGAGAATGTATTGCTGAGTTAAATTATCATGTAGCTTAATTGTTTTCCACTAAGATAAGAAGTGAACCTCTTATTAATAGGCATATACAGTACCTTCACGTGATCTTACCTTAACAGATATTTTTCGTTAAATATCATTTCAGAAATATTTATAAGCGCTCCATACGAGATTTCGGGAAGTGGAAAAATATATGTTATATCTGGTTATGACGTGAAACAGACTCTTATCGTTAAGAAGAGTATCAAGAAAGCTAATATCTTCATCAGGGAAATACCAACGCAGGAGTTAAGAAATGAAAATCATAAAGCATTCGGTTACAGTCTGCAAGTTATTCCCGATTTTGAGAGTCAATTAAGTGGCAAGTATTTTTTAAGGACACAGGTTCGATTCTGGAGTAAGAAGTGAGAGAATTATTCAACATTATTTAAAAATTATTGTAAATTTTGTGATAATATAAAAGTATTTAGTATTACAATATTGAAAAATTTCATGAATAGTTTGCGTTTGCATTCGACTCTCATGATAACAAATAATGGCAACAGTTGGTACAAGCATAGAATTAGCATAATGAAAAATATGCCCAAATATCTAAAGTCAAAATAGGTCGACAGTGCATCTAAATTAGATGTTATGTGGCTGGGATATATCACCTTACTTGTCTTGTTGGGAACCCCATACTTGTCTGTCCTCCTTCAACATAAAAAAAATGTAAAAGCCACAACATAATTTTAGCATTAGAAGCTAGAACACAAAAGTAATGACAAAAAATACTAAGTCCTAGATTTCTTTTCAGCTTTAGCAATAGGCAGTCCAGATAGCCAGCAAGTAGCTGTATATAGGAGTATACCGTCCATAACGGTTGTGATTTCCATCATAGGCGAACAGGTAAATTAACCGGAGGGAAATTTATGGCCATTGTAATCTGGGGTAAAATATAACAAATTATTATAGTTATATTTTATATTCTGGACAGATTGTACGAGAATCGGATGAAGAGTTTTCAGTAGGGTTTCGAGTAGATGTCCAGTACCCGAAAGCAGTGAATACAACAGCAAGTATGAAATAATATAGTTTTATAAGTACTTTCATAAAGGGTCAGAATTTTATTCGTTTTCAAATGCCACAGAATCACTCTATGTTATAGACTACACAGCTAACAATTAGTTTTTCGCTTTACTAGCGTCTATTAATATTATCGACTATGGAGCTTAGGCGAGAAATCGTTATGTATGGATATCTGTAGGAGTATTTTCTCTATTTCCCATTTTCTTACAAGGACTTATAAGGACTTACTTACTACTATATAAAGTAATATCTTCCTGATAATGGTTTGCCTATTCACGAGCATTCACTTGAAGACACAGACGGATAGTAACATATTTTATAATGTTTGTTTACAGAGTTGTTACTAACAGTAACTTTAGTGGGCACCGCGTACGCTTCGATAAATGGAGATAATATATTTACAATAGATCTCAGTAATAACAAGCCTTATTATTTATCTGTGGTTGACGTTGCGCTTGTAAGTATTGTGGTTAAAAAATATTTACGTTTTAAAATAGATAGTTTTAACGGCTTTAATGATATATTAATTAATGAATTATCTTATTTTAAATATGAACTAAATAGTCTTAAGCTGTTAATTTATGTGTTATTTGATGTAATAATATTACTTATCACGTATCCCTCACGTTTTATGGCTAATTATTACAGAACGATAGAGATCCACACACATATAAATTAAAAGCTACAATGACAACATATAATGAGGATTTTCAAAGTATCGGTAAGTGTATTAAACTTATATTAGCTTGTATTGTTTAAACGTGAGAATTTATTTGGAGTTTGCCAGGGAACATCGTTGGTCTCACACTGTTCTTTTTATACATTTTTGTAAAAAATAATTTTACAATTCCAAAATTAGCTATGCCTTCTTAGCATCCAGTAATTCTACTTATCTTAACATCTAATTACTTTGACGTCACTATGTGTGCATTACGTTACACGTATGCATTACGCAAGTGATATTTACTCCAGCAATCTATTGTAGACTACTAATATAATACCTCCGCCCTCATATTTATACTCAAAATGTGACATTTATACAGCCAACTACGACAGTTCGCTGGTAAGATTAAGTCAGTACAGTAAATTGGAGTTATTACATGACATTACACGTACTTGTGATGACAACGTGTGCAGACCTAAGCTGTCCGTTGCTATTGACTGGTCTAGAGGGTAAATCATTATTTTATACTAATTAAATGTTTATTTCAATACATTCATTTTATTTTTAATTTTTTAAATGTTTTTAGCGAAACTTACATACTTGGTTCGTCAGACGAAGAAATTATATCAGTAAAAGTACAAAACGATGGGAATAGTTCGGATGTATCTTGTGTTTGGCTTCAAGTTACCGGAGCACCGGTAAAAAATTACTTCCCTTAACAATTATTGCTAATATAAATTTCCCATTTATACAGACAGATTTTAAAGTTTTAAGGGCATATTAAGGAAACCTTATAACTTATTTTAAGAGCAACATGAGTAAAATCGCGGGTTATAGCAATAGCTAAAATACGAACTTTTAATTGAACACTTAGTTTGATAATAATTACATAAATTTAATTAGGTTGCAGTATTGGAATGTGATCAACCAGAAGCGAGGTGGTACAAATGTAACCTTTTGACAATTGGAAGACATGAACAGGTCAGTTTGTAATGTATTTTGTTTAACAAATGCATACCAATTTTTTTGTATTTCTTGTACTTTTTATTTATCTCTCCATTATTAACTATAAATTAAAGCTATCCCTCCAATGAAAATAAGTTATATTTTTTCCTCGTATATTTGGTGTAACTTTCAGCAAGACAATGATATAACAAAACGTATAATCGAAAAGATTAACAGACACTATAGCTCTATTGGTTAGAGCTGCAGCACGGAAAGCTGTGGATTCAGGTGCCGTCTGTGTGTTTTTCTTTTTAATCTAAACAGATTTTTCATTTGTTACACTTATACTTAAGTAGTTATAATGTCCTAAATATTCTACATTCATATTTAATACCATATTTTTGAGGTAAATTTTATTAATTTAAAACCGAAAAAAAATTGTAAAAATTTTTGTCTCCCGACTCGAGTTCCGTGCTGTTGCTCTCTGACGCTGACGGTTGACGGTGTGCAATAACTTGTAAAAATAATGAAGTTTTCAAATTTCATTAATTTTCTAGCGAGCCATAAACATAACCCTAGATATGAAGAGACCAACAAACGTTGATAACGAACTTCGAATAGATGTATTGCTGTATAACAACTGTCCCGTGTCGAGGATTCAGACGGATTACGACGTACAGCCCAAAATAATACCGTACACGCTGAATTCAGACGATGTTGAAATAACGGGGTAAGTTATTTATCACTTACTACTATCTGCGACTTCGTCCGCTTAGAATAGTTATTTTGGACATCAAAATTGTTTCTGCAAACCCCCTCCTTATCTTTATGAATTTAAGCTGCTACTCACGACGTCGGTCGCGTCCCGTCGTTCTTGCAAGTTAGTCTTAAGAGATAGATATATAGACATTTTCTTAGATTCTTTAAAGAGGAAAAATTATTTCAGGAATATTTTTTGAGTATCTTAAACCGTTTTCGCAGCGTTCGCCTCGGAAACCCATAATGATGATAATCTTATCTAATGGGGAAAATTATCACATATGCATATGCACACATTTTTGTTCCAATGATAGATTAGACAATGTATTAAACATATATTACTAGGCATATGTAGACATTTTTTTATAAGATAGTGTGATTTTGTATATTATTTCCTTATTTTTTGTTGATATAGTAAAAAAATATTATATTTTATTTGTGTCTTACACATACAGGTTAAACCGAGACCAAAATATAGAAGAAAACAAAATATTAGACGAGACCTCATCTATGGAAATACCAACACTGTTTATGGTAAGACAAATACTCTAAAAAGTATTTTAAAACACAAGATTGATCTGATTAAATAAGTCACTTTCATCGATTAATAGCGCGATATGTATTAGTTAAATTACTTTTACGTGCACTGAGCATGTAAGTGTCAAGGGGGACTCTAGATAAAGATCGTTAAAGAATCCATTTTCGACAAAAAACTAAGTTAACTCACTATATCGCGTTTTAAACCGTTAAAAGTGTTCTATTTCAAATATCCGATTTATTTTTAATTCGAATATTCTACTAGCTGACTTATTTATTAAATAGTGACGATATATCTTTTAGAATTCCACGAAACAAAGTCGACATGTAGCATAGCTAAAATATAAGCTATAAATAAGTTATACTTAATTCTCTTATCAATAAAAAACTTCCACAGATAACGAATAAAAATTCAGTTCTTTGGAAATCCGTTCAAGCTACGGTCTCGGTTGAAGTGCAAGAATTCTTAGAGAACTTAAAAGTAAGGCAAAAAGTTTCTACTAAAATGCCTCATGCACCATTTTTGGCTGTTTAAAAAGGAGAGATAAGATTTCTGCGCCTGCGTCTAATAGTAGCAATGCTAATAATCAATGGGTAGTGGATTCGAGCCCAACCAGGACCAACAATTTTTAATAAACTTATACTAGAACATAATTGTCTACAGATGAAAAAGCTATGGGGTTTTATTGGGTGTCGATTTCAGTCTGAAGATATCCGAATATCCAAAGCTAAAATAGATCGACAGCGCGTCTTGCTAAGATGTTTTTTCCTCCTCGTAAAATGTAAAGTGGTTACCCACCACAATTACATATAGAGAGATTAGATTATAGAGATCATCAATACATGTGATAAAGATACCTCAACGTTCGATTGATAACCTTGTTGATTTTGAATTTTTCTCTACTCTATTCAACATCCTTTGTAGTATTGTTTTAATTTCATAGGTCCAGTCATCAGATTTCAAGGAATGTATTTTTGATGCGTCCAATTTGACTTACAACTGCATTTTAGATTTGAGACCAAAATCTACTGTCAGGGTTGTGGCTACCACCGCGCTGTTAAAAAATAAAATAAGTAAGTGTAAGCTTTAATTTAATAAATTGCTAACTTTTACCAAACAATAACTTGGTAGCAGAGCAATAATGAACCTGTCTATCGTTTACGCGAGTAGTACACATTTAAATAAAACACTTTAACGGTTTAAAACGCGATATATTAGATAATTAGTTATTTGACTAATATATTGCGTTTTAAACCGTTAAAGTGTTTTATTTAAATAATGAAAATTAAAAAATCACTTTATTTTTCTGAAACACTTTGATCTCCATCCGGAAATAATATAAAATGTGTGGTAGGAATATTGAAGTTCCGCCTGGGTCACGAACCGCCACAGATGAAAAAGCTGTAAAGCTTAATCGCGTTTCGGTTTAAATCTGTAGAATTCCGATTATCCAAAGCCAGAATAGGTCGACAGCGTAGCGTTTTATATGCTGGGGTATGGGGTACCATCAAATGAACCCCGTGCTGACTGTCCTAATCTATCAATAAAAAAAGAAGAGAAAGAGAAGAAGAGTTTTATTGATACCTACTATCAAATAGTTGATCAAAAATCTGTAAAGTTACAGAACAAAGCTAACTTTATTCCCGATGATTTGAATCCAAGACCTTTGTCGTTATTTACAATGTAAGCCGTTTAAAAATACATCTATGAGGGATAACAACAGTATATATTAATTTTTCTTTTCTATTTTTCAATTTCAGAACAAAACTTGATTGACAATAAATTACAAATCACAACCACGTTTGAACTGACACTAAGCGAAAAGTTGGAGACGAAACGTGAATTGTGAGTTATTTTTTTATTAAAATTATATTTATTTATTTAGCCGAGTAAATAGCAAATTATTATATTAGCCAATATTTTTTTACACGCAAAAGTTGTTTTTAAATTGACCTACATATTTATGTTATTGTGCCATGCGTATGCGCGTTTGGTGATTAACGTAATATACAGAGGAAAATACTTATATTTATCATAGTCGGTAGTTTACTCTCATAGTACACATTTAAAATAAAACACTTTAACGGTTGAAAACGCGATATATATTAGTTTTTTATTTAAATAATATGCACTTCAAATATTTATCACTATTTTTTATTTTATTTCTCATTATACCTTTTATTAATTCATTATAGAAATTTAGATAGCTCGGATGATAGAGAAAAAGTACGCAACGCTGTGGTGGGTTAGGTTTGATTTCTAATCGTGTAATATATTTTTCAGTCTAATACTTTCATTGTGTCACATAGAGATTTTCAATATATTGACTGTTTGTACAGATAAACTACTTCTCTTCACTTTATAATATATATCTTTTCTTTCTAAATTCTTATTGAAAATATTCCAGGTCGACGACTGTCCTCATTTACCGGGAGGATATAACATTCGGTCAGCAACAAACTTATATAATAGTGGTGTCTTGTTTCGTAGCTTTTATTCTTTTAGCCTTGGTAACATATGGACTGTATAAGGTTTGTGATATTACTATCTGACTTTGATCAAATTTCGACACCGATGGAAATAATGTTCACCTTTCGGCATGGGGCAGACCCATTTTTGTTCCGCAGCCAAGTGCGTTTTCTTCGTTGCGCTGTAGAACCGGACCTTATTACCTGAATTCGAATCCAGGATCAAATTCAAATCTTTTATTAAGATATTTATAAACTTATACTAAATTGTGTGCATAAAAATAATAATATCAGTAATAAATATATGTATATAAGAGATGGCCATCGTTACCAGTCTCAGCGATGCTGCTGAATGCTTGTTTTTTTTTTTTTTTAGTTATAATCATAACCAGATGTCTAATTTCAGATAGGATTTTTCAAGAGACAAGAAAAGAAGAAGTTAGAACGATTGAGGAGTAGTATAGTAAGTGTTGAATCTTCTTGGTTTCTATATATGTTTATTAGAGCTTGCGCATTTTAAAGTCAGTCTCACCTTTATGATCGAAACAGGAGTCCATAGAAAATGTCTCGATTTTTAAACAGTTTTATTTAGCACGACCCGTACGGAATTTATTTATTTGGGGCAAAATTAGAACTTTAAATTTAAGCACCTTCCCGTTGTCATTGACTGATCTAAAATTTGGTACACACATTTAATTTAGATGAAAATATAATATAATAAAAAAAACATTATCAATGCAACATGGCGGCCGATACAAAAATGGCGGATTACATATTTTTCCTTAACCCCCTTAATATGGGTATCAAATGATAACTAGTAAAACACGATGATTATGTCAAAATTTAAAATGTATTGTAGTTTTCAGTGCACAAAAAATAAAGTTGACACTAGTTTCATCATTCACTTGCAAGAAACTCTCTATTAAACCTTCTTAAGCTAAAGCCACTGGATCATTATATTTCATTACCTTTACAATATATTAAATAAAAAAAATAAACAACATTACTATAATGATATTTTATCATTACTTTACGAGTTTTGAATGTAATTGTTATTTCGTTAAGTAATTGTCTTAGAGTTCCGTAGTATATTGCTAAATTTGACGAAATTCAGACTTCAGGGGAAATTTTGAAAAATAATAATATTTACAACCAATGAAATACATAAACATAAGTTTCTTTACACGAATACAACATGATCAAATTAAATTACAGAGAAGGCCACCTCCAGCTGGTACGTCTGGGGAGGCAGCTGCTGTGAAAAACTGCGATGTTCCTCCGCCAAGCCCCAATGATAGTGTTAGTAAATTACCTAACATACAAGGTTCTATACTATACAGTACAGTTATATACTAATTATATTTATATATCTAATCATTACAAAATTTAGAAAAACAAAATAGTACAAAAATGCAGAACTCTTTATAAAGAAAACAAATGTAGTGGAAAGAATTCTTAAAAAAGTTAAAGATCGAGAGATCAAAGATAGATAGAGACAGAGTAGCCTAATATGAAAATGATGATTTTAAATATGGAGGAAAATAAAAATGCGCAACAAACTTAGCCGAAAATTAATTTGTAATTTGGGTATGAATTGTGATAACAATATTCGGTGACTGTGCTCTTGTAGATTATCATATTAAGACTATATAAATAATCAAATATACAAAATTGCATTAAATATGCAGTTAGGCTACTCTGGCTCTAGCGGCCTGATATATGCTAACTTCTTGAATCTTTGAAAGATAATAAATTCATTATGTACAACATAATTTTGGTGAACCCTAACCATTTCAACTGCTCAGGCGGCTATAATCTTATACCTTTAAAAAATACTTAGTATAGCCTTATATTATTTTTACTAAACAATCTTCTTCCTATATCAAATATATTTTACTATTGTATGTTTCAGACAGACCTAGAAATAGTGGATGTGACAGAAGATATTCTGATGCAAAATTTGAATTCATCTACTCAAGACGATGCGGCACTATTGGATACGAAAAATCATGATCATTATTAATATATTTTTGTCTGCTTTAGTAAGAAACCATTTGCTATAAAAACTGGTTAAAAAAAAAACAATAAACAAGTAAATTATTGTCTGTAGTTTACGCGAGTGGTACACATCAATAACCTCCAAACGGTCCCTTAGCTTAAATTGTAGACTCTCATATATTACTTATTACTTGTATAATTGGTGTAAGCTCTTATAACACTTACATATACCAGTTCTTTAGTTATCTAAATAAATAAAAAACACGGTATAATTATCATATGTTTCCACATGTAAATCAAACATATATTTATATTTTAAATTACTTAAGTTTTGTGAAAAAAAAATTACCTAAAATAAATAATAATAAATTACATTGAAGATTTTTTTAGTTTATAAGCCTGCGGTTCAAATTCTAAATATTCATTCGTTCATTTAAGCATACCTACATAGCACGTGTAAATAGAAATTAGCACTTTCTTTGTATTTATTGAAGCGTAAGCAATACGATTTTGCCCAAACATCTGTCATCTGTGCTCTGAAGGTTCGGTGATTTGCTACAATACGTGAACCATATGTTAGGCCAGTGTCAACTATAAACGTTATAAGTTTCACGTGTTACTCACGCTTGAGTGAAAATGAAAGAGACAACAACAATGTACTTTTATCTTTTTCGCACTTTGGGCTCATTTGTTGAAATGATATATTTTGAATCATGCTATCGTAAACGTCAAATTTGACGCAAGCGTTTTGAGTACTGCCAAACAAAAAGAGAAAGTAAAAGAGGCAATAAGAGTGTTCTGTTGTCTTTTTCATAGATTAGTTCACTCATTAGTTAAAACAATATATTTCGAAACAAGCCATTGGAAACGGCAAAAAGACTCAAGCTTTGTCGAGTTCGAAGAAAGTAGGTAAGGACAACAATAGTATGCTATTGTCTCTTTCACACTCTGGCCTTATTTCAACTAAACTAGATATTTCAAATCATGCCATTGTAAATACCAAATTTTGCGCAAGTTTTGTCATTCTGCTATAAATCGCCGCATGCGCATAAGATGTACTGATCAATAGAATTTAATAATTACATTATGGTATAGGAGGCCACAGCCTTAATTAACTGAAGCAAAGCTTACACCGGAAAGTCTTTTTGTTCCCGCGAATTGTAGAGTTTCAAATTGAAGAAAGTTGTGGCATGTTTGTGCGCCTGCGTGGTTGAGTGGTTTATATAGCTTTGTTCCAGGTAATTTTATGTGTTATAAAGTGTAGTCTTACGTTGCTAACTTCGAAGTGGAAAATGTCTGCGTTTGTTTTTCTGAATGTCTCTCTTTACAAATTAACGTATTTCTCTATTGTGTCAATTTAGCGTGAATTTTAGTTTTCCTGGATGGAACCTAGGACCTCCAGTAATTGTTTTTAGCTTACAAAATAGGTTGTCATGTTTTTGTTGCTAGAAAGATAGCTAAAAGCAGATGTCATAACAGCCTTTTTATAAAAAAAATATTCACTCATTCCTAACGAGTAGGGTAAAAACGGTCTTATAAAAAAAACTCAAATTTTACTGCATTTAAATTATATTATTCAGATACTTAATCGTTGATAATCTCTTATAATTAAAAAAAAACTAGTGGTAAAGTTCTAAGTACAAAATCTAATTACTCAAATGAGTTAATATAGATTTGTACGGAGCTACATATTTTGTATTCTCGTTCTCTGTAATGGATTGAGGGAAAGGGACAATTAACTCGTTCCGTTCCTACATTCAAAGATATCCCAATTCCTTAGCACCATCAGCGAGACCCAACATCATTTGAGTGACTTCATCTCCCTGCTCTGCTATTCTCTCGGGAGGCCAGTGGAAGGATGAACCTCTGAGTTCATATGTGTAGACCAGGCGAGTGTTCATGGCGTAGCGAACCCAGTCCATACTGCCACCAGATGCTTTGTCTAAAATGGAATAATAATAAATATTAAAAATAATCATATAACAGTGAACTTATCTAAGTACTGTCTGTAGTTGTGTGAACAGTACACATTTAAATATAACATTTTAATGGTAAGAAACGCGATATATATTAGTTTAACTTATTTGGAATTAATTTTAACTATGGCCCGATGTTTCGGATGTTTTGCAGCGCGTGGTCACGGCTAATGCGACACAACTAATATATAAAGAAATATATAAATAATATATATTATAGAGTTTGTATTTCTAGATCTAAAAGCGAAAACTTTTAATTTTGATCTCTAACAATTAATTTGTCGACTATCCTATTTTTAGCTGTAAGTTTTCCATAAGTAAATAAATAATTGAAAAACTTAAACGGTTTGAAACGCGTGAACATGGCTGCAATGCATCAGAAACGTCGCGTTGTAATTAACATAAATTAAACATAAGTTAACTAATATATTTTGTGTTTAAAACGGTTAAAATTGTTTTATTTAAATATATCTATCTATCATCTTAAAACTTAGCTGAATATAGTAAATAAGTCAAAAAAAATACATTCTTTGTCTCTATATATTGGTCCCACGTTAAGGAGATAATTTGTAATATTCGCTTAGTGGAAGAACACACGATAGAATTATTCACTAAGGGAAAATAAAAAAATTGGAAAAGGTATTTTTTAATAAAAAAAAAATCTTACATAACGTTTCAGCAGCCGTCCCTGGACCGTCATATGTTATATTATTTACACGGCTTCCGTATTCAATTGACCTTTTGCCAATTTGGACCTAAAATACATTAGTCGTTATGAGATAAAAAATGAGTTAAAAATATGTAATTGAAACAAAAATATGTAGCTCTAAAATATTGATTATGTACAATTTTAAAGCTATAAAGAAGAAACGTAGAAATAGTAGTTAGTAACTGGAAATTATAAAGCTGAAGAGTTTGTTTGTTTGTTTGGTCGCGCTAATCTTAGGAATTACTTGCAGCATTTGTTTAGGGAGGCATTAAACCAGCAGGCTGCTAGCAATAGCCGCAAAGAACAGTGATATTTTTAAGGTGTCCATTACGTGCGCTTCGAAAATGGTTCAATATACTTCTAGTTCTAAAAATGTTTGTGAGAGTATATATCCATATTTTGTAAATAACTTGTAATAACCACGGGACGCGTCCGACGGCGTAGGTAACGGCTAAAGATAAGAGGTTTGAAGAAATAAATTGCTTTGATACCCGAAATAAATATTCTACGCGGACATAGTTGCTGGCACAGCTAGTTTTATTATATACATAGAAACTTATAACTAAGAAATGCTTACCAAATCGTCATAATTGTCGACATGGTCTGTGGAATCTGAATACGGAAGCAGCAGCAGCGAAGCATACGAATGGAAAGCCACATAGAACAGCAAGTTGTCTATCTTCGAAATGTAATTTGATAGCGTTCTCGTTTCGACTTCTGAGAAAGGGCGCGAACCGGCGTACAGTTGGTAGTCGCATGGTCGGTCTGATGCGGAGTGTTCTGCAATTAGAAATTCATTGGGTTTACGACAATTGACATCTAGTAACCGTGACGTTTAAAATCGATTAGAAGAAATATTTGTTAGACAATATTCTGGCTCATTAGTGTAAGGGTAGCAAAATATGGCTTTTAATCGACGGGTCATGGATTCGATCCCCACCGGGTCCAATATGTTTCCAATCAATTTGTCATTTTTCCAAAACATTTTGTACTTTTTTAAATCTGAATATTATATGGCTGGTAAGAATATCTAAATTCCGTCCGGGTGACAAAGCCGTGATATTTAATCACGTTTCGGTTACAGTTGATTTCCGCATATCCAAAGCAAAAATTAGACAGTATATGGTTAGGCTACAAAAACTCAAACTTTTTTAAATAAAAAATATATTGTTAAAAAGCTAGAAGAGCCAGTTCCCTTACAAGGAACATGGGACGCATTTTTTTTGTCTATTGTTTTATTGAGTTATTGAACAGACTTGTGTGCCCGGCTCGATCGAAAGTATGAATTATCTGGTATTAAATTAAGAATCACATTCAACACCTCGTTAGGCAATTATAAGCATTCTGGGATTTTTTTAAGTAGAGAGTTGTGTTTTTATTTATTATGAAAAAGTCTCCTTACGTCCCCAATTATAGTCCCAATTCCTATTGGGGTCGGCGCCTCGACATCCATTCGATGAGCGTGACCGAGTTTTCCTCCAATATCTGTCCTGTAAAATAAATAATATTTATTTATAGTTTATATCCACTGTTTACTAATAGTAACTTTATATGTTTGTCATGTTTGAAATGGTTGGATTTCAACATAATACCATCAAATGAACGCCAATTTTATCACTGACACAAACGCTGTCTGCCAAAATAGGAATCTAGGTATTTCGAACATCTAAAAGCAAAGTAGATCCTTAGCGCATCTCGTTTCGTCATTATCGTCTGTTTTTCTCTGACATAAAAATTTGACGACTCGTTAGTGTTACAGTAGCAATGTATGGCTAATAATCAACGCAATGTGGGTTCAACATTTTTCTACAATTTATAAATTTCTGATCAATGGTGGATTTCGTTTGAATTCTGGATATAAAATGGGTGGTGGGAATATCGAAATTCCGTAAGGGTCACGAACCACCGTACACAGACGAAAATCTGTCAAATTTAATTGCGTTTGCGTTTCAGTCTGCGGATTTCCAGATATCCGAATCTAAAAAAGGTCGACAACGCATATTAGATCTACCATCAAGTGGACCCCATGCTCGCCTGTCCTTTTCTATCATAATAAAAAATAGAAAAAAAATTATGCTTGATTAAATAAAAAAATAATAACATTATATATTCAATACTTTCGTTCTTATCGTCGCATAGCATTAGCTCTTTGTATCAAATACCCACGGATACCATAAATCATCCGAATAATTCGCTTCTGTCATGAAGGGTCTACCAGGCTTATCATATTTCTCTAAAAGAATAAAGCTTGTTAGGGAAAGAGATACGGAAATGTGCCTGACAGTTTTCGAACGAAAATAAAGGATTTTCGTTGAAATTAATATGGTAAGGGCGTTTACCATTGTAGGTGTATTTGTGATATAAAAAAATATTAATTTAAAAACGCAATCTATATTGGTTAAACTTATTTGAAAATTATTTAACCTACGACCCGACTTTTCGAATACTTTGTAACAGTCGTGGTCACGGGGAGACCGTTTCTCATATAAATCGCATTATAAAACCGTTAAAGTGTTTTATTAAAATGTGTACTACTCACGAAAACTACATACACTATATTAATTTAAAACCCAACTCGAAATTCTCAGTATAGTCAGTTAACACGAGAGCTTTAATACTTGTTTACAGCAGCCACTGCCATAGGGAATCTTAGCGCGGGGTCATAAAAATCCTCAAAGGTAACCTAAGCGCCATCTGTTTCAGTCAGTTGCCATAGGTTTAAACAGTTTTAAACAGACACAACATATAAAGGTATACGATAGAGTGAACACTAATTATCTATACTGATATATAAAGCTGAAAAAATTGTTTGTTTGAACGCACTAATCTCATGAACTAGTTTACTATAAAACATCAAGATGCGACCAATGAGCTAAATGTGGAAAATGTGGGAACGGGGGAAATTCTCTGAGGGTTTCTGTTGCGTGCGCTGTGAAAGTGATTCGAGATACCCAAAAAATGCATATGGAAGAATGATTTCTCTTTAAATGATCTAAAAAATTACCACTATATATCTATCATTTAAGATAGAGATGCAAGAACGACGGGATGCGACGTGACGGCGTGGGTAACAGCCATAATTTATAAAGATGATAATGCCCAAAATAACTATCCTACTCGGAAGAAGTCGCTGGCATAGCTAGTGTCATATAAGAAGAATTGAAGAGTCCAATTCCAATTGAATTGAACATCTAGCGATCAAGCGATACAAACAATCAATCTAAACGTCAGCGTGTATCAACTCACGATGTTGTAACTGTAGTGGTATCCGTCCGGATTAACCGTCGGGAATATCCGCCAGTCGAACCGGTCCCGAAGTCCAACTATATCCGGGTCCCCGCTTGTTAGCAGTTGATTGATGAAGTATGTTGTCGTGGCCGGTGCTATCCATTCGCGGGCGTGTATTCCTGTGATACACGGATTAGTTATAGTTCAAGTTTGATCCCTTTCGTAGGGTATGGGGCATATAATCGATTAATGAAACAGATATTTACCTACATGCATATCAATAACAATATGTAAAATCACTTAAAGAAATACTTAAACGCTATAACGCTTAAACTTATTTATACATAGTTTAATTTAACTACGGCCCGACGTTTCGGAAACTATGTCCCAATTTAAACCGTTAAAAGTGTTTTGTTTTAGAAAGTTGCTAAAGTTTTAATTGTATGGATTGAGGGTATCATATATATCCACATATAACTTTTTAGTTTTCAGTACCTACCGAAGTTTTTTGATTAACACAAATATTTTATGGCGATGATATATTCCGCCGTTATATTAAAAGTGGATATTAACAATATTTTTTTACATCAAACAACGATTATGGTATAAATTGTATTAAACTATTGTCAATGAATTTTCATACATATCAAAAGGACACAGGTACTTGTTTTGTATTACAGACTGAAGGACCAGATGGTGGGAGGACTAGTGGTCGCACGTATCACGTATAATCTACAGATCATATATTCGACGCCCACTGTTGTTAATATTTTTATAAATACATTTTTCTTAACATGTAAGTGCCAACTATACAATCTGGATATAGTGGACTAAATCCTTAAGTCTAATTACAGATTTGGTTACGGTTCCTGAAAGTTCCTAGGACGTCGTTTTTTTACATAACTGAGACTTACCTGACTCTATAAAGAAAACCGGTTTTCCGGTCTCCCTCTGCCCTTTCTCATAAGGTGTGTTGATGCGAAGTCCCAATATTTTTCTCCCTTCATAACTCTTTCCGCCTACAATCAGCTCTGTACTCTCAGGGTGCAGTTTGCTCGTGTTAAGAATGAAGTTATGAATCTGTTAAGCGGGATCAATATTATTATAGAATATATTTTTTCTGACTTTGTCTGTCTATCTATATACAGAATGGTTATGGTTATACGTCGCCCTGTAGTTAAAATAATCTTCAAACCGTTAAAGTGTTTTATTTTAATTGGCATTGCTCGCATAACAGAACTATAAAAACTAGTTAGAAAATTGTTTGTAAAGTTAATTTTAATAATAATTTGTAATTTTAATTTTAAATATAAAATCCTTAATTGTCAATGGTAACATATCTTCTATGGATATGAATGGATTACTTTAATTGTATTTATATATATTAACAAACATTTCTGTTCGGAAGAAAAAAAACATAGAGGGTAGTTTTGTTTTTTCGATAAGACGGCCGAACGAAGCTAGTGCGTGCGGGTAGACGCTTGAGTGCCACTCGGCGAGTTGATTGGGCACAGTTTATGCTAAGTAAGAGTATAAGTTGTAACGACCGTGTACGGAAGATTTCTAAATATTGTCTAAAAGTACATGAAGAACGTAAAAAGAAACTTGGCGATAAAAAGAGTGACGGCGAGTTTATTGCCAGTTCTTCTCGTTCGTTCTACCCCCTTGATTTGAGAACTGGTAGTACATGTAAAGTTGGATTCTTTAATTTTGTGACGTTCATAAGTGTAATTTTGACTTTGACTTTGTCATTAAGATATCCGCGAATTCAGTGCGTTATTTAGAGTTTATCATCGTAAATTCGAGAAAATACTACGTGTTGACGTAAGTTTATACCCGACCCCGCTTTTGTTTCTTAATATAATTTCCTCTTCTAGAGACGCCATTTAATCCCCATCACGATACAGACACTCCACGATAATAATTCAGGACAACCACTGGACCGGAGGTTTTGTGTTTAGAGTATTTAATCTAGTCTGCCATGTACTTATTCAAATTATGTACCAATTTTAAGTGAGTTTCTGTACCCCAGCTCATTAAAAAAATTCCACAAAATTGTGTATTGAAATTCAAAAGCATTCTACGCGTACTATTGATCCACAGAGATTAAAGTATTTAGAAAATTATAAATTGGTAAAAACTTACCTCTTTTACGTCATAATATGCATCCCAAGAGAATTTGTCTAATCTACGTCGTGCGCTGCCTTTTTCCAAGTTAATAATTCTGCAATTATTCAATATTCATAACCAACTCAACATAGCCAATCAAAAACTCGCATAGATAATGTGAGTTTTTAACGGTTTAAAACGCGATATATATTAGTTAAACTTATTTGGAAGTTATTTTAACTCCGTCTTCCCGTAACGGCTGGCGCAAAGCCGAAAGCGTGCAAGCCCGAAAGGTCGGGTCGTAGTTAAAATAATTTCCAAATAAATTTAACGGATATATAACGCGTTTTAGGCTGTCAAGATTGTTTTTATTAAATGTGTACTACTTGCGTAAACTACAGACACTATATTATTAATTCTGAAATAATTTGCAATTGCAAGTACATATTGGTATTGAAAATTTACCTTTTAAATTTTATTATATATTGATTTTAACGAATTAAACAAGTGATGCCATATAAATCGAATAAATAAGAAGTTTCTCACTCTGAAACATCATCGTATAAAACCTTTGCCTTCAAACGTTCCTTCTGTGCGAAGGAATTCAGCACTGGAACCAAGCGGGGAGACAAAACTATTTGAGACGTATTCAGAGATCCTGAATGGACTAACGAAGACTGGAATAGAAATAGTATAATTATATTTTCCCAACTAGATTGTATGGCTTATTGTATAGGAATGAATAAAAAAGCTTAAAATAAAATATCTTGCAAATTAAAATGATATGAAATGAGAATAAGATATTTGAAAACTTAAATATTTTTCACATGAGAGCATCATATTTATATTAAAATCAATTACAAATTGGAAAAAAAATACGCGAGAGCAGTATGCTTCAATTAGTTTTAAAAAATCGACGTTGACCTTAGAGCAACAGCACGGAACGCTAGAGATGCCGGGTCAGGTCCTGGCCGAGTTGTATTTTTGCAATATAAAATCGATTTTAATTAAAAAATAAAAGATATATATTTACACAACGATTTCATGTATTTTTACAAGAAGAACTTGTAGAGCTTTTTTCTACCCTTAAATAGTTCCCACAGCTGGGATTCAGGTCTCCTAGAAAGTCTTCCACCCTGACAAAATACGCGTTGAAAGATTTCACGTTTGCTTCTTCACGATATTCCTTCACCTAATAAAACGCATGACCGGAGTTCGAACTGCGGACCTCGCAAACAGCCTATACTACTAGTCCATTACTCTTATTCAAGCATTCACTTGGTGGTGAAATACCCCTATAGCAGCTAATAAAGATGCGCGGTCGACCTATTTTGCCTTTTAAAACGTAAACATCACGGCTTTTAATCTCTGGACGGTGGTCTGTGACCCGGAGGGAATTTCGATATTACTACCAATTTTAAACCTAGATTTCCAGACGAAGTCCAACATGTTTCAGAATTATAAATTGATTGGAAAAATTTTGGACGCGTAGGGAAACGAACCAACGAACCATTGATTATTAGCCGTACATTACTAACGTTACACCAACGAGCCGGTCAAACAAAAAATTCTCATATGTTTACAATCCCTGCGTATTTCTAGATTTCTTATGTTAATCGCTGTAAATATTTTCAAATAGATAACTCACATCTTTCTTCAGCAAAAGAGCTTTTAAGCCTTCCAAGCTGTCTTGGCATCCAGTCACTTCATAGTATTTATAATTTTTATAATCCCTATATTTCTCTAAGTTAGCCCCTTGGGACATTAACACGAAACAAAGCAAAAATGGTAATTGTAACATTGTTAACTGATTCGTAGTGCCATTGTTTCTACTTGTATTTATCATTTATTTATCGCGCGTGTTGTTAAAGTATGTTTGACGTGTAATAATAGTTAGGCCTGTCAACCACTTGTGTTAGAGGTCTTTGGAAACGATTTTTTTACTTAATATTAATAAAGTGCAAGTGGCGGCGTTATTATAAGCGATCTCTTCCAATCCGACTAGATAGAAGAAAACTAATAAGTAGAAGAAAGTTATTTTTTTTACCCCAATTTTAAAAATTATTGTTAATATAAAAGTATAATATATAAATATAAATTGTGGATATAATATGGATATATTAGAGCCCGATCTGTGAGATGTACTTTATAAAAATATTTCAGTAATTTCAAGTACATAGAATGATGTGGGTGATTGTGATTTAACCGATAACTTACATGGTCATGCGCAAATAGGCAAACAAAAGTCATGCATTTTTCGTATTTACCTGTACCTACATGGTTATCATAAATGAAATTTATAGAGATATAGTTATTTTCGGTTAGGCACAAAAGTCTGATAAATTACTTCTAAATAAAATTAGATTATTAAAAGAGACGTACAAAATGTCTGTAACTCGAAAGTCAATAGAAATAACCATTGATTTAAATGTGTAAGTTGTTGATATGAAGAATATCAACAAATTGACTTCGCGTTTTAAACCCTTCAAGATATTTTGTACCACTCCCGGAATGTCCTGATAGAATTATATATTGTTATAACAAGGCTAATAACACAATGTTGTCATTAAGGAGATGAGATGTATTAACAAGCCAAGAGAACACGGTTAAGTTAGAACAAATACTTCGAGAGTATAAAAGGAAAGTTCAATATTGGTTTCGTTGTACCTATTCCCTTTGTTTTGCGATTTTAAACGAATTTACAAAGTACTGAAACTCGAAGTTTGGACTCCGCTGTACACTCCATTAATTCTATTGCTTTAACAGAAGTAAAGTTATTTGACTCTGGAGTTTCGGAAACAAGATGGCGGATGATTAACATATCGCTTAGGGAAGCAGATATTTCGACTTTCATTAATCATGTATACATAATAAAAATACATTTATTTATAATTTGTTAAATATAATAGGTAATAGTTATTTTTATTACTATCATAATTTGCTAAATAAAACACTTTTAACGATTTAAAATGCGAAATAAAATACATAGTTATTATATTACAATAACCTTCCTACAGATAGACTTACAGATGGCGGTAGCGTAGCAGATTAGACTTTGACATAAGGGCCTACATCGCGTTTTAAACTTAAAGATATTTTATTTAAATGTGTTTAACTCGTGGGCAACTCTTAATAAGTTCCTAACTAGTAAAAGATTCTTTTAACAACTTAAACTAACTATATAAGGACTATTGTATATAATTTGTTATATGGTTTGTTTATTTTTAAATTTATTATTAAATTTTGTTGCTAAGCGACGCTCACATAGGTTTTTTTTATCTGTTTATTTACCAGCCACCTTTTTTTTATATAGGTAATAGAAATTGTGTGGCTCAGAAAGTAAGTGTAACTGTCAATATCTTGGTTCCAGCAAATAGTAGAGTAACTAAATCTCTAAGCGAAATATGTAAGCTGGACCTTTTATTAAGATTTTCACGCTGCGGGCCTCTACGTGCCTCTGAATACAAATCGTTTAAATTTGAACCGAACCCTTTGTTACATTCGAATTAATTCTATTGTCACGTTTTCTATTATATTTCCGTGTGGTTTTGTGTTTAATACACCTAAGCTTAGATTTCGCCCTTATTGAGTCATCTTGTCACCCAATTCTAACTGCGCTCCACACACCTTAGAACCAGTTTCTTGTGTCATTATTTATTTTTACTAATAACTGCTTTTACGTGTTTAAGCAAATAAAAGTTTAAGTTTTAAGTAAAAAAAAAACCGATGATCACTAAACACACCTGTAAACGAGAGTCAATTCTTTAAAGACCCAGTTAGTTACGTTAAAAACAGACGCCGCTGGCGTGGCAGATTTTTTATTTGATATTACGTACGTACTTCATCTTTCGTCGAACCATGGCCATAGCTGCTGCATTCGACACCCAGCCATCGTAGTTTAAAAAAATAAGTTAACTAATACAATTGAACTTTTAAACCGTTCTAACTGTTTTATTAATATGTGGGTATGCTATAAAACTTCTTCGTTTTAAAAACCGAAATAGTAGCTTTTCTCATATGCATTCCAGAAACAATATCTAAGTGTGCTGTCTATATTTGGCTGTCATTTAAATAAACCATTTTAACGGTTTAAAACGCGACATATATTAGTTGGTCTCCCCGTGACCACGGCTGCTGCAATGCATCTATAACGTGCTGGCTGTAGTTAAAATAATGTCTAATTATGTTTAATTAACACATATCGCATTTCTTACGCGTTCTGTCAAGAATATATCATTTGTTAAACATATTTTTTTAGTCCTAAAAAATATTACAATCTGTGGACTAAGCAGGTACTCAAACAGCAGATACAATATCTACAAATCCAAATCACCAGGCCAGCATCGTTAAAAACGTTTGATAATGGCGTCGCGTACAAAGCACTCCGCTGTTCTCATATTTCCATAATATTTTCTTTTGCGCCGTCTTTTTTTTTGTTTTATTTCACGCTCGGGAGAGGCTTGATTCAAATTGCTTCGTGACGAATTTTTTTACGTTTCGTATAAGCACATTTTAAGTTCAATAGGGTGACTGTCGTTAAATTAAGGAAAAGCGAATTATGTTTTTAACCGGTGACAAGAGCATAAAAATTATATTCTGAATATGTTTACAATTGTATATATAATATGTAATACTAGATGTTTCAGCGAGTCGTCCGAAAAGAATATATACTTTGGGCGTCCAAATTAGTTTTTGCAAACCCCTTCATCTTTAAAAACTTAACCTGTTCCCCACGACGTTGGTCGCGTCCCTTCCCGTCGGTTTTGGAAGTTAATTTTAAAAGATAGACATATAGCTCTGGGAATATTTTTAGATCATTTAAACAGGAATCAATCTTTGGTACATATTTTTGGGATATCTTCAACAGTCTTTGATGCGTACGCCTCGGAAACCCATAATGATGAATAATTTTCCCAAATTTTTCACATTCCTCCCTATCTTCGTTTGTATTGGTCACAGAGCAATGTTTTACAGCCTATAACCTTCCTCGATAAATGCTCTAACTAACACAAAAATATGTTTATTTGAACCGGTAGTTCTTGAGATTAGCGCTTTCAAACAAACAAACTCTTCAGCTTTATATATTAGTATAGATATGTATTTTATTAAAATTTTCATCTGCTTACATTTAAATCAAACACATTAACGGTTTAAAATGCGATATATATGAGTTGCAGAATTGACTAATGATAACGATTTCTTTTACTTTGACGTCAGAGAACCTGCATCTTTAGTCTCCCCGCGACCACGACTACTGCAAAGCACCCGAAACGTCGGGATGTAGTTCAAATAAGTTTAACTAATATATATCGCGTTTAACACCGTTAAAGTGTTTTATTTAAATGTGTACTCCCGCATAAACTACAAGCAGTTTCTACATACATATGGTACTTAAAAATGTATACTTAAACTAAAAAATTGAAAATTCTAACCGAATTAAACATGCAGCCTTTGGAATTTAATTGACGGTCAACCTTGCTGACATTGCCGACCACCATACACTATACCATCTTTATATTGCCGACTTATTTAAATTGTAAAATAAGTATGACTTGAACGAATATATACCGTATTTGAGAACCGTAATATTGTCATCAATACGTTGACAATATTACGGTATTAAAACACGAATTTTAACTTATATTAATTTAAAAAACACATGTTTAAATAATAAAGCACTTCTAACGGTTTATATCACGGAATGGGTTTTAACTTTGAAGCAAGATGTTGCAATTTTTGGCAGTTGAAATAAAAAAAATTAATTGTTAAATAACAATTTATGGTCACCCTACAACTTCATTAAACAGAACATTTCTCTTTATTATAATTACAGTGGATAAATCCTCAAACAAATCTCACTGATATCATTCGTTTTGATATCTTTGTATGCGAAGATTTGAATCATTGCTACAAAATGTTCGACTCTATTTCGTAAGCTTCAAATTATTACATACCTACAGAGACAATAACTTGAATGGTGTGTACAACTTATCAATATTTACGTTAAATCTTCAAAGAACTGAAGGAAGAAAGAAAAAAGTTTTGCTTATTTGATGTAAAATATTGACTATTTGTTTGACAAGTTACTCAAACACGACTTTTTCAAAAAGTTATCAATTTTACAGTTCAAAATTAACACTATAAGTGATTTATATCAATATAAAAATGTCTAAAATGAATACACGAACATATCTGTTCGGCTGATGTGAGCGAGGAGAGGTTCTTGACGAACCTCTTCTCGCTCGTGAAATCCTTACACAATTTATGAATACACGAAGTTAGCTAGAAGATATAGTGGCTAAATTGACATAACAATAGCACAGGTTGTAGTGTTGTAGGTTCCTGCCTGTTATAATTCAGACATAGCATTCAAAACGAATTGTATATTTTTAAACAATACCGTGGTCACGAGGAGGTGGCTGCTGCAAAGCGTCTGAAACGTCGGGCCGTAGTTAAAAAAATCTAATAATTTTAACTTAATTAATTGCGTTTAAACCCATTAAAGTGTGTTGTTTATTTAATAAGGCTTATTAACTAGGTACGCAAACATGTTTAAACTAAATCAAAATTAAAAAACACCGAAATTTCAATAGGGAGGACGGCCTTAAACTATCAAACACCTGGGATCCCATATTAAAAACTCTGGATCCCAATAAACAGCATACCGGCAAACGCGAAGACACCGTTAGTCAATTCTGTAAGGACCCGGCCAGTTTCGCCAAATACCAAATTCGACGGAACAGATGGCGATAGCGTAGCAATTTTTTACTTTGACGTCGGAGACATCCTCCATCTTTAGTCTCCCCGTGACCACGGCTGCTGCAAAGCATCCGAAACGTCGGGCCGAAGTTAAAAATCATTTTCAAATAAGTTTAACTAATATATCGCGTTTTAAACCGTTAAAGTGTTTTATTTAAATGTGTACTACTCGCGTAAACTATAGACAGTATGTTTAAACTACTTAAGCTAATTATAGTAAGAATAATTCTTATGTACCTAACTTTTAAGTAAGCACAGCGTTGACTATAGATATGTATATAGAGAGATAAAGACAATACACACAGCAAACTACATAAACAAACTATTATATTTAAATGTGTACTACTCGCGTAAACTACAAACCATATTTAGATTGTATATTTTTTATCTATATAAAATCTTTATATTAATATACAATACCGTATTGATATGTTTGTCCTTTTAACCTTGAGCTCATCGTAGCTTTGTAACAATATCTACGTCTTTGATTTCGCAAAGGTATTTCCGTTTACTTGTCTGTCGAATTCGTTGATTCGTTGACAATACATCAAAAGAACGAATTGATATTTCATAATTTGGATAGAAGACGTATTTTAATTGATGTCGAAATTATAAGAAGTACCAAGTTAAAATGTAAAAAAAATATTGATATATTAAATAATCATTTTTTTTTTCAAAAGAAGACAGCATTGGAGTTACATGATGCTAGTAAAACACATCAGCTATAACATGTAATTAAGATCCGCCCTATATTGACTTCAGACTTACATTATTCAATGATTTCAAGTATAGACATTTTTATTGCAAAATTATTATTAACGTCATATCCATTGTCCGTTTGTGGCCGGAAGCGAGCCACGTACAAATTGCGTTCTTACAGAAGTGATAAAAGTTGTTATTTGCTTAAAACTGTATTTTTGTGAAGGAATTTAGTAGTCATATCTATAAATATATTTGAGGATAAATTATTCGAATTGTTAGAACAAACTGGCCGAAGTGAATCATAAGATTAGTTTATAACGCTTTGGCCTGGCTATAACACATAATGATATGTGAGTTGTTTATTTTATTTTAAATCTATACTAATATTATAAATGTGTAAGTAATTCTGTCTGTATGTCTGTTTGTCCCGCTTTAACTCCGAAACTACTGAACTGATTTAAATTAAATTTGGTACACAGATATTTTAGAGCCTGAGAAAGGACAAAGGCTTTTTATTGCCTAATAAAGGTTGATAAGGGTTGAAAAGGGGGATGAAAATTCGTGGTTTTTGAAGCTAGAACAATAAAACATTCTTCTTTGGCATTTTTCAAAATAGGACTGGGAGCGGGAGGAGGGAGCGAGTGGGTGTGATGATGTGAGGTGATATATCGCGTTTTAAACTGTTAAAGTGTTTTATTTAAGTGTGTACTACTCGGGTAAACTACAGACAGTATTAAAAAAATATTATCTTATCCATCTAGTACCAAAAATAGATTTTAAACTGGCTTTTTGTCTAACGGTAATCCAGCGTCCACAGATGAGTCTGTGGATTTCTGAATCTTTCTTGAATCTTGAATCTGAATCTTGTTGAGATATTATGTGGTTCCTTCAGGTCACCTTCCAGCCAGCTAACCTCATGGTTATCTGCCCGTATCTGTCACAAACATTTAAGCAAATGAATTGTCTATTTTTTATTTTATTTAAACTTTAAATTTTTCTTTCAGTATGTATAGTTCTTACGGCAGTATTTATCCCAGTTTTCGGATTCTACCATGAGCCTAGTATGGCTGTAATTGCTCCACCTGCTAAAATGAAACTAAGCAAAGACGCGTTATTTGGCTATAGCAGTACATATCAGGACAAACTGAAACGGTGAGTGACAAACCATCAGGATTCGAACTGTCGTTTCTTTAATTCTAAATGCTGATGGATAAGCACTGGGTTCATGAAATGTAAAACAAATTGTTTTCACCTGTGATTCGACCGGTGGTTCGTGTAACCGGACGGAATTTTGATAATTCTACTACCAACAAGCAAGCAACATCCAACATAAATAGTATAAGGCTTTCACGGTCATCGTTTACCTCTGCCTTGAAGAACGAATTCTTCGAGCAATTGAGGAGCTAACATCTCCTAATGATGCCGTCCGCTTCTCTTCTCGGTCACGTCGGCCGAACAGTCCTCAAAAGTTGATAAACAATGAACATGTATTAGAAAAAGTATTAACTAATTAGAAATATACTGTCTATAGTTTACGCGAGTAGTACACATTTAAATAAAATACTTTAACGGTTTTAAACGCGATATATTAGTCTAGCAGTCCCCGTGACCACGGCTACTGCAAAGCATCCGAAACGTCGGGCCGAAGTTAAAAATCATTTTCAAATAAGTTTAACTAATATATCGCGTTTTAAACCGTTAAAGTGTTTTATTTAAATAATTAGAAATATGTTGGATCTGATAAGGATCGAGCTTAGAATCCGATGATCTATGAGTCGTTTAAATTAAAAATCGATTTTAGATTTATAAAAAATTACGACACGGGCAGTAGGTACCTACTTGCTACGCATCCACAGCGTTCCGTGCTGTTGCTGTAACCAATTCAGCTGCCGTGTCTAACACGTCATCGTCGAATTTCAACCTATTGATATTTGCACTTCTCGCGCATTATATATTCAACCTTAAGCATTAAGGGTCAATGTCTTATGTTCCGCTGCTTAAGGAAATAATTAATAATGAAATTACAGAGTTTACAATTTGAAAATTTGGAAAATTCGAAAACTGAAATATTGTTTATATAATAATAGATATATTGCTACCATTACAAGCCAGTCGGCATACGTCCAGATTAAGGTATTTTTTTTATTACAAATTAATTATTTCAGATTAGTAATAGGCGCACCAAGAGCAGATAAGATTGGAAAAGTGTTCAGTTGGGACTTGTCTACTGGACATTTGACGAACATTAATTTTGGAATAGAGCATTGTAAGTATTCTAAATCTATCACACGATCATTGACTTATTTTTCAAGTACACAAACAAGAACACATTAAACAAGAGATCGTCATAATATTAACTGTGACTTATGACCTAGGTGAACACACAGAGGTATACTTCAGTAATAATACGCAATATTACAATAAAGAAACAGTTGTGATCAGTATATTGTTTGCAAAAAATTCTTCAATAGCGCCATCTAGTAGCAGTTTGAGTAAAATACGTTCACTAGAAGAGTCGGGTTTTTCTAAAAAAGTTATATCAAGCTAATACATAGTTTCGGCATACATAATATTACGTCAATAACAAGTAACAACAGGGTACTTATTACTAAAAAATCAGTTGTAAGAGACAGTCCCATGTGTGTGTGGTTGCTTGTGTGAGTGTATGTGTGTTGAAGTGTAGTAATAAGTCAATTACTTAAGTTATTAACCATCTTTACGTAAGTAAGTAATTCTCCACTACAGTTTACAGTAAGGTACAGTTTGAAGTAAGATGTATAAACATTCCCCACGCTCCTGAAAGTATGGTCTTATTTTTAATATAATATGCTATTAAAGTTAACTAAAAATACCTTACCTAACATGATCAAAATACCTTTTGGAGTGACACAATAATTTAAAACATGCGACCAACATCAAACGATCTCCCTCTCAGAAGCTCTTATTTGCAAATGACAAATAAATATCATTTAATTATTTGATTTTGATAACAGGTTGCCCTGAACTTAATGTGACTGAACATTATTGGTTGGGAGCGTCATTGGGTTCGACAAATTCATATTTCGTTGTAAGTATTCATAACAAGACATGACGAATCTTTATATATATGTGATTAATTAATATTAAGTTTCTAAGTGACTTTAAGATAACTAAAATCACTTTATTTGCAGACCTGTGCACCACGATCCATAAGCAAGTGTAAGTCGATAGCCATCTTAGTAGTATTTTGCGTAAGCTACTGCTTACTGAACGTACCCAGTATAATAGTAAGATACATACGATTCTTACACTTTTTTCAGACTACATTATTTTATACCATTTAAATACTAAGCTCCTAAGTACTGTATATAGTTTACACGAGTAGTACACATTGTAATAAGACATTTTGAATGGTTTGAAACGCGAAATGTAGTTATGTCACGTATTATTAAATTTTAATACGGCCCGACCTTAAGTCTCTCTATGTCCACGACCTCTGTAAAGCATCCGAAAAGTCTGGCCGCTTCTGATTGTGTTTGAATTGAACAAATGGATTTAAATAACACTTTTAACTGTTTAAAACGCGAAATATAATAGTTAGCTTATTTACCATTTGTTTTAACTACGGCCTACGTTTCGAATGCTTTGCAGCAACCATGTTCACGGGAAGAATTGTAAATGGAGCAGATTTTACTTTAAAAACATTTCGATGGTTTAAAATGCGTAATGTACTTACGTATTTAAAAACAATCAAAATGTTTTCATTTCAATACTGTGTTGTATTTAATGTTAATGATCAATTAAAAATTGCGTTTCAGATCCTTCCAGATATATATCTAGTTCGGAGTGCTATTATGGAACATCACCGGATGACATAAGCCCGCTGCCGCAACTCGATGACTTGTACATGTTCAGTAAGTTACACGGATTTTAAAGGTTAATTGGGTGTTTCAGCGGAATTCTCCGTATTTTTTAGACTGTTCCCGGAATTGATCCAGGGATACCCAGCGCTAAACGCTATGCTAGGTTCTTAAACATTGAGCCAAGGAGGTTGAGCTTATAGACAACGTATTGAAAATAAAGAGTTACTTTTTTATGATAAAGGAAGACAAGGTACTTCACCCACCATCACGTGACCCCATTCACGACCTATTTGACCTATTTTGGCTCTGGAACACATAAGTGTATTATTACTACGCTATTACAAAGCTATGTAAACTTGTGTTTAACAGATGGTGACACCACTTCTTTCGGATGGAGCATAAATATAAATTCGGATATATTTGTCGGTAGTCCTCCTAGTCAGGGCGGTAAGAATACTGAACTCTTTTAACTAAAACACTTTAACGGTTTAAAACGCGATATATTAGTTTAACTTATTTGAAAATGAATTTTAACTTCGGCCCGACGTTTCGGCTGCTGCAAAGCAAATATATCGCGTTTTAAACCATTAAAGTATTTTATTTAAATGTGTACTACTCGCGTAAACTATAGACAGTATACTGAACTATTTTAAATTTAACTTTAAATCATATAGCCGAAGAGTTTGTTTGTTTGTTTGAACGCGCTAATCTCAAGAACAACGGGTTCGAATTGAAACATTATTGTTGTGTTGGTTAAAGCATTTACCGAAGGACGGCTATATAACATCGTCCTGTGACTAATGAAGCGAAGATGCAGCGAGAAATGTGACATAAATATGGAAACTAATTCATTGTTTTGGGTTTCCGAGGCGTACGCTGCAAAAACGGTTCAAGATACCCAAACAATATGTATGACAGAATAATTCCACTTTGAATGATCTTAAAAAATTCTAAGACACTGTGTGTATATCTTTTAAGACTAACTTGCAAGAACACAACACGACTGACGACGCAGCTTAAATCTATAGAGATAAATTGGAGCTTTGCAAAAACAAATATGTACACAAAATAACTATTCTATACGGACGAAGTCGGTGGTACAGCTAGTCTAATATAATACAGACAGAACATCGTTGACAATTTCGATCTTCGTCAATTATGTCTTGTCTATAGTTTACGCAAGTGCAAATTTAAATAAAACACGTTTTATTAGAACTTCGTCAAACATTTTTAAGCGAACTGGAATACAACATTTTAATACAATTACTGTTTAGGTGGCCTAATGGTGATAATGGATAGGGAAACGCGGGATAATGCTTATTTAATTCCAAATAAGGAAAATTACCCTAATTTTGGTAAGTTGGTCACGACTTTTTGAATTTTCTTAGTTTATAATCTTTAAGAAACAGTTACAAATGTCAATAAAATTTTTCACTGTATTACATTTTTATATATTAACATTTTTCATCCGTTACATTATCGAATGTCAAAAAACTATAAATAAGCCGATAGCGATTCGTCATTGGATGTTATGTTATAGCTTCATATTTTTCTATCCACAATTTTGGAAATTGGAAGATTTGTTACAATGAGTAAAGTCTCGACAGATTTGAAAAATTTAATATTATTCATATGTAGTGCACATGATGGCACTGTATAATTGAAAAATCGAAAATAAATTGCGCGAAATGTGTATGTATCAATAAGCTGAAAAAATTCGAGTGCTCGGTAGCTCGATTAGTAGAACAGCCCGGAACGCTGACGAAGCCGATTCAAGTCCTGGCCAAGTCGAAAAGTTATTTAATTTATTTTCGATTTATAAATTAAATGTATTTTTAAGTTATTTGTTTGTATACTTGAAAAGTTATAGGATTTAATAAATGTTAGATATATAATTGACAATAATTATTTATTAATTAACTATTACAGGATACAGCGTAACTAGTGGCCGGTTCCTTTCTGACGATATTTCATTAGTGCTCAGCACGACACACGGCGACTTTCACGAAGGAAAGGTATGATTTTAATAAGTCATTTTTTTACATTTAAATAAAAAACTTTAACGGTTTAAAACGCGAATATGTCTGTTAAACTTATTTGGAAATTATTAATTATTTTCCAAATAAATTTAACTAATATAAATCGCGTTTTAAACCGTTAAAATGTTTTATATATTTATATTTTCATATTTAATAAGCTCACATAAAGTGAATTGAAGAAGTTGTGACGTAAAGATAATGAAACAAGAATATTATTCAGATACCAATTCAGATGGTATGTGCTTTGACGTTTTTTACTGATAGCCTATCGATGTTTAAAAGATAAAAGGCGACATTTTGTATGAAATTTAAATGCTATTTCCATTTTACTAACAATTTTCCGCTCTATCGAGTAAGTTTATCATTGCTCTTTTATGTCGCTTGAAACCTAGTAAAAAACAGCGGTTTTTGAAGTATAATTTTCGTGTAAACGACCAAAATGTTGGTCTTTTTTACCATTATTATGTAAAATTACATAATTTGTGGGTAGTCTCTCAGTTATGTCTTTCTTCTGAATTGTATGAAGAGCTAAGCGTATACATTTTTTTTTAAAAACTAGAAATTTTAATCTGAATTAATTTGTACTGAAGCCCCCTTTTAATCACTTACCTAGCATGGCGTTGTGAGGTAGAGGTTAACTGGGTTCGAATCGCGGGGAAACAAGTTTTTCTATTAATTAGACCATCTACCTGTATCAATCAGATTGACAATTAAAACTTACACAAAAAATTGTCTCCAAGTTCATTTTGTCTAATGTAACAGGTACTATTCTTCTGGAATAATCCAATGGTGGGATTTAATAATTTGGAATGGACTATGTCGGATGGTGATGTCGGTTCGTCTTATGGGGCTGTGGTGGCTGGAGTGCTGTTGGATCTTGGTGGGAGTAGATCAAGCTTGCTTGTGGGTGCACCAAATTACGCGGAGGGATCTAGCTATGATTTGGGCGCAGTTTATATATACATACCGAATGTAGAGTCTAACGTAAGTTTACGTTTTCTATCTTTTTTATGATAGAGGACGACAGATGAGCATCATTTGAAATACCGTAGCCATGTAACATATCAATACGATGCGCTGTCGATCTATTTTGACTTTGGATATTTGGAAATCAACAGACTGAAACCGAAACCTGACTTCACGGTTTTTCATCGGATATTATAGAAGAATTATAAAATGAATACTGTCTATAGTTTACGCGAGTAGTACACATTTAAATAAAAACACTTTAACGGTTTAAAACGCGATATATTAGTTAAACTTATTTGAAAATGATTATTAACTTTGGCCCGACGTTTCGGATGCTTTGCAGCAGCCGTGGTCACGGGGAGACACGGCTGCTGCAAAGTTAAAAATCATTTTCAAATAAGTTTAACTAATATATCGCGTTTTAAACCGTTAAAATGTTTTATTTCAAAATTATAAAATGATTTGGAATATTTCGGACCCGGTGGGGATCGTTCCTACGACCCGTTGTTCGTTAGCCATACTATCGTTACACCAATGAGCCCAAATGATACTTAAAATTTTCTTACTCTCAGAAGATTATTATTTAATGTCAATTTTACTGATAGAGTTTTTAAATTGATAAAGAAGATTAATGGATTCTACGTTGTCCACAGATAATGAACTTAAAAAGAATTATAGTTGGTACGACCGAAGGTGGATATTTCGGTGCTTCTATCACCAGCGTTGGTGACATGGATGGTGATGGATTGGATGGTAATAAACTTTTCAGTTAACATAATATACAGCTAGTATTTATTCTGCTTAAAAGTAATACACAGAGAAAACTTGGTAAATTAGGATGTAGAAATCTTTTTGAGTGAATCATAACTACATGAAAAACGCCGCGCGCCGAGAACCCAATCTTTCTGTGAAGAAAACACTTTTAAACTATATAAGTTAAAGACGTTATTAAGTTTAATTCATCTAAATAACATTATTTTAATATGTTTCACAACTATTAGTAATAACAACTTATTGTAATTACAAAAATGTTACACAAACAAGATTTAAAAGGATAAGTTTACAAAAATATTTTGGAGCAAGAAATGACGGATTTATCGCGATTTCTTGCAGGCAACCCTGCAGATGGAGATTTACAATAATTATTGACATTAACACTAATAACTATAATAAGTTTATATAATGTTAAAAATGTTCATTAAATTTTACTTAATGATAAACCAATTAAATTTACGATACAAGACACACGATACAAGACATTTTATTTTTTTAAACTCTTTTTTGCAGAAGTTGCAGTTGGGGCTCCATATGAGAACGGAGGCAAAGGCGCCGTGTATATATATTCTGGGGCCGCTTTGCTCGCAGGACGCACTTGGTTTCAGAGGCTACAGCCTGAAGGCTTTAAAACGTTCGGCTTTAGTCTCACTCCGCTAAATGAGGTCTCAGACAATGGATGTAAAGGTACGAAAAATGTTTAGTTTACGTTAGTAGTACACATTTAAATTAAACAATTTTAACGATTTTAATAGCGAAACGTATTAGTTATCTTATCTACAATTTATTTTAACTACGGCCTGATGTTTCGGATGCTTTGCAGTGTGGTCGCGGGGGGATTAAACATGGAGGGTATCCATGAAGTTAAGTCTGCTACACTAACGCCATCTGTTTTCCAAAACGTCGAGCTGTAGTTGAAAACAAATTGTAGATACGTTAACTAATAAAGTTCGCGTTTTAAATAGTTACTGTTTTTTCAAAGGTGCGTATAATCTTGGCAGTGCTACTTTTACTGAGAAATATCGACAATAATTAAAATCTGTGGATTAATAAGGTCAAATTTACCTTTTAAATAACATGTTTTAACTTATTATTGTTTAGTGAAATTTTATTAGACTATATCGAATACTGTCTATAGTTTACGCGAGTAGTACACATTTAAATAAAACACTTTAACGGTGCCATCTGTTCCGGAACAGATGGCGCTAGTGTAGCAATTTTTTTCTTTGACGTCACAAAACATCCTCCATCTTTAGTCTCCCCGTGACAATGGCTGCTTCAAAGCATCCGAAACGTCGGGCCGAAGTTAACTAACATAAGCGTTTTAAACCGTTAAAGTGTTTTATTTAAATATATTATTGTTTTACCTTTTAATAAATTCATTATATGAATACAAGTACTGTATAATTACGTACAGTGTACTACGATTTCTGTTTAAAGGAATTAAGGAAAATTAATTGTGCTTGTTGTACCATGCCATAAAACTCATACTTGAGTTAATGTTTATGAAATTATAAGCAATATATTGTATTGTACCGCGGAGGCTCTGGTCTTCTAGTAAAAATGAGCATAATTTTTACAGGAATAGCTATTGGTGCTCCAGGAAGCAACAGAATAGCCATTTACAAAGGAATACCCGCAATCACTGTCAAATTGTTTGCATCATTTCCAAACTTACAGGTAATTATAAGTTCGTGGAATAAATTATATTTAACGGTTAGACGCAATTTGTTCATTTTATTTCGACTGCTATGTACAAGCCCTGGTGAATGTAACTAATATATATCACGTTGTAAACTGTCGAAAGTGTTTCATATAATGCACCAGTCGTGTGAACTGCTGATTTCCTTCGTTTGAGAGTTGAATTATTATTTTAAATCATAGATCCTTAGGCGTTTGAATTATTTATAACTCTCATGCACAGTCTAAAAAAAATATTTAATAATTCTGGAACCCTATTTTAGTTTCAAAGAATATTTATATTGTAAAAAAACATATATTATCTTTTTCAGAAACGCGAAGACATGAGTTTCTTTGATTTTCTATCGGGAATAACAGTAGTTTATCCATCCAATTTAAAAACTGTCGATGCCAGTAAGTAATTTCTTAGTATTTTCTTAAGCAAACATACAAAAAGAAGTAATATTTAACATGTCAAGAAGAACGTTAGTACTTATATTTACTTCAAAATAAAAATAAAATCACACATTTTTAATTTTAAAATATATTCTTAATCGGATCTACACCGGTAATTCCTAGAATACTGTTGACCTAGGATCGAAGCCAGGCCCTTTGTTTAAACCACGAAGGATGAACGATTGAATGGTGGCTGATAGATATAGAAAACGCATATTTATTTCTTCATAAATGTTTTCAGATATTTCAATAAAGATTAATATAATCCATCCAAATGCAAAGTTGGCTGCGGCAAGTGCTGATGGAACTCTAACTTACATAATTCCATTGAAGACGAAACCAAACGAATTTAATAAAACCATCAGAGTCTTAACTCCAGCTGTAAGTATAGAATATCTTTATTAAAAAAGTGAAAACACATTCTCGTGGAGACAACGCATTTCGGTGTCCGTTGCGCTGATCGATTATTTTACAGGCAAGTAGTTGATCCGACTTCTGTGCCTTGCCCGACCAAAACTACCTATTGTTCCCCGGACATCGAACTCAGGATCTGTCGCGCTTAACGCAATGCAAAAACGTTAAAACATTTTGAAAAGGTGATCGCCATGTACATAAATATTTTCTGCAGTTTGCGGTTTATATACTGTTTATTTGGTTATTCGTTTTTGATTTACAAAACGTTCTTACTTTATGTAAATCTAAGGGAAATTTGCTGAAAAATAAAACAAATGACAGATGGAATTGAAAAAGAAATCAAGTATAATAATAATATGACTAAATAATATATTATTAACAAAGCTTTATATTAAATACTGTCTATAGTTTACGCGAGTAGTACACATTTAAATAAAACAGAACTTTAACGGTTTAAAACGCGATATATTTGTTAAACTTATTTGGAAATGATTTTTAACTTCGGCCCGACGTTTCGGATGCTTTGCAGCAGCCGTGGTCCAAGGTGACATAAAAATCATTAAACTAATATATCGCGTTTTAAACCGTTAAAGTGTTTTATTTAAATAAAGTTTTATATTACTTATTTATTATTTTCCTAAAATTATTATCACATGTCGATCTCTTTAAATTTGTTTTATTTTATAGACTTTTACAATAGTAAAGATTTTGAAAAGAGCAATTTTCCACATGAGTCAGTCGATCAATATTTCAATAACGATTTTCACAAAATCGGTGACACGAGCGAGACTTGAATCCACGACCGTGTTCCATGCTGTTGCACTGCCAATGAGCCATCACGTTCATCAAGAGTTTCCTATATTTTACAGGGCGGGGACTACAGCCAAGAAATTTCATACCAAATATCAGCTGCTCTAGTGGACAGTCCAGAATCGCAAGCAGAGTTCAAATCTTCGCAAGTGACATTAAGTGAATCTAGCATTTTGTCATTATTTGGCTCGGAGCTGGCAGCGGACTGTGATGGAACTTGTACTCCAAAGCTAAGCGCGAGTTTGACTTCTTCTATTACGTACGTATATTTGTAGTATAGAGCTGAAGAGGTTCAGTAGTTTCGGCGTTAAAGCCGGACAGACAGACAGAGTTACTTTCGCCTTTATAATATTAGTATAGAATAGTAGAGATATAGATAGTGGCATTCACGTTTGACAAACAGTCACTGAGACATGACAGACGCATATTGACAACTTGTTATTTTGAAAACGTCCGGTGGGTAGTCTGATTTTATTTGTGAAGCGATTAAATCTTGTATCTATCTGCATTTCTTAAAGTCATTCGTTTGCCTCTATTTAATCGATATATATATATATATATATATATATATTGTGTTAATTCGGTTTGGACAATTTAAACAGTCTTTCTACGAAGAGGCGTTTATTTTGAATACTAGCTACCGACAATGGGTCGTTAAGTAAATTACTTTTAAAATACAACGCGAAATTTGTATTTCGTGTATGCCTTCTTAACAGTCGTGGCAAGGATTCTCTTTTCTTTACAGGAGTCCGTATACATCTGGATCTTCAAACATTGAAACTTTGTCAATAAGCTTGACAAATAATGGCGATACTGCATACAAGGCGTGTGTGGTCCTTCGAGTTACTCCAATCCAGGTTCTGCAGACTCCACCTGATTGTGTGCGGGAAGGTGATCATGTGACTTGCAAACCACGACACAGTTTGGGACATGGTACGACCTGGGTTAGTATCGAACTACAAAATACTAAATGTACTACGAATTTACGTAGTAATTACTAAGAAGAAATCTGTCACTGTCATCATTTAATAAAACACTTTTAACGGTTTAAAACGGTGTCACGGTGCCGCTACAAAGCATCCGAAACGTCGGGTTACAGTTGAAATGATTTGTAAATAAGTTCAACTAATCCATTTTGCGTCTTAAACCGTTCAAAGTGTTTTATTTAAATGTAAACTTCCAACATCTATTACATTCATAGCTTAAAATTGCAATCTGGTTTTATTTTTCGATTCATTTATTAATATGGCAATAACTTTTCTATATCTATTTCACGATCGTGTGAATTTTGTTTTATCTGGCATTTGAACTTAGGAATTCTCGCACTAAACGCGAAATGGAGCAACGAGTTCGACCGTTAAATTTCGGAAGAGGTTGTGACTAGGAGGATATTAATCAAAGATATAAAACATAGTCCATTCAATAAAGAAAAAAACACTAATAATACTTGGTGAAAAAAAATACGACAACGTGGATTATTTACGGACTTGTCTAATGGGTGATGAGAATGTTGAAATTCCGGCCGGGCCCGATCCACCGTCCACAAATGAAAAAGTTGTGTAGTTTAATGTTATATGGCCGGGATTTTTCACCTACCATCGAGTTCGTTTATCAGTCCTCTATAAAGAAGTAGATAAAATTCTTCTGTTAAAAATTCGAGTGAGCAACAGCGTGCAACGCTGTGGATGCCGAATCAGGTCCTACCCTTGTCGTTATTTTATTTATGATCGATTTTAATTTATATAGTGCAATGTGAAAAATATTGAACTTTTCGTAGATTCTTCAGATTATTTACGTTTTGTTTTTAGGAAACCGGTGCTATAAGTTTGGAAATGGGTGCATTAACAAGCGCAGATGAATCGATACAAGTAATGTATGATGTTTACAATAATTGTAAGCAAGGCGATAAAAGCCCACATGAGCAGGTGTTTCCTCTTCGCGTTGTAAACAGCGGAATTATAATACAAGGGTAAATATGGATTTTTAAATCTATACTATATATAGTTAAAGAGTTTGTTTGTTTGTTTGAACGCGCTAATCTCAGGAATTACTAGTTCGAATTTAAAAATGATTTGTGTTGATTAATAAAATTATGTATGAAAGAATGATTCCTCTTTAAATGATCTGAAAAAAGTTCGCGACGCTATTTGTCTAGATTTTAAGATTAACGTGCAAGAGCGACGGAAAGGGACGCGACCGACGTCGTGGGTAATAGCTTAAGTTGTAAAGATGAAGGGGTTTGCAAAATGCGGACGAAGTCGCTGACACAGCTAGTTATTTATATTACGTAATTGTCAAAATGATAGCTCGTATTTTGTTGTATCCCAACTACTTTTTTGTAAACATAGCCACTGATCGGATTCTAAACATCATTATCATGTTTCACTAGGATTTGAACTCGGGACTTATTTCGCTAAACACAAAGGAAACGAGGGAGCGTAAGCATTAAGTCGGATTTATAATTGCTTTATACTTATAAAGATAATAAGGAAAGTAAGAAATTATTGTAAAATACTTTCGTTGAACGCATAAGCGCTGTTTGGTTAATTTACTTGTCTTGACAGATCTTCTAACTCCGAAGAGCTGGTAAACCTGACACCAGAAGACATAGAAGTTGGTAAACAACTAGAGCACGTATACAAGGTAGATAACCGAACCGATATTCCGAACTTTTACTTGATAATTGAAGATTTTATTTGTTTGTTTGAACGCGCTAACCTCGGGAACTACTGGTCCGTATTAAAGAATTATTTGTGTTGGTTAGAGCATTTATCGAGGAAAGCTTTAGGCTATAAAACATCAACAAGTGACATTAGGAACGAAGACACAGTGGATATTGTGGAAAAAAAAGGGAAAATATTCCTCTTTGAGGGTTTCCATTACGTGCGCTGCAGGAAAAAAAAATATGTATGAAAGAATGATTCCTTTGTAAATTATCGAAAAAATGGCTGCAGTACTTTATAAATTTTTTTTAAAATTAACTTGCAAGAACGACGAGCCGCGACCAACGTCGTGGGTAACAGCTATAGTAATACTACATACAAGACATATTATAAATTATTTAACTAAAACACTTTAACGGTTCAAAACGCGATATATTAGTTAAACTTATTTGAAAAATGATTTTTAAATAAAGTTTAACTAATTATCGCGTTTTAAACCGTTAAAGTGTTTTATTTAAATGGGTACTACTCGCGTAAACTATAGACAGTATTTTATATTATAAATTAATCAATAATGGATGAAAAATGATTTTTAAATAAAGTTTTACTAATTATCGCGTTTTAAACCGTTAAAGTGTTTTATTTAAATGGGTACTACTCGCGTAAACTATAGACAGTATTTTATATTATAAATTAATCAATAATGGATGTAATGTTAAAAGAAAACTGTATGTTATTTACATCACAAAAGAACTGTTATTTATAGTTATACAATTTACGTAATAAATTACCATTTCAATCATTTTAAAACACAAACAACATTAATTTATCAATTTGTATATTTACACACGACACATGTCTTCATTTCAATTTATCCGTTTTAGTAAAAACATCCTTTTGCACTGCCCTCTATAGAGTAAAGCTAAAACTTTTTCAGATAAGCAACACGGGACCAACGAATTGGGTTGATGTCGGCTGTGAAGTTTTTATTACGGACAAGTTCGGGGATCTAATAGAATCACGTGTTACGGTAAAGCTTTACTATTTTTTAATATAATATATATGATTTTATATGCAACAACGGGAAATCTCAGTAAATTGTAGTCACATGTATGATGTACCTATACCTAGCTTTTATGTTTTTTGTCATCGCAACGCGTCCTGGATAACACGACAGTGTATATATCCACTTAATTGGGCAATGTGATCAAAACGAATAATCACTTTTCCCGGCCATTATGAATAATGTCCACCCTATCTTGGGTAAATTAATAAAATATGAACTTAAGTGTTTGTGTTTATTTGACCAAACTTAAATCTATATATTTAGTCTTATCACATCGCCCAGATACGAATAGAGAATTGTTCATACTGCCCGCAGCCGAAAACACTGACTTCTTACATGAAACATGGAACGACAGGCATTCTTAATAATGGCCCGTCAATGTGATAATTTAATTACTTTGCCCATCGCTCTTGGGCATTATTAATAATTGCCGGTCCTTATTAGTAATGCCTAGTTAGATTAGATTATTGTTCCCTTTTCCATTTACAAAAGCACGTTTGTTCGTAAGCTTACTTATATGTGTTTTTTAGCTAGACACAGCTTCGTCCGTAACAAACTTGAGCCTAGCCGACAACGCAGACGATATCAAAACAACATCAGTTATATCAAAATTGTTTGTGAACAACGCAGTCAAAGTGTATGTCAGTCTGTTTGTGTTGCCAGATAAGATAGGTAAATAATTTTCAAGTGTTTTAGATTGTAAGATCAAAGTTGTTTTATGGTAAGAGTATGTGAGGTTGGGAGTTCGATATACGATTGTGCTTTAAAAATTGTAGAAAACTTTTCAACCCTCCCAGGGTCCCTTATACATGGAGTCGAATGGTCATAATAAAATGGTATAAAAAAATATACCTACTAACGAAAGCGGGTTCGAATCTAAGATATGTAATTTTTTACCTTTCTCTTAATAATGTATCAACTTTTATGAGATCTTATTTACAATATACATTCATGAGTTACTTTATACAATTAATAATACTTAATTTGACATGGTAGATAGAAAATAATATATTTTTTTAATAATTAATCTGTTATACTTTTGCCTTCAGTATAACTTTGACATCCTTATCTTTTGTTTTTGCAGGAAAGATAATACAAAAACAAGACCTTAATTTGACATCTCAAATAATATTAACATTTGGGGAAGATATAAAATCTTATAGGTGATTATCCACTTATTTTTTTAAGACGCAAAGTATGGTTATTTAGATCATCATGAATTTCCTATTCAGTTCCAAATAAAAATTAAATAATATATCTACTTGTCGCTTGATTTTGATAAACTGGTCTTCTATGCCTTTTAAATGCTTTAAGTATTACTTCCCCATAGAATTTTTGAGTACTTGCGAGTTTGGACGTGCCCCCCTGTCCATGACTTCAGTAAAGCTTACAAAACGTCGTTTCAAAAAAAACCACTACATTTTGGTTTTCAAACCGTTTTGTCATTGAATGTTACGTTTTTTCCAGTGTATCAAACTCGCTACACTACAAATGCGATTATGTAGCCTCGTGGATAATTATTCTGGCAGTTTTATTTGCATTGCTTCTGCTTGGAATAATAGCGATCGCCCTCTATAAGGTACAAAAATAAGTTTTAACGGTTCAAACCGCGAAATATATTAGTTAACATGTTACCTGTTCTCTCAGAGTTGCTGCAAAGCATCCGAAACCAAAGGCCGTACTAAAAATAAGTTAACTAATATATATTTTGCGCCTTAAACCGTTAAGCATTTCATTTACCGTATAGTATGTCTAATTGTGTGTGTGATATGTTGTTGTGTTTGAAGGGCATGAGCACAATTGTGTGTCTGACACACCGATGGTTTCTTTTGGGTTGGACCCAGGTTTGTTTAAACTTTAACGCAATATTCGGCGATGTGTTTTAATGTTTGTATGTCATCCATCAACACACCAACCCTTGTTTTCCTCGCAGACAGGGCCAATTACCATAAACTAGCCATTATGTAATCTTCATGTCTCGTTTATAGTAATTATATTTGTAAGACTAAGTCTTTGTTACTCTAAGAACATTCAATGTCCCCTAAAAATTATCACCGTTAGCCGTCGTAAGAGCCTTATATAATCTATTGTTTTCTATTGGCCTAAATTACAATCTAATTTAGATAAATCATATCTTTGATCTCCAAGTGTAATTTTTTGTTATATAATCTATACCTGTCAATAATGTTTGTTATTTGCAGTGCGGCTTTTTGCAACGCAAGAAAAAGCAGGAACTGCAGAATTTAAGAAAGAGCGTTAAATACTACGTAAGTACGCTACGAACCTCTACCTACTTCACAATTATCATTGTTTAAAACCGTTATTTTTGAAAGAATTGGAAGTAAAAGCGTTTCAATGACACTAGTGTCCTTACACTGTTATACTGTCACACGCTTCTATGATTAAACATGTCTTTTGAAGGTATTTCGTTAGATTTAAATATTAATGTAACTTAACGGTATTTTTCGCGTTTTGAACCATCAAAAGTTTTTTATTAGGTACCCGAATCAATTACAATGCAGTTTATTCTAGATCACTTTCAACAATGTTACAGAAACGAATGAACTCACAAGAAACACGCGAAGAAGATGATAAAGACAACGGTCAACAAGAGAGTACCGCCCATACCTTCTAGCTGCTACTGAATAAAAAAAACTAGGACTTTAAGTACGCTTATAGATTTTTTTGTTTTAAGCTTGACTTGACACTCAAATGTGCATACAATTTATACATTTTATGTACGCTATGAAACGTCGGGCGTAGTTAAAATAAGTTTAACTATTATATATCGTGTTTTAAACCGTTAAAGTGTTATATTTAAATTTACGTAATTTACTTACGTTCTTATATAATAAACATTTCGAGTAACCTATAATATAATAAACATTTAGAGTAAAGAGGGGAGATATCGACAGGGATCAGGGTATGAAATAAAAGAGGTTTATAATTATGCAATAGTTTTATTGTTAGAAAGGGGCCCGACAGATGGAACTACGGGGCCCCGCTACTCTACCGCCTACACAGATAACTACAAACTCTCACTTACTTATCATTTTCTCTTACTGAAAACCGGGAGGTCACATTCACTCCTCGTTTATCCAATACGCTACGATTACAGGTAAGCACATCACGTATAAATGTTAAATCCCGGTACATTTCTAACTTTTTACAATCTAACACATTTAGCACAGCGTACAGAACAAACCAGAATGCTACTCCAAAATGGTGTAATTTAGTTGCGAACCAGTCACACAGGCATCTTGATACAATTGTGAATTGGTATTCTGGTTTATTCGGTAGTCTGCGGCGTATAATTACTGTTTGCCGACCTTTCTATGTGACCTTTTCAGATAAAATTAAACTGAATGAAACATTAAGATAATACACATGTTTTGGGTAATTACGTCTTATAATAGTTTTGAATTTGATAATATGTTGAAATTATAAGAAATATATTTTAAATTTTTAATAAAAGCCATTTTAAAACAATTTGACGTCATTATAAGCTTGGAATCGTTTGTCGAATCCTTTACTATGGATATTTGGAAGATTTAAAAGTTATTTCTCATTAGATGACTTGGTTGACATACTGAAAAATTCGAAATCTATTTTTTGTATCAATCTTGTTATCGATCGGCTCGGCCTACTCTAGAAAGCAATCTTCTTGTTCTGCCTTTTTAAAATTTATTAAATGTTTTCTCTCTGTCACGCAAGTGCCATTTAGAATTTAAATGAATGAGACGCAATATTATATCGCTCGCTCGTATCGATTGGGTTTAAATTGCATTAATATTGTTTTCCAGAGTAGCCATCCTTAAAATTACTTCACGTCATAGAAACAAAACGCAATCGGATACAAAGTGAGATTATGCTATTATCCGTGTCGCCCGGTACAAGACGCTAAAAAATTATCATTACAGTAGTTTTGGCAGTTCGCAACAATGGTAAAATGCAACTAAATCGACAGTAGTACAAATATATTTACAATCGAGTTCTGTCTCGTCTCCCGAACCAAATCACAGAAGTGTAAGATACTTCCGTGTCCAATATTAATAATCGAAAAACTAAAACGCGGGTTATACGGGACCCGACAGTTGTCCTGGGCGTTACGAAGATAAAGTACAGCCATTTTCAATACACCTAAACTAAGAGCAAACTTAAGAGTGACTATTCGTGGGGATATATCTAATATTTACAACACGACTGGTAAGTGAAAACAAAACGTCTTAACACGAAATAAACTTACTTTGTGATACCCGCGGGTAAGTTCGACTTATTTACGCATTCGAAGTCTTCAGCAAGTCGTACTAACCATTAGATTAATATGTAAACGTGTAGAGATAGGATACATGTTCTATCTCTGTCTCGCAAATATCACCGGGTATGTATGAAAGAGACAAAACACGCTGTATCTCCTTTCTTCCTACACGTCTGAGTTTACATTTAGTAACCTAATAGGTTGTTTTTTTTTTTTTTTTTATTATTTTCTTTATAATGGAGGATACCTTAAGAAGATTACGCGACTAAGAGCAGAGGCAGTTTGTGAACGTAAAAACTAAAAAAGTCTTGTAACTTTATTTGCTAATATTTACATGAATTGTCTAAGTGCCCCCTTAAGCGCCCGAGTGCTATCTTACGTCTAAAAAAAACAAAATGACTGACCGACATAAGAACTAATAAACTAAACTAAAGATCACCTTGTGTGCTAAATGGAAAAACATACCGTGTACTTAAAACAATTCGAGATCTCTAACAGTCTGGAAACGAATTATGTACATTTACACATTAAAATATAGAATTAAGAAGCGTGTTCAAATACGAATTCACTAATTATTTACAGCAATAATCGATTCTAATCTATTTCAGGTATTTGTTTGTTCTCGATTAGGGATAGATCGGACAATCGATCGCGATCGATTCTCCGAATCCTCAATCGAATATTTTGAAGCGAACAACTTACAATATCGAGAGGTCGTACGCGCAGCGTTTGTAGCTGTTTAGATCACAGTATCAGTTATCTGTAAGGCAAGGTGGGGCCGTAGTCGAACGATACTATTACCTGCAGGTAACAATGCACTTTTAAAAATGTATCGCTATCTCTTTTCGATATTCAAGAAAGAGAGAGACGTATAGAACTACCGTGGATAAGAGTATCGTGAGACTGGCGAACTTTTGTACCATCCTAGCGGTATTTCTTGTGCAAACATTCGTATCTGAGTAAGCTATCTGAGATCTTATTCGTATAGACATAGAACACACATTCGCTCGCACAGGAAATCCGCCGACAAACTGGTATTTAATTCAGTGTAAATTCCCATACAATACTACTTATTAAGTCTATGAGATTATTTACATACTTATAAACTTTAAAGTTTTGAACTACTTTTAAGGCTAACGATCTTTTGGGACATACAAGTACTACACAAAACACAGGGAAAACATCAATTTCGATAATACTTAAGACGATTATAATATTGGCCAATTATTAAGACACAAATACACACACATTAGTACAAGTATACTACTATTAATAAATGCTTGAAAATAACCGTTATGTTGCTAGGATTTTAATCTAGGTATAGTTGGAAATCGGATACTTTAGATTGAAAAATAGCGGATTTACAACTACCCTCATATTAGACAGTGGGTAGTCACTGGTGTTACTTGACGTTACACGTTACGTTGCGCTATCGCTGAGCTTATGGTTATATTACAACAAGTAACATCAGTCAATACCTACTATACATTATATAATTTTTAATTTCAGTATATAATTGTAATCAGTATCAATTATTGAAAGAATCATGTCAATTAAATCTAGTCTATCTAAAACTAACTACATAAAATGTCAGTCGATGTCATACGATGGTGTTCGGAACGAAAACTTAAGGCCGCGTTCACACCAAACATTAGTGAGCTAAACCGCGATGTCTGTACACGGCCTAAATATTAAATGTCGACTCTATAATAATAATGTATTGCAACGGTTATTGCTTGCAACATTCACAAATCAATCAGGCACACACCATAAACCTATCCAATCACACAGCCGCGATGCTTGACGTGTGAGAAATATCCGAGAGCTGTCTCGCTCACTCTTTTAATGAGTGAGCAGGATGACTACAATACTGTATATGCATATTCGTCACACGCGAAACCCGCTGATGGAACAGCAAATCTAAATTCTATTCCTAACAAGCATAGCCTTTACTACCCAATAATCTAGTACCATTCGTTGTACCTAGGCATTAACTCGTTTTGAGAGAACGACGTTAGTTCAAAATCGAATTAACTTATCCATTCCTATCCCTTCTTTATCCTTTCGTCTCTACGATAACCGTTCAACATACTCTAATCTACAAACACCCACTACATTATAAGTAATATCAGGAAAATATATTTGGTAATAATAATCATATATTGTATAAATGTGCTTTGCCTCTATAAACGCACGACGCAGCGACTATTTAGTCGCAATGTCAAGTTCTGTCTGTGCTTGTCTTTCTATTTTCTCACTACTTTCTTTATGGTTACGTAATATTTACAACGTGCGAACAGTCAAAAAACGTCCCTAAAATGTATAGTAAAACTGAGGTTTGTTCTGTTTGAACGTTGAAATGCGCATATTTACACTAAAAATGTCCTGTAAATGTCAGAATCTTCGTAGTTGGAGTTATGTCGAAATCTATTACTATGTCTACTCTTAAATATACAATGTATATTATAATTGTCTCTTATTTACCTTTTAACGTGAACTGGTATCTAACATCGATTGGTGTTATAAATTGTACATTCGTGTATTGCTCAAACAAAACATTACACTTATACATATAGTACGAAATAATATTTGAAAGTTCTGCCGACACTAAGCATTTTATTTTAATATAACTATAACTTTAATAAGCTTAGAATTTTCAGAATCCAGCTATGCTTAGTGTGAACAGGCTCACACATCTTTAACCGTCAAGCAAAGCTGTCAAATTTTAAATCCCATTTGGATATTTTTGTCAATCTACGATTTTAAAAGCGCGATATGGAATTTTGTTATTAATAATATTTAGCTGAGGCCGCTGCAAAGTGTTCTTGGCACTAAGAATTATTGTTGTCTCGCTCGATTCGTTGACGTAAAAGCTGATGAGCTTTTGTAGAAGATGTTGAATCCGTCTGTAGCATATGCGCCCCGAAGTAATATTATCTTGTATAATCGAAGAGGTTATCGTGCGTCGGTGTAGAGGGCGCGTCGCTTGTCGAAGCCGCGCTTAGACTCGCGTCATTCCCACTGATGCGGAGACGGTGGCAATTCGGACGGGTGTGCGACTGTCGAGCTGTAAGTCGCGAATCACATCGATTAGTCGCAAGTCTACGTCGTGCTTTACCCACACCCAGGCCACTGACTTATTTTGGAATAACGATATATTTTAATATAGACTTTAACAGAAAATAAAAAGAAATTTAGCCTCAACGTTATTCCATCATACGTCCCAAAATTTTCGACCATGCATCCTTTAAAATGCATATAATGTATAAAAATGTAATTCTCTGAGAAAAATGTATTGCAATCGGAAATCAAAACTACTGAAACTACAAAAAATCACCACAACCGAGTGCTTGGCACTGTGCTCACTGTCTACTCATGCAAACTAGTTTAGGGACAAACACAATGTTAAACGTTGGCTTTGATATGATTTGATATGCTTTCGATTTTTTTTAGTTCATTAGTACATCAAATTGAGTGAAGGTACTTTCGAAAACAAACCAAGCCATCCCAAAATGCGAACCAAATAAAATCGCATTCATTTGCTGCCTTATTTCATCAAACTCGTTTTAGCGATCTATGAATTAAGATTAATAAAAAAACAATAATAAATCTAATAATTAATAAATAACACGTTTATATAAAACTTAAGAACACTTTTGCGGGTAGTTGGTGTCCCTCGAAGTTATTAGATCGCCAAAATGTCGTTCTAAGTAAAGAAAAAGGACAAAACGGAAAATGTAAGACATGCATATCATTCGGAACTGGAAAAAGTAATTATCCAACGATCAACCCTTTTGAAATAACGATCGGCGTCTTCGTAAAACAACACTTAAAAATGTGATTGAATACTGTTGAATCTAGAAGGGCAATTAAAAACTTATATGTGATTCAGTGCACGTAACGTGAGTTTGAGACAGTTTAAGCGTTGCTTTATCGACTCCCGCGCAGACGTGAACACAAAAGAACGTGCGGGACGCTTACTGCTTGGGACTATGCACTATGCAGCGCACAGAAATATCACAGGCGAGAGCAGAAGTATTTTTGCCGCCGTCTTGAAAGGGGAACAAACTTTTGCTTTCGTGCTCGCTCTAGGGCTGCCGTAAACACAGAAAAACCATATTATTTAGCGATGGTGGCAACACCACCATTTCAAGAGGGTTGATATCTGCGGTGGCAAAAAAGTAATAGAATACGAAAATAATAAAAAAAAACATGCACAATTTGGGCTCTGCCCGGTGAACAGGTAAAAGTGGGGCTAGGTAAGACCTACGCACTTAACTACTTAGGCGGGATTGGGGTTGGGGGGGATAGTGGGACTAACTTCTGCGACCACCTTCATTCTAGAGGTACCTAACACTGCTCGTAATAGGCGTGCACGCAGCACGGTGCCACACTTAGTTGTGATGATAACAGTTACTAATACAATGGCGTGTAGACAACACTTATTGGCTCAAAGACTCGGCTGACATAGATTAAAGAGGTCGGCGTGTTGTCAACACGTAGTCGTGGCCTTTTGGGTGCGGGTGGTCGCTAATAGCTGAGCGATTGGTGCCTATTCACTGCCACGATCGACTTTCTAATAAAACAATACATACGCTAACAAAGATATATACATAATGGAGTCATCTCTTGTTAATGCAATCGCACGTCTATTGCCTTCTTTGCTTCAATAATATTACCATAATAAATTTCATTATTTGAAGTAACTTGCACGACAAAAATATATTTACTTCAATAAATCTCATCTGGCTCGGACTAAAATGTTGTCAGCAGTCGATACTTTATTCGGTTGATTTCTTATATGTAAAAATAATAATTTATAATGCTGACGAGAAAGATGTATGATCCCAAAAAATTTATCCAAATATATTGAATTGAATTCCACAATATTGAAGCAAGGATGCGATATATATACATAAATAAATATAACAGCCCTAATGTCCGGATCGTCGAGAGTGAAATAGGCACCAATCGGTTTAGGTATCGCAAAGAAATCACCTAGTGTCTGGTTGGTTGGTTGTTTGCGGTTGGTTGTTTGTTGGCGGCGCCTTACCTTGCGAAGCTCTTGAACGCGGCCGACTGCGGGTTGATGCACAGCGGCACGCGTGACGTTTGCAGCTGCTCCGCTATGAATTTGTGGATCTCCTCTGCGGAGATAGGTTATCGTACAAATTTATGGACTCATTTATAGTTCGTATCAACATATTTATTCGTCTTAACATCGGTTAAAATTCACTAGTACTAAATCGTAGGAGGTAACGAGGTATTTTATTTACCATTGCGTACCATTACGTTTAAATAAAAAACTTTTCAGCGTCAAGGCGAAGTGCCCACTCTCGTTACAGGCCCAAGCCAAAAACGACACCAAAAACATAATTCCTGCTTTTGTACGTAATTCTTACACAACTACTGATTCTTATTTGGACATTTGTTTAATAGATAGCTTTTATTCGAACGCAGTACACACCCTTGACTTGATGAACGGACGTCAACTTCCTCTCCCATCCGTCGTGGAAAGCGTGGGGCGCCACCGGCTCCAAATCTGGGGAATAATGTCTTGCGGCCGGGGGGGCGCTATAGCAGCATTTGCACATGCACGAGTGGTAGCGGAGGCGGCCTTCCTCTAGGTACGGGTGCGCAAGCGCATCTACAACGGAGATCCGTTTCGCCGGGTCGAACACCAACATCTGGAATATTATTTTACTTATGTCAGGTTTAGATATTAAGAAGACAACGGTGCCAAAAATGAGCTCAATACTAATATTATAAATCTGAAGACTTTGTTTGTTTGAACGCGCTTATGTCAGGAACTCTGGTTCAAATTGAAAAAAATATTTTTGTTTTAAAACATCACGTCGAGACCAATAGGAGCAAAAAAAATTAGTAATGTGGAAAAATGGTGATTATTGTAAATTGTAGTGGGTCGCTGCAAAATCGGTTCAAGATATGATGTAAAAAAAATACCGTGAGAGTATATTTCTATCTTTTAAGACTAACTTGCAAGCACGCAGTACGCGGACAACGTCGTGCGTAACAGCTAGAATACCATAAATAAACACATACATAAATGTATATTTTTTAATTTTAGGAGATTACTGGAGAAAAACTGAAACTGGGCAAAGAAGCATCCAAATCAATTGTTTTTGAAATCTATTTTGCATACCTGAGCCAAGAGATGCACAGCCTCGTGAGTAGCCTGCACAGATAGAGTATAGAGTGCGGCTAGCGCCGGTGGCCTCGGTGCGCGACGCAGCATATGTGCTCTTGCGCCCGCGCATGCATACCGCATGTCCTCCAGCGACGGTGTTCCGAGCAGCTCCGTTATTAACTCCAGCTGAAAAAGTAGGCAGCACATAAATGAAAAGACAGTAGCGGCCACATATCTGTAGGGTTTTAAGTTTAATTAGGTGCTTTCTATTGCTTATAGCTGAGTTTGCCTTTTCAGACCCAAAATTATATTTCTTATTTTTAAATTGTTCGTGATATTTGTTCTATAGCTAATATCGTGTAAATAATTCAATAGATCAATACCATAAGGAACATATCTCCAGACAATCAAACAGTATTGTTGAAAATAATTATTACTTATCATTATAGAATTCTAAGCTTGAAGCTTATTTATAAAAGTAAAGGGAAAACAAGTCTCATGTTAAATATACAATTAAAAAGCAGACCAATGAATTTTGATAAAGTCAAGACAATAGCTGTGAAGTACCTGCTGTACGGGACTCTGGGCCTGGAAGAGGATCCGACGGCCGAGGAGTTCGCCGAATATGCAGCCCACAGACCAGACATCAACAGCGGCCGTGTAGTGATTCGCACCCATCAAAATCTCGGGAGCCCTGAAACATTATATGTTATCATGAGACATTAATAATATAGTCAGACGTTTCGTTTTATTTCTTCACAAATCTTGCCATTATGACGTCATATAAAAATATATAATTCACGCTAACGGTTAGGTATTATACAACTAACACGGTAAAACACAAGCGGTAACAATGATAAAAATAAACGGGTCAAATATTTTTTAATCGATTAAGAATTTTTCTGAAATATATTGGACTTCGTTAAGTAATCTGAAAATCAAATAGATGATATAAATAGTCCGGGTCGAAAGCAACGTGTGACATGAAATGTCCACAAATGAAATTTAATCGCGTTACGGTTTCAATCAAAGCAGATATAGCTCGACAGCACATCTTGTTGAGAGGTTATATGGCTGGAGTATTTCACCCTCTATCAAGTGAACATGTGAGTTTGACAAGATCAATTCAATACCTACTCGGTTTCAAAACCTTTTGCTTTTAACTTAAAGCTCACAATTTGCGCATATAATAAAATAATAAACATTTTACCCTCATATTATTTCAAGTAAGGTGAAAAATTAAAATTTCATATTATTGCCGTTATTACAGTAAAAAATAAAAGGTTAGCAAAGCAAAAAATAGGGTCCAGTAGATAACCCTTGTTAGCAATCCCTTTGGTGGTTCTGATAGCATTAACCCTTGTTCATTTCTTTTTATGAATTCTGATGACAATCAATAGATATTAAACATACAAAATTAAAAAGGTGCATTTGAGCAAAATTGTAAAATCATATTGTTTATTCCGTTCCAGATCTGATTGCTTTCTTTGCTTGTACTTGATGGTAGTTGAAATATACTAGCCATACATAAAACAAGACGTGCTGTCGCCCTATTTTGACTTTAGGTATTAGGAAATCCACAGTTAGCAATTTTAGTTTTACGATTTAAATTTATTTATCGACTACTTATTTAATTTGGGAAGTACGTCATTATTTACTTTTTTGTTTACATTAAAACAAATTTTTATTCCACAAACCGTGCTGAATGCAGAGCACGAGACACGGAACATCGGCCCCGTACCGAATTGAAAAAAAATTACCCAATAGAGATCGCACGAGCACGTACTCGTTCGTGCTCGATGCATACAAAAATACCAGCAGTTATTAAGTCGAACCAGCCGTGGCATACTTTCAAATGTGCGGTCAATGGTGCAAAGGTCGTTTATAACACTGTAATCCATCATTTTTGTTAGTCGGATTGAGTATAGCGCAAGTAGCAAAAATTTTAATAAAATATTTTTAACGGTTTAAAACACGAAGCATATTACTACTGACTAAAGATGCAGGATGAAACTTATTGTTTGAATAGTTGGCATCCTAGGTACTCTAAATCTTTAGTGGGTTGGACCATGACTGTTTAACATCTGAATCGCCGGTCTTAGTAAAAAATATACTAATAATATATTTCTACTATTGAACTGTTTGTATTTTATTTCACAGTAGGTATAAGATAAATATATGCTACAATACAGCAATAAAGGACACCTTCCACATATAACTATAGGTATGATGAGGGTAAAATCTCGTTTCCTCTTGTGGACATGGGGCGAAGACATTTATGTGTCCGATTCAGTGATCGCTCTTTAGAAGCAAGTCGTTTATCAGACTCCTGTGCCCTGCCTGACCGAAATAATTTATTGTTTCCTCGGGATTTGAACCCTGGACCACTTGCGCCTAACGCTAAACTAGGCAACATTCTTAAACTATAAATATATAACAAATAGTGTAACCGGCAGTTGAATGTAAGCCAAGCGCTGCGGCCAAGGGCAGTCCTTGTATGTCCATATCTTTAACATGTACGATAGGCTAGAGCGATCCTGTGAGTTATAGTTGTGATATCGTAGCTTAGAGGTATTATTAATATACCATGATCAATAGATTCAACAATATAGTAAGAATCGAAAATATATTTTTTTTAAATCGACTCGGGCAGGACTTGAACCGGCATCGTTAGCGTTCCGTGCTGTTGCTCTACCAATTAAGCTACCGATTCCTACACCTCCTCGTCGATTTTTTTTAACTTATAGATACATGCACCTCTCGCGCAATGCAATTTCAACCTTAACACTTGCGTATTAAGGTTTCGATTTTTAAATGATATAGTGACTTCATGTGTCTCACATGTAAATTTTTTTATGTTGTTAAACAATATAATAAGAGCCAATATGTTATGTTGTTGTATATATTCGTCGGGCCGATAATAAAATAAATTATTATTACTTATTTATCCTAAAAAATATAAAGCACGCGCTTTTTATCTATTTTCAGTCAAATAAAATAAAGTACAAAGCAGTTAAAAAAAGAAACCTAAATATATTTTATATTACAATTGAAACTACCGGAGTTAATCATTAATAAACTATTACATCAGCGGCAAAGTCGCTAAAACGACATATTTATAAATTCGTTCCAACCGTTCGGCGCTGGACATAATCCTCCCCTAAAAACTTCCAATACAACCGGGCGTTTGTTACTTGAATCCAGCGTACCAGGTACCAGATCGTCTGTCTCCCTAGTCGACTTCTAATACAAGGTCTCCACCCTTTTTGCTCCAACGGTCGTCATTTCTACTAGCGATGGGCTATGTCGGTAACTTTAGTTCTCCTACGAATCTTTTTAATCCTGATTGGATCACACAAAGTAACTCGGAGCATAGCCCTTCCAAAGCAAACTTAGCTACGAAGGTTCGCGGTAGAAGACCATGTCTCTTATCGAACGTCATCGCTGGTATTTATAAATTACTAATGAACAATACAAAACTTACCTATAATATTGCGTAACGACCTCCTGCGTCATATTCTTAGTGGAGTCAGGCTCCTCGACTCTCGCCAGTCCGAAGTCGCAGATCTTCAGAACGCAGTTGCTGTTCACGAGCAAATTGCCCGGTTTTATGTCTCTGTGCAGGATGCGAGCCGAGTGCAGGTACTTTAAGCCTGAAATGAATAATAAACATACAATTTCGTTGCTAGTGCACATCTATATAATAAAGGTAAACATTTAAATAAAACACTTTAACGGTTTAAAACGCAAAAGTATCCGAAAACCAACTTCGATGGAACAGATGTAGCAAGTGTAGCAATTTGTTTTTTTTTCGACGTCAATGACACCCTCAATCTTTAGTCTCACCGTGACCACGGTTGCTGCAAAGCATCCGAAACGTCGGGCCGTAGTTAAAATAATTTTAACTAAAATATAAATCGCGTTTCAAACAGTTAAAGTGTTTTATTAAAATGTGTACTACTCGCGTAAAGTGCAGACAGTATTCAAAGAAAAATATTTTAGTTGAATGCCAGTATCAGAAAGAAAACCTACGATTTAGAAGTCTATGTCGTTGGTTAGTAGCCTATTTATTTGAAAAGGTAACAAACCGGCGTGGACATGATGTACATTCCTAGTTTCAGCTTTTTTAGTAGTAGTATAATAACAGATAATGTAAATACTGTCTATAGTGTCTGTCTATAGATAATGTATTTATATAACAGATATATTAGCCGAACCTATTTTTTAACGACGACCCGACGTAGAAACAATACTTAACCGCATTATAACTCAAATAGATTAACATGTTCTACTACTACCCGTTCTCAAATAAAAGTGGGTAGGCAGATAAAGAGTTACAAGATAAATTGTGTACACGCTAAAATAGTATTTTAGATGGATTGCATTGTTTACAGAATGTTGTCTTCTTTTTCACGAGGCTTCTTCAGACTTCTTTTTAAACATCGCTCGATTGTGCAAATTACGATAAACAAACGTTTAATTATACAATACAAAAGAAATAATCTGAATTACATTAGTGACATTTTCGTATATGCGTTGTCTGTAGCATGATATAATACCGGGGCGTTTTCAGTTTCACGCACAACGCTACTATGTGTTGGAATAACTTCAATCCTCTCCGCAACACAGTTTCAATAAATTCCTTTAAATTAAAATACAAAAGATATCTTGTATGGGGATCTTAGTGGCGTGCACTAAGATCCCCATACATCTTTTAAGTGAAACATTACATATCTTTAGTTGAATTTAGTATAAATATTGTTTCTAAGGCTTAGTATTTATTTTATTTTATAGATATATATATATTTTTATTTTTGTTGTATAGTCGGTTATCTTACATTTATTCTTGTATCTGAATTATTTGTTGCTATCGCTCTAAGTTGGAATCGGCGCTGCAAATCTGTTATCGCAGCAACAGCCGAGCGATGTCCTTCCACAGCAAAGTAATTGTATGTGATAATTGTAACCCATTTGTATTTTCTTATACCGATGTTTAATTTGTTTGTATAATCGTTGGTGTGGATTAAATTATTTCATTTCGGTTTTGTATGTATTTAATTTAGCCAAGCCAAGTGTACTTCCGGAAACAATGGAACCGTGTCAAACTGTTCCCAGCCGCATCTAGTCGGAATTAATAAAAATGTGTTATACGACAATCCGGTTTATTCCGGAATTGGCGGGTTCGCTCCTGACTGTAAATGTAGCGTGGGTTTTCGCAGCGATAACGTTTCCCTAAGGCCCCGAGTGGACGGACGACGCGTTCCGGCTTACCGGGCGCAATAATGGATGCGACCGCAGAAGTTGACATGCCCACATTTAATGTCGCTTCAAGTTATTATTATCGATTTCGTGGTAAATACGTCAGTGCTTTTGATAGATTGATTGCTGAAGAAATTCCGTGTGTCGTTTCATCGAGCAACGCATCATAAATTCGTTTATTAAAACCATATGTATTTAATCGGTTCGTTACGTTATATATGTATAAACAAAATATGTGAGTTATAAACAGACAAACAATAAAACTGTTCAAAACTCGGAGTTTTGCTGATGATTCAGAGTTGTAGCATAATTGTGCGACGCATGATCCTTCATGCATATTATTATTTTTTTAATTAACATGATCTTTCTAAATTAATTAATATTTTATTGTTACCAAATTTATTATTTAACAGTGACGTAAGGAATAAACGCCCAACAAAGAGATTTTTTTAAAATATTAAAACCAAAAAGTTTTCGGATCGGCGTCCTATACTGACGAGCCGCAAAATAACAAGAAAACCCTAGTAATATCTAAAATTGTTATCAGAACACCTTAATTACTCTTATATTGCTAAAACCGAATATTCTAACTTAACGGTGTGCAACGAGCCTTATATTTTTGATTATTCTGAATTTCCTATATTGTTATCACAACTGCATCTTTTCCAAGATATCCCAATAGAAAGCAAAGTCAAACATGGACAGCTGTTTAAATAGCACTATTGTTTGAATGTTATCGGCATTGACGGATCTTACTTAACATTGTTTACAACTAGTATGCCCACGAGCCGGGATATCTGTGCAAACAAAACTGTTAATACATTAGGCGTAAGCTGTGTCTATAATTTGAAACCTAACACATCACAAAATATATTCTAAAACGAGGCTGTCTTTGTGGTTTACGAGGGTAGTTCACATTTAAATAACATACTTTTAACGGTTTAAAATGAGAAATATATAGTAATTATAAGATTCACTTCCTTCATTGTATACTGCTCCAATTAAAGATTTCTCCAATAATGATCTACCAAATATTGCAACGTACGTAAGTCTTCACAGGGATCGCAAGAAATAAATATCCATCAACAAATATTTTACAGTCATCATCAATAATGGCTACTACAACTTCGGCTCTAAGCTGTTCCAGTTAACGTTAACTACTGTTCTGCTGTGATCCGAATGTAGGAGCTCTCGAACTTATCGCGATAGATAAAGCCAGTATTGTGAAAAAAATTTCGCCTCAAGTAAAAGTGCATTTTTGCAAAGCTGTTAAAAACGAAATAAGCTTACAGAACACATCTAATATGTCCGGGGTGTAAGGAAATCTAAGTAAATGCATAAAGCTGGGAAGCTGGTGGATGTAGAGCGGCGCCAGATTCCCCGCTCATAAATATTAGATGCCGGCGACGCCATATTGTATTTATCAAAATCCGATACAAGTTCCCGCCGAGTGTGATAAAAATCTTCCGATCGCATTTCCTAGAACGCCGGCAAAGTTTATAAAGCACGAAAAATAGAAGAAATATACGTGTTCATACGATGTATGTTATTTGGTGTAACATTAAGCAAACACAGTTTTTGACAATTAAATTGTCAGTTGTTTAATTGTCCGTCCATGTATAAACATGTAGTATATAATGTCTATACTAATATTATAGAGGTGGGGAGATTATTTAGACGCGCTAATCTCAGGAATCACTGGTTCGAATTTAAAATTGTTGGTGTTGACCAGAGCATTTATCGAGGGAAGCTTTAGGCCTTAACAAATCAGGCTGCGACCATTTGGGGCGAAGAACAGTGGGTTATGTAAAAAAAACGGGGAAAATCTTTAATTTGCGTGCGCTGCGAAATATATAAATTGCAAGAACGGCGGGAGCGGACGATTTCACGGGCACAGCTAGTACTCGCATAAAGTACTTTTCGAAACCCGATATCGCGGATGCTTCGCAGCCGTTGCGATCACAGGGCGTCTGTTTGTCGTCGGGTCGTAGTTCAAAACGAAATCTGAAATATTCTTCGAATTGCAATGCTTTAAAAATGTCAGTCATGTGTAAATATTGTTTAGAGCAATACCAAAGAGTTATTGAGAACTGGGCCGTACATAGTACCTAAAATTAAAATCAGTGTCTATGTTTTCATATTAGCATCTTTTTAATTACATTTACAATTAGCTCATCAGTTGAACGTACAATAATCCATTCAACTCGTCATGTGTGTCGCGCAATCACGCCAATATAGTTATTATCGCTCACGTCATTAGGCGCATTTTCGCGAATCAATGAAATACTAATACCGGCTCCAATTGTGGTGAAAATTCCGCACCGCACTCGTTTGTTCCATTTAAATTCGGTTGACTGCAATCAAAATAACCGGAGCATTTAGATAGATTGTTTGAAATACGCAACGCATTTTTCCATTTTGTTTATCCATCTATAATGTAGAGCGACACAAAAACCTATTGTTGGGAATAAAGTTATGCTGGGAGCAGAAACGTAGCAAGGTGGATAGGGGCCCCGGTATATAGAGAAAGAATCGGGCCCTCATCCCCTCTTTCCGCGTGGCTTGAATTCATAAAATTGGCGAGCTCATCGATGTAATGATAACAACGTATGGTAATTAATAAAGGTAAGCTGATAATTTACGGGTTGTGGATTCTAACCGCGCCGAGCCAATACTTTTCTAATTAATTTATAGTTTTCATGAAACATGTTTGACTTCATCTGGAAATTTAGACACTGAATGAACGGTACCGAATTTACGCCCGAATCATGAATCACCGTCCGCAGGTAAAAAGCCGTGAAATTAATCGCATTTTGGTTTCAGTTTGTGGATTTCCGAAAATCCAAAGCCAAAGTAGAGCGTATAGCATCTTTCTCATGCTTTGTCTCTTCTTTTTTTATAAGCTCATCTTTTCAAAGATGAGTCTAGAGGGCCCCGTAAGTTCTGCGCCCCGGTGCACTACCTGGCTCTACCATAGCTCCGCCACTGGCTGTTGGACGGTTAGTTGCGTAAGGGGAAAAAGGGTCGGAATACGGTTGACAGTCCGTCCGGACTCCGATATTCTAATTTTAAAATATTTAGCAGTAAGCCTTCAGATAACAGAAAAATATGGTTTAAGGGATGGGATGAAAAAGCAAAATATATTGAACGTGATTTTATCTAGGGCAGCTCGGATAACTTATATAGATAATTGAATCAAAACACCTAATGGTTCAATACGTAACATATATTAGGTAACTTATTTATAATTTATGCTACGGCCCCACGTTTCGAATACTTTGCAGATCTCAAGCTGATAATTTCAATGAAACGCGAGTAACGGTTCAAAACGCGAAGTATATTTGGTACCTATTTTATTTTTTTTATTTTAATTGTGGCTCGAAGTGTCGGATAC